CTGCAGCTACTGCCTCACTCCACTCTCTGTAGAGTAGCCCCCTTATCACTTAAAACACGCTAATCAATCAGCTCTCTACTTGCACAGCAGAGGCAAGAAGGCCCTTCTGTATATGAGTTTGTTTCTTAAAATCATAGCATCCACCCCCAGTGACACACTGGGGCAGGAGCAGGGCTTGGGGTGTGCCACTGTGCCATCCACCAAGGGACCACAAGACCCAGCACCATGAAAACCAGGTTCTAGGCCTCACTCAGCTATTTACTGGTAGTGCCCCCAAACAGATTATAACACTAAGCTGTAGCCCAATGATTCCACTCCTTCAGAAGCTCCCAGGTCACTCCCAGCCTCCCAGTGAAAAATGATGACACTATATGCATGATGACTCAGCATCACCCATATTCAAAAGGAGCTGCATTCTGTTCAACCAGAAAGCACTTGGCAGCCATCCATTCATTTTCCCCCATGAGCCCCTGAGCCCCTTGGAAAGACCACCCCAGCTGATGTGAGCCAGTGACAGAACCCCTAGGCCCTCCCTCAGCAGCCCATGTAACCTTTTTCTGAATTTAAAAGATAGACTGGCTCTATCCCTCTACCTATGAGTAGGGCCAGGCTCAATGCCCAAATTCTACTCATGTGAATGTGACTTCACTAGAAGACATCCAATCAAGGCCATATCCTTATATCTGGGAAGTGCCCGGGCCAGGATGCTCCCCTTTTCACCTTGTTACCAGCTTGTCCCTTTCCAAGAAAAGCCCCTATAGCTACTCTGGAACTGCTCCTCCTCAGCCTGAACTGTCATTCTCTGGGCCAGGCCTCATGCTGAGCCCGGCCTCATGCTGAGCCCCAGATGGATGGGGCTCTCCCTGCCCCTACCTACAGAATGCAGATTTGGAAATTCAAAATGCAAGTGTACAGGCTGTGACAGTTTAAACGGGGGAGTGGGTATAATGAGAGAGCTACAGGTGTTGTATGCAATGCTCCCTGCATGTCAAAACTGCCAACACCTGAGCCCTGAAAGATGGCTAGGTTAGCCAATTTCCAATGGGTCATTTGGGGATAAGGTATAGATCAGAAGCTGAATGTGTTAGATGGGAAAGCATTCCCAATAGAGGTCACACTGCTGCAAGAGCCCAGGACACAAGTCCAAGGACCATATTAGGAACCATATGCACTTTAACATAAGTGAGAAATACAAGAAATTAGTCTGGATGGATAGGTAAAGCCCAACAAGGAGCTTGGACTTTATTCTGCAGACAACAGAGATGACTATGTCTCAGCTGCCTGGGAAAGCTAGAGAGCATTCTCCCACTCCTCTTTCAGCCCTCTCACACCAAAAATCTGTGCCCGCTAGTCTAGTCCCTGGCTGGCTCTTGGGACCACTCAAGTCAGAAGTCAAAGAGCCTCAGTCACCCGTAGTAGCCATTCTGAGGTCAGATCACTGGACCCAGTTGGCTAAAGAGCTTAGAGTAACTGGTAATAGTGTGTAGACACCTAGCTCCCCCGAGCAGCATACAACTCAGCCAGTTCGGGCAGCCAAGTATGGAAGCTACCATTCAAGAGGAAGAAAACAGCCCTGGCCAGTTTGGCTCAGCGGTTAGAGCGTCGGCCTGTGGTCCGGAGAGACCCGGGTTCGGTTCCCGCTAAGGGCACGTACTTCAGTTGCAGTTTGTCCCCGGCCCTGGATGGTCGTGCGGGTGGCAGCCACTCGATGTGTCCCTTCACGTCGATGTTTCTCTCTCTCTCTCCCTTCCTCTCTCTCTCCCTCCCACTCTATCTGTACAAAAAATGGAAAAATATCCTCGGGTGAGGGAAAAAAAAAAAAAAGAGGAAGAAAACAGCTGACACTCTGGCTATGGCCACCTCCATCTGTACCAACAGTGAAGATTTCCAAGATAAGCTATTTTGAAAAGCTTGGAGGAAACACCTGAAAAGTTGTAGCTCTGGTTCTCTATCAACCTGAGAGTTCCTCTCTAGTTCCTGGACTACCTGTAGGAGCTGCAGTTGGAGGTACCAGGTACAGACGGAAAAGAAATGACTGGGACAGGCCAGAAAGGAGCTATACTCTGGACTCCATCACTTCCAGGTTCTGGATTTTGGCCCATGGTGGGAACCACAGAAAAGGAACGTGGAAAGGCAGATAAAAAACCTTCTTCTGAGGAATTCTGGGAATATTCTTTGGCTGGAGGAGAGAAGCTGCCAGCTGCCAAGCTGACCCATGTCTGGAGCTCCCAAATATGCCTCGTATTCTGCCTGTACCACAATCATCTCCATTCTACATATGATAAAACAGACGCTCAAAGTTTTGACTTGATGAAGTGGCAGAGCCACACCAAAGAAACTACACCCCCACATTGTTCTGGAGTTCTAGGCCCAAAGGGCCAAGAACCAAAATTATCAACCGAAGTTTAAAAAATGGCAAGTCAGATATAAGAATGTACTTAAAAGCAAAACCTGGAGTAAGTTGAGCATAAAATAAATGCCTATGAGTCCACACCAATATAAGTAAATGACTGAATAAAGAAATAAACAAGCACTCACTGGTTAACAGTAAAGTGACAAAAGCTCAAAAAATAAATAAATAAATAAATAAATAATAAAAAGAATTTTTAAAAAAAGAAAAAGAAATAAACAAGCAGGGGAATAAAAACAATTCCTGTTCAGAATTTCAAATAATTTGTGTGGCTACTCCCCCTTAAAGAGAAGAAGCTGGGTCCCCACTCCTGAAGTGTGGGCTGCACATAGCAACTTTCCTCCTAAGGGGACAGTATGGACAGAGGAAATAACTTAATTTTAGAATGCAGAAATCTGATGAACACAACCTCAGCCAGGCGATCAAGGTCAGTAGCAACAGTGATTAAGTCCTAGGCCCTGGATATGACACTGAGAGAAGGGTACCTTATACCTACCTCTGTGGTCTTCCTCCCCAAAACCTGTAACTCCAGTCCAACCACAAGAAAAAGATGAAACAAATTCCAATTGAGAGGCATTATACAAAACACCTGACCACTCCGGCCAGTGTGGCTCAGTGGCTGAGCGTCGACCCATGCATCGAGAAGTCGCGGGTTCGATTCCTGGTCAGGACACGTGCCCAGGTTGTGGGCCCGATCCCCAGTGGGGGGCATGCAGGAGGCGGCAATCCATGTTCTTTCTCGTCAATGTGTCTCTCTCTCTCCCCCTCTCTCTTTCTCTCTCTTAAAAACCAATAAAAAAGAAAAAAAAAAAATACCTGATCAAAGTTATCACGAGTAAGGCAAGTCTGAGAAACAGCCAAAGAGTCTTAGGTGACATGACAACTAAATGTAATGTGCAATCCTAAAACGAAAGAAGTACATTAGGAAAAAAAACTAAGGAAATCTGAATAAATTAAGGACTTTGGTTAAGAATCATGGATCAATAATTGTAGTAAAATTATATAAATTTTGCCCTGGCTGGTTTGGCTTAGCGGTTAGAGCGTCGGCCTGCGGACCAGAGTTCCGGGTTCAGTTTCCACTAAGGGCACGTATCTCGGTTGCAATTTGTCCCCAGCCCCGGTTGGGGTCTTGTGGGTGCCAACCACTCGATGTGTCTCTCTCAGGTCGATGTTTCTCTCTCTCTTCCTCCCTCTCTCCCTCCTGCTTTATCTGAAGATAAATCCAAAAATTTCCTCGGGTGAGGATAAAAAAAATTTTTTTTTAATTATTTTTTTTTTGTTACAGATGTCCTCCCCCCTCCCACTGATTCCCCCCTTCCTCTCCCTCCCCGCCCTGTCCCCAGCTTTGTTGTCCATGTCCATTGTTCATACATACATGCATGTAAGTTCTGTGGTCTATCTCTCCCCCACCACCCTCTCTTCTGGGGATTGTCAGCCTGTATCCCACTTCCACGTCTCTGGGACTACCCCATTCCTCAGACTGTTATGTTCATTATATTTCACAAATAAGTGAGATCATATGATACTTGTCTTTCTCTATCTGGCTTGTTTTGCTTAGGATAATACTTTCCAGGTCCCTCCATGTCATCTCAAAGGATAAGAGATCTTTCTTTCTTACAGCTGCATAGTACTCCATTGTGTAATAAAAATTGTGTAAATAAAAATTTTTTAAAATTTTTTAACAATTACATGGATTTTTAAATTGTAATAAAAATACCATACCAATATAAGATGTTAACAATAAGGGGCATGGGGGCAGGGTACATGGGACCTCTTGGTACTATTTTCACAATTTTCTGTAAATCTAAAACTGTTCCAAAAAAATAAACTTTATTTAAAATTGTTTTTAAAAAGTGGCAAGCTATAGGACATCCTGCCCCAGCCTGGGTCTAAGCACTAGTCCTGCTCTGCTCACTGATGTCTTATCTGACCTCTGTCAATTACTAGCCTCTTAGGACTCCATTCTAAAGGCAGGCTTATTTTGACACAGTGTCTGCTTGGCTCAGTCCATTCATCCCATGAGCAGAAAGAAAGAAGTGCTGGTGAGGCTGGTTTGGGCAGTGTTGGTCAGTACATCCCTGACTCCCTTGCAAGAGAGAAACAGCCAGCCACAAGCTGTGCACCTGCTGAACACTGCTGCCTAACTTCTCACTTTTGTTTCCTTTCCTCAATCCCTGCTCCTACCCAAAGTGAAAACCCAGGCATTTTTAAAGCAGACTGCTAAGGCACAGTCTAAAAATAATCAACAGAAACACATCAGAACCAAGGAGGTGGGGAAAAGGAGGTGGTGTCTGGAAAAGTGTTCCCCAAATCATGTCTTAAGACTGTTCCCATACACACTGAGAGCATGGGCTTTTGCTCAGTCTTAAACCCCCTGGTTAAACAGCCATGGACCTTAATTTTCTGATGGAAAAAAGATACAACTTTATCCTCACAGAATTCAAATAAAAAACCCGGACCTTACAGCCGTTTTCTTCTCTTGGGCTTTACACTGCCATGCTACTAACACAAAGGAGCCAAGTTCTAAGGGAACCCAGACCTACATCTTCAGATAGACAGGCCTGCAGGTGCCAGACACCAGGGCACTTACTTCCTGAGGATGATGACTGCTCTTCTCTCCTTGATGTCCTGAGGCCGTATGCAGTGAGTGATTTCATCAGCAGCATATCCACTGGAAATAAACACAGAGCATGTGAGCATGGAACAGACACACAACCAAAGTTTCTGGGGGATAAGGAGAAAATATATGGCCCAGGTCTTATTGCCGCCACCTCATTATTTAAGAAGCTCAAGGATCTGCATGGAAGGTAAATACTTCTGTTCTGAAACCATGCAAGGAAAACCTGGGGATGAGGCAAAGGAGGGCCTTAAGGCAGAAGCCAAAGCATGAATTTCCCTGTACAGGCGAGGAGCCCTTCTTTTAAAGGGCCTCCAAGAGGGCATACTTTTAGTCACTTTGGAGGCCATTAGAGTGACTCAGGCCAGACCTTGGTGACAAGACAAGAAAAGTACCTCCTCCTCTTCCTTTCCTCCCCTTCTCTTACCCTTCTTCGTCTTACAGAGGAAGCCAAAGTAGATGCTGACAGCACTGACTGCAATGTTCAAAAAGAGTATCTGTCTACTTGAAAACAAGCTTTCAGAAACCTCCATTTGGGGGAACCTAAAATCTTGAAGACAGCTGTGACACTCAAATACCTATTTTCAACAAAACACATGATTTTTGAAACTGCTCACCGACCAATGAATGTAGATGACTGTCCTCTTCACAGCTAACGTCTTTCCTATTTGATCCTCTGGAAGAAAACTCAGCTTCCCCAGCCCCTCACATGCCCTCACTGGAAGCATGGCACCCAAGAGACACCCCACCCCCAGTTCCTCCACTTAGCTAAGGCAATTTTACACAGTTAGAAACATACTGAGCCATGGGCCTAGAGGGAGATGAGTGCCTTCTCCTCCCGCTCAGGATTCCCTTGACCAACCCTGGACCATAAACCTTCCTGTACACAGCTTCTAATCAACTCCCTTCTCAGGGCAGCTGTAAAGACACATGCTTAACTATCAGAGACAGTGTAGGCCAGGGAAGGACTCCTCAAAACGACCAGGCTGCCCCAAATAAGGGCAAGATGCAAGAGCAAATAAAACTGCCTGAGAGGGAAGCACCTCTGATTTGGAAATCTGATTTGAGATTACAGTGGGGGTAGGGAAAATAACCATTATCTTAGGGATTTCTCCTCAGGGCTGCTCCTAGACCAGAGTTCTCCAGTTTTTCCTGTGAACATCAGTCACACAAGAGATTATGGACAAATGCCCACAGTCAAATCAATCTGGAAAATACTGAAGAGTTTAAAAAACATTAGCCCTGGCCAGTTTTCTCAGTGGTTAGAGCATTGGTCTTGGTTGCAGGTTTGATTCCCAATCAAGGGCACATACCTTGGTTGCAGGTTAGATCCCCAGCCCCAGTAAGGGTTGTGTGGGAGGCAACCAATCAATGTGTGTGTGTCTCTCTCTCTCACATGGATGTTTCTCTCTCCCTCTCTCCCTTCCTTCCACTCTATCTAAAAAAAAAAAAAAAAAAAATCAATAGAAAAATATCCTCAGGTGAGGATTAACCAAAAAATAATAATAATAAAAAGCATTAATATGTTAAAGGACCTGAGAAATACTACAGCAAAACAGTCTGCTGACTGTAACTGAGCACTGACCAAAAACCTCCCAAAGAACACCTATTAATATTTGTAGGCCCACAGTGTGAAATGCCACATAAGGATTGAGGAGTTGCAGAGACTTGGGTTTAAACCTGAGCTTTGCCACCTGCTACCTTTGTGACCTTAGTTAAGTCACTTGCTGGGCCTAAACCTGTTTCTTCATCTGTAATATGATAACAGTGGGATCTGGGTGTTCACTTTGTTACGCTTTATAATTTAGGTATTCTTTTGTGGCCACTAATGATTCTAAAATTTTAAAAGAAGGAAAAAAATAAAATAACAGCGCCTCTTCTCTTCCAGGTAGAATTAAAGAGTTATATGACTACACGGTTGGCATCCTTGGGAAGGAGCAGTGGGAGGCCTACCTGCAGGGCTGTTGTGAGAATTAAGTTAGATAATGCAGGGTGCCTACACCCCCTTCCCATTTACTAAACATCTGACACAAACCAGAGGGCCCTGGACCACCCTGGGGCAAACCACATCCTTGGGTCCCACGCCTGCCAAGATGTGATCCAGGCTCCCCATGCAGGGATCTGCCAGCAGCAGAGGCCTCCTGGGCCTATTGTCACTCCACACTGAGGGAGTGCAAGACAGTCTCATATAAACACAGGACTTCCTCAAAGAGCTAAATGCAATTCCCCAAAGATTTTTTAAGCCACATTTCTAAGGCCAAAACCTGCAGTACTGGCTACAGGCAACCTTCCCTACTGTTAACAAGAGTTACTGAGCCCTGGCCGGTTTGGCTCAGCGGTTAGAGCGTCGGCCTGCGGTCCGGAGAGACCCGGGTTCGGTTCCCGCTAAGGGCATGTACCTCGGTTGCAGTTTGTCCCCGGCCCTGGTTGGTCGTGCGGGTGGCAGCCACTCGATGTGTCCCTTTCACATCGATGTTTCTCTCTCTCTCCCTCCTGCTTTCTCTCTCTCCCTCCTGCTCTATCTGAATAAAGAATAAAAAAGTGTCCTTGGATGAGGATAAAAAAATAAAAAAAAAAAAAATAAAAACAAGAGTTACTGATCTGTCTGACCACTACAGGCACTACCAAGATCCCTAACTTCCCATCTCAAACAAGGAATCACTTCCTTCAATGTAGTTTCGGAGGAAATCCAGATGCTTCTCAAATCTTAACTGTCCCCGCACTCCAAAGGGCTCTAGAATGTAAAACAAGCCATGCCAGTTCCTGCCATGGAGCCCCGGCCTCAGAACTAGTGAGGAGGTAGGACTGCAGAGGCTTACAGAAATGACAGTGGCGCTCACCCTACCTAAAAGCTCATTAGCACTGGTCTTCTACAACTTTCTGGCAGCTGTGACAGTGTCCTGACCCCTCCTCCAGCTATCAGGCTCCTCTGGGAGCGGGAAGCTCAAAGTCCTGACCAAGGGACACTCTTCTGGCCAACCTTCACAGACGTGTCCAGCAGAAACCACAGAGGGTTATTTACTACTAAGGAACCTACTTGCTACAAGAGAACCTGTTGGCAAGTTCCAGTCTGCCAACTTGAAACTTAGTATGCCCTGGGTCCAGCCTTACCCTTGGCATAAAGAAAAGTTTCAGTATCTCCTGCTCTTTTGTTATCACAGAGGAGAGAAAGGAAGAAATACCTCATGCTAGTCAGCCTGCCTTGGCTGAGCCCCCTTCATGCAGCAGTGACTAGCATGCTGCAGCATCAGGACGCACAGCACCTGGCTCTGCCATCACCAGCTCTGTGTGTTAAGAGTGACTCTTCAACTCGCCAGGGCTAGGTTCCCTCTCACTGTCCACCCATGCCTCTCTACTACTACACTTAGCTTTGTGGAAAATGTCTTCCCTGTAAGACAAAGCTCTGCAAAGTTCTTACTCATCTCTGCATACAATGGACATAGTGAAATGTATGTTGAGCTAAACTGTTCTACTGCTATGAAGCCTGCTTCAATGTCTGCAAAATAGCAAGTCATCCCTCAGAGAATCAGGTGCAGGTTAAATGAGAAATCTGAAAAACTCAAAGATAAGGGACTCTATATCTCTCCTCTAGGGAACAGTCTTGGAGACCGAGTTGTTAAGGCACATTTCCAAGATGGCCACCATTTCCCTTCTATTCTGTGCCCTGCCTGGTGTTGCTAAGTGGTTAGAGTGCCAGCCTGCGCACCAAGGGGTCTTGGGTTTGATTCCTGGTCAAGGGCACGTACCTGGCTTGCAGGTTCGATCCCCAGCCCCAGTTAGGGTAACCAATCAATGTTTCTCCCTCACATCGATGTTTCTCTCTCTCTCCCCCCCACACACACACACTCCTCTCCACTCTCTCTTAGAAATAATAATAATAATAATAATAATAATAATTAATGGAAAAAATATCCTCAGGTGAGATTAACAAACAAAAGAGATGGAGGCACTGGCCAAAATCTTGGCCTGTGAGAGCCTCCCTCTGGGCAGCATCCAGTGATAGGCCTGCAAGGCTAAAAAGCTTAGGCTTTTGTGGGGGCAACAAGCCAGCCACCTGGGCATAGGGGTGGGATTGTGAGCTTCTGACGAAAACCTCTAAGAAGGTACATTGCCTAGTTTTATAGGAAGTCCTGGGGCTTCCTATAAAGATGGTCAACCTTCTCCAAGTCCCAATTCTGTATACACCAAGGTATAGACAGAGTAGCTGAGAAGAGAAGGCAACTCATCTCCACAGACACTAAACTTCAAGCATTTAATAAAGTGAAAGAGATTCAATCTTCGATAACAACCTTATAGTTTCCTCTGCCTTTGGCAGAGGAAAACTAAGGCCCAGAGAGGTTAAGTAACTTGCTCAAGGTCAAGCAGCTAAGGTGGTGACACTGGAACTTCAATCAAACTCTTGGTTTCAGTGTGCTACATTGTTTTTTGGTTTTTGGTTCTGGGTGGAGTAAGTAATGAGGGCTAAGAAAAAAAGCCCATCTATGTTTCTTGATGACAAGATCCATTCTGTCCTTGAGGCCTCCCTAGCCTCAGCAATACCTTAGCAACAGCTGCACACCAACTGCCCAGCTGAAAATGCCCATCCAGCCCAGAAATTTTTATGGCCTATTTATTTTCTGCTTGCTCTGAGCTTCACGGTTAAGACCACGGCTTGCCTGCTAGCTTCCTTCCCTTTGCTGCCCCGTCTTCTTGTCAGGCCTGGCAGAACCAAGGTCAGCCAACGCCCCCTGGCCTGGAGCTCCTCCTGAGAATGCACAGCCCTGACTTCATCCTGAGGTTCCTTCCCCTCCCATGGAATCGAAAGATTCCACACAAGAGATGTGGCCCTGACCTATCTGCTCTACTTTTCCAACTATTTTAAGCCAGAAAGCTAAATTTGCTTTCAACCAGCTGAATAAGATCAACCCTTAGCCCAGAACTGAAAGGGGTGCCCACTCCACCCCACATCAACTGTTAACTCGAAGCCACAGGCTGAGCTCATCTCTTTATATCCCATGGGTGGGTGGTATAGTCATTTCCAAACAGGTGGCTAAGGCCTGGGTCTCCAGGCACATGACCACTTCAACCACTGACTATGCAGCAATGATTAAAAGTAGCAGCAAGTAAGCAATCAGCCTTGAGGTAATCATTCTAATTAATCCAAAATATTTTAATCTGCTCATTTGCCTAGAAGAAAAAAAAGAAATGTGGTATGAAGAAGAGGTAAAATATATTTGGTTCCCTAGCATACAGCATTAAGAGGGAATCCACCTAAGCCCAACATGGGAAGGTTAGAAAAAAAAACAACAACCGCTAACTGGTTTTGGAAAGAAGTCTGAAGCTCTTCCAGAAGGGTCTGTGAGGCCTTACTCTATGCCCACAGCTGGACACTGCTGAGTCAATGTATGCCACACTCTAATATCCATGCTGACAACTATTATATAAAAAAATGTATTCTTGCCATGTTGCTTTGAACAGGTACAGACACCACTGCCATCAACAAATGAATGAGTCAGATAAGTATTACTACAAACCTTCCCCGTCTACAGAGAAACACTTTTCATCAGCTGTTCCCTTTCAATGGCAGCCTTAGAACTCTGGGCTGGGAGACATACTAGAAAGTGAAAAAAAGCATCACCTTTTTACCAGCTTGGGGAAGAACCAAAGCAGGATTTAAAGAGAACCACTAACAAGCAGGTGTTCACTCACCTGCACACCAAGTAAGCTGATAGCACTAAGTTAGCAGGTGCTAGAAGACTTAAATTAGTGGGTGTATTCAGCACCCTGGAGCAACAGCTCTCAAGTGAGGATGATTTTGCACCCTCCCACCCAGGGATATTTGGCACTATCTGGAGAAACTTTTGATTGTCACAGGTGCTACCAGCATCTAGTGCATAGAGGCCAGGGATGCTGCTAAACATTCTGCAATGCACAGGACAGCCCCAGCACAACAAAGAATTAATCAAACCAAAATGTCAACAGTACTGCTGTTAAGAAACTGTGATCTAGAGCTTTACCAAGCCATGCCTCACCAGAATCTCTACTTCAAATCCAGGCTGGACATGAGGACTAATAATAAACTTCATTCGCCTCAAGTCAGCATCTACTCATGCCCTTACCTATGGCTATCCCCCGCTACTTCTGCAAAAGCCTTCTTTGCTTAGTTAACTCCTAGTCACCCTTCAAGTTCCAGCTTACTTCCTCCCCAAAATTTCCAACACTCCAGAGTGGGTTAAGATGCACCCCCATTTACTCCTGCAGTTACCCTCCTGGGCTGTAACTGTCTGCGGTCTCCCTGTGAATTCCATGAAGGGAAGAGCCATGTTTCAGGCTCTACCAAGTCCCTAGCTGCTTCTCCAAAGAGAGGGCAGGGGATCACTAAATAGTTGTGCACAAAAGCAAGCACCCATTTAAGTGCCTACCCTATGCCTGGCCCTATTATCATATACCAAATCCCCACGTTTAATTCTAATAGGCTTTGGAAATTGGCATCACCCCCACTTTACAAATGGGAAGGCCAGCTCAGAGTGCCCACGAGATCCCAAAGCAAATGAGAGCTGGATTCAAAGCCTGGGGCAGCACTTTTCAGGACATGGCTGAGCCTTCTACACTAACTCCACAGCCAAGTCAGAATCCAGAAGGGAAGGGGCTAGGAAAGCTTTAAGACCTTACTATTCTAAGAAAAGATGAAGATAATTTTCCAAATGATGTAACTCCGTTACTGATCACTAACAGACCTGAATTTAGACCTTCTGACAACAACTCTGAGGGCCTGAGACTATGTGGAAAATTAATATGCTATTAAGAGACCAAATGGCCCTTGTATGAGGTCCTTTCAGCATCTAGTACCCTTCAACAAAGTCAGATACCAAACTGTCTTCCACAGCAAGCCACATGGGAGGGCATGCTCTGGAAATCCCATTCTTAAGGGCTCTGCTACGACATCAATTTGGGAGCACCTTGTATAGGTCTGAGGAGACGCAGAAGCCCAAATGACAAAGGGGTAACTGACACATAAGGAAGCCAAAGTGCTGCCTCTGCTGCCACTGACACCCAAATTTCCCACCAGGAGGCCTTGGGTATCACAAGGCTCTGCTGTCATTCAAGATATGGAAGCAGCCTCAGCTGTTCAACTCAAATTAGATGACCTGCTCATGATATTAAGAGGGCTCCAGGGACCCTGCTTCTCTCCATGACTGTGGGCTACAGCACTGACTGCACTTCAGAGGTTAAACTGCTCACAACAAAACCGGAGTGTGTCCTGATCCCATACTAGAGTTTGGTGGTCAATCAAGCCACTCTGAACAGCAGGAGACTAGACCTCCTAAGAGGTTTTGGGGTATTACTGAAGCACATTGCCAGATTTACTTGTTTCAAGGCTAGAAAGCAGTAGCTTCTAAATAAATGCTCTGCTTCGTATAAACATCAAAGGTATTCCAGCAGGCAATCTTCTCTGGGAGTCAGGGCACTAATTCCCAGCAGAATCTGGGGCCCCAAACAGGCCAAGAACCTAAATTCTGCTGCTGACATAACTACCAGACCAAATTCCAGGTAGAGACCGGCTTTATTTTGTTTCACTTAATCCTGGTAACAGGTAACACCATTCTTAGGAAGGACCTCTACTGCACCCAACAAGGACTGTATTTTAAGTGTGGGCTGCACTCCATTCCTGGCCCAACCACAACTCTGTTCAATTCCAAGGAAGTCACTCCCCCTCTTGGGAATGGAGAATGTATATCAATCAATTAAATACCCTCAGGGGCCTTCCTCTGTATCTTGTTAAGAAATCCATGAACACTTTCTCTTAAGAAAACCACGAACGGCAGAGTTGAAAAGATTTCTTAAAAACAAACTTTAAAACGGAGGCCCAGAATGAAAAACTTGCTAAAATCGCAAAGTCAGTCATCCCGTCAAATCTGCCCTCCGGGAACAGAATTCTAGCCGTCTCCCAAACCCGTGCCTACTTTCATAGTGCAGGTTTCAAGCGCAGGCCCTTCCCTCCTCACCACCCTTCCAAAACAGAAGAATGGGTTCGAACCATAACGTGCGGGTCCCACTGGCTGCTGCCTCCTGGGTCAGGGCAGGCAGTTAAAACAGCGGGGCCGCCCCTCCTCCCAGGTGGGTTACCTGAGCACAGTCACGCTCCCCCTGCGCACAGGCAGGGAAAGCACCGGTTCCGACACCCGGATGGGCTTGAACTGGAACTTGCAGCCGAAGCAGAGCGCGGAGTCGCTAAAGAAGGACACAGACACGATTGGGCGCTCGAAGATGTGGATGGGGTCCACGTGGGACACGATGCAGCCACCGGGCTGGTAGTCGTTGATGACGGCACTGTTGACGAAGCCCTCGGGGATGACGCGGTGCTCCACCAGCTTCTGGATCACCAGCTGGTGGACCCACTCGGGGATCTCGTCCACGTCGCCCGGCGGGTAGAGACGCTCCTGGCCGGGCCCGCGCTTCTGCAGCTGGGCGCCGTACGTGTAGCCCTCGCCGAAGAAGTACTTGTTGCGCAGCGGAGCCCGGTCCACCGTGTGCTCGTTGTACAGGCCCTTCTCGGCGCGGGACACCACCTCGTCGATGCGGGCCTCGATCTTGGCGCACTCGTCCTGGCTGAAGAGGCGCATCTGGCGGATGCCGCTCTTCACCTTGCGCGCCTCCTCCTCCTTCTGCAGCTGCTGCTCCTCGTAGTCGCTGCGCTCGGGGTCCGAGTCTTCCTGGTACTTGCGTTTGGCTCCAGACACCGGGTAAGGCTCGGCGGCAGCGGCGGCGGCGGCGGCGGCGGCCACGGCGGCGGCCGCCGCCGCCGCTGCCTCCCGGCTGCCCGCCTTGTAGTTGTCCCGGGACGTCATGGACTTGAGCTTTTCACGCAGGTCCGTGTAACCGCTGGCGGCCGCCATGGCCCCGCAACGCTGCTCTAGGGTCCTTCGGGGCCGGCAGGGCGGCCGGGCATGGCTCTCGGGGGACGTGCCCCGGGGCCCCCGGAGGGAAGGGGGTCCTCAGCGCCAGGCCCCCATACGAGGACCCGGCTGGGGGAGTCGAGGGGCCAGGCGCTGGGTCGAGCCTCAGGGGCGGCGGATCAAACAGCGGTGGCGGCTACGGGGCTTCCGTCTCCTCTACCTTCACGTCCCGGGGGGCAGGGGCGCCAGCAGCACCTCATGCCGCGGAAGGCCGCTGCGGAAGAACGGCTCGACTCCCGGTCAGACCCTCAGACGCCCGGCCCAGCCCGCACTTTAAAGCGCTCCTCACGACGTCACGCGCCGCTCGCCCGACGTCCGCCAGCGCCGCTCCTCGGCAGGCTCTTCAATGCGCATGCGCAGTGCCGCCGGCCACCGCGGCTCCGCGCGCAGTGGACATGCGCGAGCAAGCGGGCCGGGTCGGCAGAGGTGCAGGCGCAAGCGCAGACCGGGGCCGCTCGTCGTCCGCCACCCCTCCCCCACTCTAGAAGAACTCCGAGGAAGCGTCCTCAAAGAGCAACCTGCCTCCTCGCCGCGCCACCTCGGCGACCGAAGGGCTCCCTCCACGGGGGTGCGCTCACGCTGCCAACGCTGTCGCTGTGCTGCGTCACGGCATTGTTCGACTCTCCGAAAACGCCTCAGCCGCCAGCGCGCAATCTCCGGGGAACTGCCAACAATCTAGGCTGTCCGGTTACCGTCTCTTTTGGCGCTTTCACTTCTTTCATGGGCCACCGGCCACGCGCCGGGCGGACCCAGACGGGAGCTTCCGGAAGTTGGTTGGTAATCAGGCCTGTCAATCAGGCGGTCGCCTTGGCTACTGCACCCGTCACTTAATTAGCGGCGGGAGGGGTACGAGGACCCCTGAAAGGTGAATGGGTGGCTAAGTAAGTGCCAGAGTGGGGACCCCACCGGAGGAAAGCCCTCAGACGCTTCAGGAAGCCTCTGAAAGTGCCGGGCCGAGAGCACCGAGCCCAGCCCTGAACCCGGACGACGATACTCGCAGAACCCGGAGCCCTGACGGGGCGCCGCACTGCCCCCTCTGCCGCCGCCGCCCGGAGCGGACGTTCCACGAGTCACGTCCCGGCGGCTTGGGTGCGTGCGCAGTCGCGGGACGCTCCAGGTTTGGCTCGACTTTTCCTCGGACCTGGGGATGGCTCCGTGGGCAGCTCTGCCGCGAACGACGGGAGGAAACTCGAGAGGACGAGTAGGCTCACGGATAAGGCACAGCTGCAGATAATTGCTAGAGACGGTTCAGAAGTTCTGGAGCACCGCGGTCAGGCGGGGCGCTCCGCGGGAGCAGGGGCCTGGCGATTCGGGGTGCGCGGGGACCCCGGTCCACAGGTAGTAGTTTCTGCTCACCTTCCCAGGATACAGTTGATCGGCTGGGTTTGGTGGTCCAGGGCTTTGTTGAAGACCCTCCTGGCCCCTTTCCGTGAACGCTGAGCCCAGACATCCCCTGACACTGCCAGGTCTGCAGACATGCCCTGCCACCCCTCCTGGCCTTGACCCAAGCTGGTTTTTCCACCTGGTATACCAGTTCCCTTTCAGCAATCTTGGATAGATTGGGGCTTCTTTCTAGCAGCCTACCAAGATTCCCACGGAAATGAAATGCATCTTAGGTTTCATGATCTGGGCTCTGAATCTCCCTTCAGCCACACCTCTGGCCATTTTGCTTCTGGCCAGGGTGCCCCCCACCCCCAACCCTTCCTTCCTCTTGCAGCTTGTCAGGGCATAAGGACCGGACTCTGGATTTGAATTTTGACCTCCTGACAGGCTGTGTGACCCTGGGCAAGTGACTTGCCCTTCTGAACCTCAGTCTTCTGGTCTGTAAAATGGGAACAACATTAGTGCCCAGCTCATGTGGTGCTTGTGAGGAGGAGGTGAAGTCATGTGTGTTAAGCAGAGGGGATTGCCCATCTTGAGAATAGGCGTCAATTTCTGCATCTGTAAACAGAGTCCTACCAGTCCTGTTGGGAGGTGGAGGTTGTTGTGTGGTGACTTGACAAGGCCAGGACAGCAGGGTCTGTGGAATAGGGAATTCCGAACACCTGGGACCCTGAGCACTGTCCCAAAGCCCTGTGCCGGTTACTTGCAAGAGGCCACATAGCTAAACAGCATACAAGTAGAATTTGAACACGGGCCTGCCTTTTTTTTTTGTTAATCCTCACCTGAGGATATTTTTCCATTTGTCTTTAGATAGAGTGGAAGGAAGGGGAGAGAGAGAAACATTGATGTGAGAGAGACATATTAATTTATTGCCTCCCACATGGCCTGGGTCCATGGATTGAACCTACAACCCAGGTACGTGCCCTTGACCGGGAATCGAACCCGTGACCCTTTGGTCTGCAGGCTAACGCGCTAGCCGCTGAACCAGACAGGTTGGGGCTGAACACAGGCCTTTCTGCATCCACAGCCTGGGCCTTTAACTACCAAGCCAAGATCTTCTGAAGAGTCTTGTGGGTCCTAGGCAGGGGAAGACCAGGGTGGTGAGTATGTGGACATTGGAACTTGGCCAAGTCCAACCCCCTTTCCTCCATAGGGGCAGCAATTAACTGCCTTTTGGTTACTTTTCAGTATGCAGATATGGTGCATCCTGCTACACCCATCCAGGACCCAGAGCCTTCACCGTTTACTGTGTCAGGCTCCCATGCCACCCAGACATTTTTCCTGTATTGTTCGCACACCACGGTGGGCTGTGAATCTTCTCTGGATCTCCCCACATATACTTGGAGTTCCTGTCTTTCTGGGTCTTGGGCCAGGTAGGGGGGCCCAGTGTGATACCCCTAGGTGGCAGGATGTGACTCCTGCCACCCCTGACTCATTCTGGTTTGCCTCATGGTGATTGTTGCCTCCTCTTAAGAGGGCTCAACTCTCTGATGCCACCAGAGACACCAGAACAGCTATAAAAATATGAGCCTTGCCCAGCCGGTATGGCTCAGTGGTTAAGCATGGACTCATGCACCAGGAAGTCACCAGTTCAGTACCCAGTCAGGGCACATTCCCAGGTTGTGGGACTAGTCCTCAGAGGGGGACATGCAGGAGGCAGCCAGTCGATATTCTCTCTCATTAATGTTTCTGTCTCCCTCTCCCTTCCTCTCTTTCTAAAATCAATAAAGAAAAAAAATTTAAAAACATGAGCCTCATGCCTTAAGACCCAGGTCCTAAAACCCAAAAGCCCTAATTTTCTGCTACCTAATATTCTGTAACAAAGCACCCAAAAACAGACCTCTGTCACTTATCTAGCTAACAGATCTGCAGTCTGGTTAGGGTTCATCCAGGAGGCCCCTCTCAGTTCCTTGTGCATAAGCTGGGATGGCTCAACCTGCAGGATCCACTTCCAAGTGGCCTCACTCATTTGGCTTACTCGTGTTCTGAAACCCAGAAGGCCTCTCAACTCTCACCTGGGCAGACCTACTGCAGCAGGGGTAGCTCTGTGGCTCTTTCCCCACTTCCCTCACCTCTCAAATCAGCCTCGGGCGCTGGGCTCTTTAACTTGGGGCTTCTGAGGGAAGCCAACCTAAGGCAGTGGTGAAAGTGGGACAGCCCTGTGGCATCTCTTCCTTGATCCCCTCTGTCTCAGGATGGTTTGATTGGCCCCCCTAGTCCTGCCCATTGGACCTCCTAAATCTCTCCCAGTTAACTTCTGCCCACCCTTGCCGCCACCACCAGTGTACACCACAGTTTCCCAGTTCACACTGCAGCAGCCTCCCCTCTGGTCTCCCTGCCTCCTACATGATCTCTCCTTTGTCATCAGAACAACCTTTTCAGAATACAATCTGAGCAGATTGCCTCACTCCCATTGAAAACTCTTTGAAGGCTCATGGCTTTTGAGATGATAGTCAACATAGTCTGCAAAGCCTTACCCAAACCACCCCTGCCAGCCTCCAGGCTCAAGTCTTGCCACTAGTAGTGTCCACTTCAGAGTTTCTTCCCCTCATCACCTAGCTAATTCCCACTTACAGGTCTTGTCCTGGTTTATACTTTTAACTGTGAGCAACTCCCAGTGCCTAGCATTTACCTCGTACACAATAGTGCTTAATAGGTAATGTATAAGTAAATAAATCCTTTCCCTGAGACTGTGGCTTCAGCCAATTATGCTCCCACATACCTATCCAGACTTCTCCCAAGTCTAGTGCTCCCCTCCCCAACAAGTTCCCCAAAGCACCAGCACTTTCCATCAGCATTCATTTATCTTTTTATTCATGTGACCAGTATTTTTAAATGCCTACCTTGTGTTAGGCATTGTCCTAGGCTCTGGGGGATATAGCAGGGAACAAATATCATTTTCTCTGGAATGTTCATTCCTCTCTGCTCCATCTGTTCCTAGCAAACTCCTACTTATCCTTCAAAACCCAACAGCAAAGTCGTATTCTGGGAAGCTCTTTCCCAGACTTCTCCCTCCCCAGCCCCTGACACGAAACTTCTCTCTCCACTATACCACTCTTATACCTTCTTTGGCCCATCCAGTGATGGGGGCCTGGGGTCAGGGCTACCCAAGGACTGTAGAGTGTGGGCACAGAAATCTGCAGGGAGAGGTAAAGATAGCTGACTCTGCTGGAAGTCTGCATGGCCAGTGAGTCGGGAATAACTAGGCCTCCAACTCATACCTCCTCCCTCAGACTTGTTTTCTAGCCACTCAGCAGCTCCATGGAGGAATGGCTGCTAGGTGTACCTTTTATTTGCACAGAAATGACCAAGGGTCACAAATCCAAGCTGACTGGCAGTGTAGGGGCTGAGAAGTGGAACAGGTTTGAACATCAGACCCATCAAACCAAAGGCAAAGTCCAGTTCTTCCAGGCCACTGGTTTGGGGCTTCCTTGCCACAGGTGGGGGTCAGGGCCAGGGCCTGCAGTGTGTATGTGGCAGGAGGCCCCATGGGGCAGCCTTTGGAACTTCCTCCTGTTGTCTGACCCAAGATTGCATGTTTTGACTCCATCCCAACTCTGGATGGTTCTCGATTTTCTGGGAACTTGGGTTGTTCCTTCTACTACCTCTTGGTCTCCCCCAAGGTTCTGGCCCTTACAGGGGTCACTAGCACAGAGAGGCCCAGTAAGTCCCCTGGGGCCACAGAGCAAGCCTTCTGGCAGAGGGCAGCCGCAGGGCTGGGGGCTGGGTCAGAGCAGCGTGATCTCGCTGGGGGGTAGCGTGAGCTGCTTCTCCCGGGCGCTGAGCAGGTTCTCCACGTGCACAGCCACCACTCGACACAGCTCCAGGCCCTGCAGGAGACACAGAGTACACGCCCATCCAACACTTCCCCAGCTCTCACCAAGGGATAGGAAGTGGCTGGGACACGGCCCCAGGGGGAGCATGAGAAGCTGGAAGGGGGAGTGCTGGGCTGCAGGCTGGACTGGGCAAGCAAGCAGGAGACCAGGAGTATCTGCCAGCTTCACTGTGTGTGAACTGGGTAGCCTAGGGCCTGTCACTTCACCTCTCTGAGCCTCACTGGCCTCATCTGTAGGGTCTCCATTTACCAGGGCCTGCCTCACAAAACTGGTGAGGATTCGATGGACATGTATTATGTGTAAATCCTTTAGATTTAGAGAAGTGTTAGTCCGGTCAGTAAATGCTAAGTTTCTAACTGTAGCCCCACAGTTACCACCTGGTCTTCACAGCCCAGAAGAAGCTGTGACTCAGCCTCAGGGCTCTCAACTGGTGGGTTGTGGTGGGTGGCAGCAGGGCACTGTGGAAAATCCCTCTATGAGTATGGTTCTCAGACCACAGCCAATTGGAATCCCCCAGGAATTCCTTGAGAGCCTGCAGAAGCTGCTTGGAGAGAGGGTGGAAATGAGGGCAACACTTACTGAGTGGCAACTGTGTGCCAGGCATTGCCAGAGTCCTACTCCTGAGCCCTGTGTCCTAGCCCTGCAAGTCCCCACAGTGCCCCTGTGAGGCAGACACTCTTAGATCCCATTCCACAAGCGAGGAACCTGAGGCCAGAGCCAGGAAGCCACTTACCCCAGACCTCACAGCTGGCAGGTGGTGGGGACTTCAACCCAGGTGGGAGGAGGCCCAAGGCCACACTCTGAACTGCTTTTGCTGAGGTTAGCTGTGCCTGTCCCACCCTGGGGCCCACCTCAGCTAATGTGATGAGTACACGATGGGGTCCTCCCTTCCAGCCAGTTCTACCTACATGCTGCAGTGTTCCAGGCCTCACTGGGATTATTGCTCCACTTGACAGGTTTGGAAACTGAGGCTCAATTAGAAGCAAGGTAGCTTGAGATTCCCTCACACAGCCAGCCTGGTGAGTGAAATCAGAGGTAGGGACCCAGGTCTGTTGCTGCAACATGTCCTCCTCAGGCATCACTCACTACCCCCGAATCCTCCTCTCATGAGCTCCCAGAAAGCTCAGGTACACCCTCTCAGCACTGATTAGCATGGTTTATTGGAGGAATTCTTTGATAGCCGTTCCCCTCATGAGACTCGGGGCTCTGTAAGAGCCCTGCTGAAGGGGGTCAGTCACTTCAGTGTCTCTGCAGCCAGTGCAGAGCCTGCTGCCTAGAGATGCTCAGTGGTTAGGTGTTGAATGAATGAATGAGTGAATGAATGAATGAATGAATGGAGTGAGTGAGTCCCCCATGCACATAGGTGCAAGAGGCAGAGGGGGCAACATAATGAGGTTGGGGTGGGGGGCTGCAAGGAAGTGGAGAAGCCAAAAAGGCCTCCATCGGTTTATCCATCCACTTACTGAGCATCTGCTGCGCTGGGGGCTGTGCTATGGAGAGAGTGTCGACAAGGGGGACACAGCCCTTAGCCCAGGTGAATGTCCTCAAGTCTCCTGTGTCACCGCCCTTTCACCAACCTTCTAGTGCCCTCAGGAGAAAGCCAGATTCTTAGCGTGGCATTCAAAGAACTTCATGGCCCCTCCTGCCCGGGCTGTGAATCCCCAGTTCCCTGTCAAACTGCTCACTACTCTGCAGACAGTCTGAGCCTTTCCCCGTGATCCCCTCACCATGACTTCTGGGAGACCACTCTGATGACCTGCAGTTGTGCAGTGTTGGGTTAGTTCTGACCCTGCACTGGGCTGGACGTTCCCTGTGGCCTGGCCTGCCCTATCTTGGAGCCAGACCCAGAGAAGAGCCTGGTGAGTGAAATCAGGGAGCGAGGGGCCGGGTGACAAGGTGGGTGCTGGGGGCGGAGCCCACCTGCTCCAGCTGCAGCTGCATAGTGCCCTGGGCTGCCACGTCCCCCAGCACGATCTCCACGTAGGGGTAGCTGGAGCTGGCAGTGGGCCTCTGGGTCCATGTCGACTGGATCTCCTTCAGGGGGAACTTCACCATCAGTTCCTGGGGGTGGGGCAGATAGGCTTGTGGGTGGGGCGGTTTGAGTGCCAGGTCCCCAGTGACTCTCTGCGTGGCCTGGAGCAGGCCATTGCTTCACCCCTCTGGACTTCAGCTGTAAAACTGATTCAACGAATACTGGTGCACACGTCACACGTCTATAGTGTGCCTGGTAGTCTTCCAAGTGCTTGGGGTCCAGGGGTGCTGTAGATGCTGGTGGTGCCCCGACCTCCACATCCACCTGCTCCTTAACTCCTGCACCTCTTTGCAGCTTTCTAGCTCCAGGAGCAAACCCAGAACATGTCGGGAAAGCCAGAGCTGTGAGTTACTGCCTGGTTACTGACAGGCGGGGACGTGGGACTAGCCACGCTGGCTCCCTCGACCCCAGGCCACAGGGCATCCTCGGTGGGGTGTGTCTCGTGCCTGCTGGGCTAGTACCACGTGCCGCAGAGGCAACTTGCTGCCAACATGCCCTTCCCAGGGTGTGTGAATGTCCCTTCCCGACCTCAGCTCCTCACTCCAGGGTTTCCTAGAACCACCTTCAAATAAACCACTTGCCCTGTCCTCATGTCAAGGTCCACATCTGGAAGAACTAAAAAAGGGGGCAGCAGGAACTATTTGTTACGTCCCCCCAAATTGTGTCCCCCCCCAAACCCACATGTTGAAGCCCCAACCTCCATACCTCAGACTGTGACTTATTTGAAGACTGGGCCTTTAAAGAGGTGATTATTTAAAATAAGGCCTGAGAGGGGGCCCTAGTTCAATCTGACCGTTGTCCTTTGAGACGAGGAAATCTGGACAAACCAAGGACAGCAGGAAAGTGCAGGCAGGGAACAGGTCACATGAGGGCACGGGAGAAGGTAGCCAGCCACAAGGTAGGAGAGGGGCCTCTAAAGAAGCCAGCCCTGCCACACCTGGGTCCTGGACTTCCAGCCTCCAGACTGCGAGACAAGTACAATTCCCTCGTGTTGCCGAAGCCCCCAGTCTGCGGCACGTTGTCACGGCAGCCCCAGCTGACCATGACACTGAGTGTGTAAAACCACATTCTGAGGTTTTACCTCCACAACAGCCTCGTGGGGTGGGATCTGTTGTCCCCATGTTCCAGACGAGGAAATAGGCTCAGGGAGGTGTGGAGATGTGCCCAAGGTCACACAGGTGTAAGTGGCGGAGCTGGGCTTCCACAGCTGAGCTCTCAGCCCCTCTGAGGGGCAGGGCTCAGAGGAGGCGGTGAGCCATGGGGCAGGCGGAGGCCACTCACATGGGTCTCAATGCTGAGGAAGTTGAGGCCATTCTGGTTGACGGCAAGGATGCTGGGGGCTGGCACAGCAAGGTTGCTGCAGCTCTGGATGAAGAAGAAGGAGGAGCCAAACATGGGGGAGGCGCTGAGGAGGCCTGGGGTGGGAGAGGGACAGTCAGTGCCGGGGGCCCATCCGTGACAGCCAAGGCCCTCAGCTGTGTCCACCCGCAATTCTATTCCCTGCTGCACCCGCCCAGGGGTCCTCGTCCCTCTCTGCTGAAGCTGCCCCAGCCTCCCGACTCTGTGCCTTCTTCTCTCCCCCCCGTGCAGCTCTTATTCCCTGGCTGCCAGCTGTCTGCCAGGGGCGCCCCGAGACTAGGGGGTGCCTTGGTGAGCATTTCAGAAGGGTGTTCTAAGTAGAAGGTGCCTTCATCCCCACCATCCAAAACCCCCTCCTCAGCAAAGCCCCCGTGGTTATTTCCCCATCCCTGGCCTCTTACCCAGAAACTGGGCCCGGGCCTGGTGGGGGCTGATGGCTTGTGTCTGCTGCCGGTGCTGGCTGATCAGGTTGAGCCAGGCTGAGCCAGCCATAGTGCCGTAGAGCTGAGCCGGGATGTACTGCTGGACCTCCCGTCTGGATGTGGAGGGAAAAGCCGCCCTGAGCACCCATGCACTCTGCAGCAGCTCCTCAATCCTCACTGCAGGTATTATGCAAAGCAGGTGTGATCCTTGCCCCTCCCTGGAAGCAGAAACTGTGGGGAGCTGGGATGGGTGAAGATGGGCACCAAGCGCTCACACAGCAGGTGTTCAATAACTACTGGCCTGCACAATCAGGCTTCCTGTTTGAAGGTGAAGGAACCGAGGCTAGTCCAAGTAACTATGAGTCTGAGTCGGGGGAGCTAAGACTTGAATCCAAGGGGGTTTCCTCTTTTGTAGTGCTCACCCCCAAGGAGAAGCCCAGGCAGGGGTGGAGACACCAGGGCCGGCAAAGCAACACCACCACCAGCACTGGCCAGAGTATGGGGTAGAGGAATGCTTCAAGATGCCCCTCCCCGCAGGGCCATCAGCCCCCACCACCACTGTGCCCACTCCAGTCCCTTCTCTAACTAATGCTGCTTCCTCAGGGCCTCTCCTTTGCCGCTCGGGACATCCGGAAAATACCAGCAGCAGTTCCAGCCAGTCCCGGCTACCCTGGGCTGCAGACCCGGGACAGGTTGAGAGAAAATCAAGGGCCCCCCCCCCGCCCCCAAAGAACCCCATGTCCCGGCTCATCTTTTCTGTGCACTGCTGGGGTAAGAGCCTGGCATGTGCCTGCCCCCACCCCAGGTTAGCATCCTGCCCCCCCACCTCACCTCTTAGTGGGGTAAACTTCGGTAAGCCACCTGACCTCCCTGGGCCTCAGCCGCCTCACCTGTGTGAGGGGACATGAAGGGCATGCAGGGTGCCGTGCGAAAAGTAAGAACTCAGAGACTATTTCTATCCAGGACTAGGACTGCATTACACTGTGCTTTTTGGTTAAAACTACAACATGAAAGCCCTGGCCAGTGTGGCTCAGCGGTTAGCAGGCCGGCCCAATGAGTCGTGGATTCAATTCTGGTCAAGGGCACGTACCTCGATTGCAGTTCGTCCCCAGCCCTGGTTGGGTTGCATGGGAGGCAACCACTGATGTGTCTTTCTCACACTGATGTTTCTCTCTCTCTCCCTCTCCCACCCTCCCTCCCACTCTATCTGATGATAAATGTAAAAATATCCTTGGGTGAGGATTTAGAAAAAAAAAAACTAGAACATGAAGGAGCTTTGCATATTGAGCCCCTCGCAGCAGGGGTTTTCAAAGCGAGGCGAGGGTCTGGGAGGTCAAAGACACTCCATAGTAACACTAACATGCTATTTGCTTTTCCCTCTTGTTCTCTCCCAAGCACAATGGCGTCTGCCAGAGGCTGCATGACGTCAGACCACAGTGACTGCAGAAGCTGGTGTGAGAACCCAGCCGGCTTCTGTTCAGCCAGGTGATAGAGGCTTACAGCTTGGCTGGTGGGCTCAGTGGTTGAGCGTCGTCCCATACACCAAAAGGTGGCGGGTTGAGTTCCGGGTCAGGGCACATACCCAGGTTGCAGGTTTCATCCCTAGTTGGGGTACATTCGGGAGACAACCCATCGATGTTTCTCTCTCACATCGATGTTTTTCTCCCCCCCCTTCACTCTAAATAAAATAAAGAGATTTACAAAATGTAAAAACAGTGCCACTCTTCTCACTAAATGTTTTTGGAAAATATAGTTGTTTCTTTAAAAAAATATTTTTTTCTTTATTGATTTTAGAGAGAAAGAGGAAGGGAGAGGGAGAGAGAGAGAAACTTCAATGAGAGAGAACAGTAATTAGCTGCCTCCTGCATGCCCCGCACTGGGAATCAGGCCCACAACCTGGGCATGTGCCCTGACCAGGAATTGAACTGGTGCATGGGTGGACACTCAACCATTGAGCCACACCAGCCGGATAGTTGTTTGTTTCTTAAGTTATTTATATTAACATGTAATGTACATATTATTTGTGTTAAAATCATTCCCTATATGTTATTATACTTATTAATATGTACTTATTAATATATTAATATGTAATATATTATTCTTATTTTATAATTAATAAATCAATATTTTAAAATTGTTACTCAGTTTTCATTTTGAATATGATCAATATATATCAATAGATACAACCCACATAAACAAGAGCTCTTTGGGGTGCTGTTCTTGAGACCATATCTGAGGACTGATATGCCACCCCTGGAGAACAGTTTAAAGGCTGTCCAGCACCCCGGATATACGGAAGGAATGCCTTGCTGGTGGAGGCAGCACTCCGCTGAAGGTTTCCGCCTGGCCCTGTGCATTCTCTGGATGACAGGTGTGTGTGTCCCAAAAGCCTTTTCATCGTTAAATTTACTCTGAGCTGCCCTGATGGGGGTGGCTCAGTTGGTTGGAGCACTGTCCCATACACCAAAAGGTTGCAGGTTTGATTCCCAGTCAGGGCACATACCCTGGTGTGGGTTAGATGCCCAGTTGGGGCATGTTTGGGAGGCAACCGGTCGATGTGCCTTTCTCACATCGATGTTTATCTTTCTCTCTTCCTCTCTCTAAAATGAATAAATAAATAAAATAGTTTTAAAAAACAATAAAATAAAATAAATGTACACTGAGCTATTAATACCAGCAGGAAGCAACCTGTGGTGGGGGGAGAAGGGATCCCAACTCTCATGGCGGTTGGTCAGCCCCTTCCCTGCAGGTGCAAGGCGGACACACAGGGCCTGGGATGTCCAACTGTGAGGAGAGGGGCAGGGCTGACATGTGGCAAGTGCTCACACACTGGGCAGGTAGAAGTGGTCCTTGGCCCGGTGCTGCAGGGAAGCCAGCTTGGACACCTGTTGCAGCTGCTGCTCGCTGGGCCTGCCGGTGGGCACGCTGCTGAAGAGACCCTTCAGGTAGTCGGGCAGGACCTGCGGAGGGGCACACCAATGAAGGGCTGCAGGCAGGCATGCGGCATCCGATCACACGGATGTGGTCATCCCCTTGGTGACCGGAGAAGAGTGTGGGCACCCACACTGCAGTGTGTGCTCTCTGTTAGGCTGGGGTTACTGACAACTGAGCACACTTGGGCCACTCAGACAGATTCACGGGCTGTACCCCAGACTCCGATCCACTAAGTCTGGGTGCAGACTTGAGGGTTTGTATGTTAACAAGTTCCCAGGGCATTCTCCTGGCTCATAGGCCACTCCTAGACCAGCACTGTGCTGGCTGCATGGCATAGTTGGCAACAGCGACACCATGTGGCCATACAAGCTAAGTCGCCTTATTTTGTACTTGGAATTGCCAAAGCTTTGGCACCAGGTCCACACATGTGCGTGCGCGTGCAAAGCCCCCCCCCCCCCACACACACACACAACCCTGCACTCTGTCCACGCGCTTCCACAGGTGTTAGCATAGGAGGGGGGAACCATATTTTGCAAATCCCAGGACCTTGACTTGGAGGACCAAGTGTCTGAGGGGAATAACTGAGAAAAACAACACTGCCAACCAAGGCTTATTTAGGCCTTTGAGAGAGGGCCAGGCCGTGTGCTCCGAGGAGCAGAAAAGCGGAAGCCAGAGAGCCCGTGTGGAAGAGGTGCTGTCTGGGGCAGCCTTGCTGGGAGGACTGAGGAAAGCAGAGACGCAGGAAGGGCAGGCCTGGCCAAGTGACGGTACCTGCGAAGTTCTGAGAACTAGGCAGCGAGGGTAACATCATCTCACTGCTCTGAGGAGCCTCTGCAGGGCACCAGGGCCAGAAATGTCAGCGGGACCAGCAGAATCATGCAGGCCTCAAACCAAGGGTCGGGGAGTTTGACCTCACAGTCCTGCAGGAGCCTGAAAGGTTCCAGAGCATCAGAGTGGCCCACACCTGCTGACCTGGTTATAGTGCATGGTCACGTATAGTTCATTCTCGAACTTGAGTGGCTGGTCCCAGAGCACGCGCCGGAACCAGAGCATGTAGCTGCTGTCCACCTGCTCCATCTCTGAGGCCACGTCCAAGATGTACGTGCAGCGGCTGAGTGGGCACACGTGCTGGCCTGTGGAGAGCCGGGGCAGCTGGGTGGGGGTGCGTACTTGCACGTGTGTGTGCAGAGCCCGTGTACACGCCCCAACCTGCCACTCAGGTGAGCATTGCCTCGGGAAAGCCTGCTCCCCGCTTTGGGGGGTCCACAGCAAAGGAGAGCATGTTATGGAACAGAGTGCCCCGTATTTGTGGAATGTTGATGCCCACAGACGGAAGTACCTCCCATTCAAAGCTACAGCCCCAAGGTCTAGGAAAGTGTTTTGGGTTATGCTCAAAGAAAGCCCAGCTCGTTCCCAGAGGGGGTTGGGGACAGGGAGAAGCACATGGGCCCCAGATCATGAGATCCAGTGGGTGCCTCTCTGCAGAACTCCTTCAGGAGAGACCCCTGCTGGGCTCCTGAATAGGCAGGGGGCCAGGAGGACTGGTATCTGGCACTGGCTGGGACTGAGCCCTTGGAGAGGCTTCAGGGAAACCTTTTATTCCCTGCACTGACATTTCTGCTCCCTGGCCCACACCTTCAGCAACATTTTACCAAAAAGCGAGTGAGTGGTGTGAGGATCAAGTGCAGACTCTTGAGGCCAGATAGCCTGGATTCAAAGCCCAACTGCGTGACCTTGGGTAAGTCCCTTACCCTCCAAGGCAGGCTGATTAATGGTCCCTCCCCAAAGGCGCCTATGCCCCAATCCCTGGAACCTGTGAATATACTACCTTCATGGCAAAAGAGACTTAGCAAATGTTATTCAGTTAAAGATCTCGGGATGGAGAAATTATCTGAGGTCATCCAGCCAGACCCAGTATAATCTCAAAGGCCTTATGAGAAGGAAACGAGAGCCCGGCCAGTGTGGCTCCGTGGTTGAGCATCTAACCATAAACCAAGAGGTCACCAGTTCAATTCCCAGTCAGGACACATGCCCAGGTTGTGGGCCCGATCCCCAGTGGGGAGCATGCAGGAGGTGGCCCATCGATGTTCTCTCTCAACAATGTCTCTATCTCTCTTCTCCTCTCTCTCTAAAATCAATAAAGAAAAAAACAATTTTAAAAAAGAAGGAGGCGAGAGAGAGCGATGGAGGAAGGTGTTACCCTACTGGCTTGAAAATTGGAAGAAGGGATGAGCCAAGGAATGTGGGCGGCCCCTACAAGCTGGAAAAGGCAAGAAAACCGTCTCCCCCCTAGAGCCTGGTGACACTGATTGCAGGACTCTGACCCCCAGAACTGTAAAGTAATCAAGGCATGTGTTTGAAGCCCAGGTGTGTGACATTTTGTTACAGTAGCAGAAGGGACCCTCCGTGGGCCTCATTTTCCCCATCTATAAACAGGGATGATGACAGTCTCCACTTCATAGGCTTGTTGTGGGATTAAAGGAGATGATAATTAACGCCTTGAGCTGTGCCTGGGGCACAGTATGTCTGTTACTGGACTCATGTTGCTGCCTTCGCTCCCATCGTGTCTGGGCCGGACTGGGGCAGGCTGGGCTGAGGACAGACAGCGGTTCAGGGACGAGGCCTCAGTGGGAAGAACTGGTCGGGAGTGGACGGAGCCAACCCACTGATGGGGACCCAGACCATGGTCTCAAGGGGGTGAGGAGCAGAGGGAAGGGGTTTTGGGCCACACGAGAAGGACCTAGAGAGACCAAGGGAGGGACTCATGACCGCTGTTAAAGCGTAAGGGACAATGCTTGCACTTGTGGGTTCCAGGAGCTGGGGCTCATGAAGGAAACCTTCCTAGGATGCGCGCTCCTTGAGCAGGGTCCCCTGGGCAGGCCCTGAGGGGCAGAGGGGACAGTCAGAGAGCCCTCTCTCTTCTCCACAAATTTCTCATCTGGGGCAGGCATGACAGATTTATACACAGCGGGGCAGAGGGGGACAGACAAGGCGCTGTGGGTCCCTGGTGCCCAGGAAGGACCTTCCACATGGGGGCGGGAGCTCCTGGGAGAAAGTGGCATCTGACCTGAACCCTGCGGCCACACAGGGCATGACCCCAGCGTGCTCGGTCCTGCTGGCCACTCACCTCCATTGGTGACCAGGAAGATGACGTATTCATCAAAGGCCTCAGGGCGTGACAGGGCCATCTCGGCACAGATCTCCTTCACCACATCCAGGGCCACCTGCAGGGGGTGAGTGAGACTGTGCCAGCCCAGCATCAGGAGACCAGGTGCAGAGTCAGGGCCCTCCAAGGTCTCTGAGAGTCAGCCTCAGGCGGGAAAGGGGCACAGCTTCCAGAGGGTGAGGCGCTCCGGCTGGCCCTGCATCTGCAGCAGGACCCTGAGCCGAGGCTCCCCCTCCCCCGGCTCGGCCTGCAGTTCTGAGGAACGTCCTGACCTGTGGGACTGTGAGGGCCCGGGAGGCGCTCAGCACCCCAGTGGCCCACTCTAGAGACTGGGGTGTCCCTGCCCCTCCAGCGGCTGCCTGCTGGAGACATTCCCTCACTTACGGTGCATGTTTTGATTTTGAGATGGCGTTCGAGACCTCCGGGGAGGAAAAAGAGTTGCCTCTTGGAACTGCGGCCGGCCTGAGACAAGGAAGGGCGAGGAGACGGGACAGGCTGGGTTGTGCGATCTGGGCCAGCCATTGCCCCTGCCGTTGAGAGTCCCTAAGCCAAGAGGTGCAGCGCAGGCGCAAGCAGGAGCACCTGGAGCTGAAGGGCCTTCTGCACCCCTGCACGCACACCAGGGTCTCACACTCCCCTTCCCCAGGCACACTCACCAACAGGGCGCGAAGCTCCATGGCGCTGGGGAGCTCCAGGCGGCCACCGCAGTGCCAGGTTTTCTGCAGGTTCCGCTCACAGGCCTTGGCGATCCCTGCAAGGACAGAGTCAAGGCCTGGCCCAGGGTGGGCAGTAAGCAAGGGCTCCTCTGGCCACCAGCCACAGCCCACTGGGTTCTCTACACAACCAGCGGGACGAGATTTTACTCTCCAGAGTGACTGGTGAGGAAAGAGCTCGGAGAGGGGCAGTGATCTGCCCAAGATCGAAGGCTGGAGTATCAGTGCTACATTCGAGCCTGCGTCCCATCCGCTAAGGCCTTTTGTTCAGTCCACAGTCCCCTTGGCTGCTCTGAGCCCTGGAACTGGCTGCCTTGAGCGGCCAGCTGGGGGCATGGCCCTGGGAGGCTGCGCGGCCAGCCCTACCCCTGCCACGGGGCCTCCTTGCCACCACCTCCCTCCCGGAGGCCCCGTGCAGAGGACCCTGTCCATGACTCCGGCCAAGCAGCACCCTGCTCTGGGAGGGTCAAATCCAGAGCTGCCTTTCACCATGCTGGGAGCTGTGCCCTGAGCGGGCCTAGCCGCAGGAACCTGGGAGTGTTTGTTAATCAAATCAAAGAAGAGGGTTCAGACAGAGGGACGTCCTCTGTCTCTGTCACAGCTGCTGTGGTGACCGCATGGGGCCCTGGTCTCTTTCTTAGGGGAAAACCAGGGAGTTGCTGTGGAAACAAGGCTGGAACCAAGGCTGAGGCATCGCCCCTTTTCTCCATACCCCAAGGGGTCAAGGCTGAGACCCTGCCACCAGCTTGGGGCCCACCCTGCCTGGACTCACTCAAGATCCTTTTTGGTTCCCATAGGCCAGAGAAGCAGAGCCTCAGCGTGGTGCTCCAGGCCTTGCCACCCCCTCCCCCTCTCCACACGCCACACTTCCCCACCTCCGGGCCCTGGCTCCTGCCACTCAGCCCAGTTACAATCCCTGCGCAGAGCCACCTTCCTGACACGCCACCTTCCCATCAGGCCAGCCAGCCCAGCGCCAGCCCCTGCAGGGCCTCCACACACGTTTGGGGAGTGAGTTAATCTCAGTAAACATGGCCCAGGCACCTGTGAAGGGCCAGGCCCTCTGGCCATCCCCTCCAGCTGCCCAGCCAGCCCCCACGTCGACAGGCCCTCGGCCCTGGGTCCCGCTTGCTGTTGGCCCCTCACCCTGGAAGGGCAGGCCTGGGGTCTGGCTCACATCTCGGAGGAAGTGGAGGAGGTGTGGCCGCAGGACCTCGGAGCAGCTGTGGTAGGCAGTCACAATGTGCAGCAGCCTCCAGCCTCGCTGACAGCTGTCCCTGTGGGAGCACACGGGGCCGCGTCACAGGCGGCCACCCCGCCAGGGGCGCGCCCAGAGTCTCCGGTTCCCAGGCAGCTCCTGTTCTGGGGATGTCCTGGGGTGGGCAGGGAAGGTCGCCCAAAGCCACGTGGAAGGTAGGTTCTGCTTGGGAAGCCAGGGCGGGAGGCAGGAAGGAAGGAAATGAGGCCCCAACACGCACAGGGAAACACCCCCCCCCCCCCCCCCGGGTCGAATCTCCGGAGAGGCTTTCAGGGAAGGTCCGCGAGGGAGGCAAGGGCGCCTGCTGAGCTGTGCAAAGGTCACAGCAGGTGAGGTCGAGGGTGGGAGTGGGGGCCAGGAGGATGCGGAGTGGTCCGCAGATTTTCGATGGGTGGGGAAGAAGTGGGACAGAACGGTGACCCCGTGGCAGCAAAAGCAGCACATGCTTTGGGCATTTGTTTTGTGCTGCTCCGGTGTGAGTTCACCTTCACCTGCCTGGCATGGGGGCTCACCCGTGGGGACCTCTCGTGTCTGGGGACAGCACCTAGGCTTCCTTTGTCCACACCACCCTTCCCTAGGTCCGTGGGGTGTGGAGAGGGCATGAGAGCCGGGTTCAGCTTCCCTCTGGCTATGTGACCCCGTTCTAGCCAATCACCGCTCTGTAACCCCCAGACACTGGTGCGTTTAGCGATGGACACGTGTGTGACTCAGGCCGATGAGACTGGATTGGGGACTTTTTGCTGCAAATATCGGGTCCATCTTACTTTCCCCAGGACCACTGAGCTGGGAAACGTCTCTCCAAAGCTACCATCATGCCAGTCTACAGGAGATGCTGCTTGGGAACGACACCCACACAGAGGAGAACAGCCGGGATGCAGAGAAAGCCTGCTTCCCGACAACACCTGGATCGAGCCCTGCCTGAAGTCAGATACCAGGCTTTGCAATTACCTGGACCCGCTCTTGCTTAAACCAGCTCAAACTGAGTTTCCGTCACTTGCTGCTAATAACCTGGACTCACACACCATCACTGCCGTTTTACAGAGAGGAAACCAGCCTGCTTGGTGTGGCTCAGTGGTTGAGAATCGACCCATGCACCAAGAGGTCGACGGTTCAATTCCTGGTCAGGACACATGCCCAGGTTGTGGGCCCGATCCCCAGGGGAGGGGCATGCAGAGGCGGCCAATTGATGTTCTCTCTCGTCGACGTTTCTATCTCTCTCTCCCTCTCCCTTAAATCAATAAAGAAAAAACTAAAAACAAAACAAAACAAAAAACAGAGAGGAAACCAAAGTCCAAGAGTGGGAATGGCTTGTCTCAGACCAAGCAGCCCCAGATACATGCTCCCTCTGAGGGAGGAAGAGGAGGAGGGAGAGTCTGGAAGGGACAGACTGGGAAATGGCAGGCAGCCCTGCCTCCTGGACACCGAGGAGGAGGGAGGACAGAGGCGAGGGCCTGCTCACTCACGGCTTGGCGCTGGTGTTGTCTGTGACCTGCTTCACGATCTGGCAGTAACACTCGTCCCGCATCACCTCGTGCTCCCCGCACAGCTGCAGGAGGGCAGGCCAGTTCGCGTGCCACCGACCAGGCACACAACTGAACGGGCACCTGGAGATGGCCTGGTAGCCCTTCTCCAGTCCCCCCCCACCAGCAGGATGCGATCTCCTTTGGGCCACACAAGGAGGGAGCTGCCCACCCCGAAGTCCTGCAACTCCGCCTGGCAGATGGGGAAACGGAGCCACAGAACCGGAGAGAGCGCCTCTGGCAAAGGCTGGACTGACCTTCAGCAAGGTGCAGAGGACGTCCAGCTCGCTCTGGCCCTTCAGCGGGGCATCCCCCATGAACCGCAGCACAGCTGTAGGAGACACCACTCAGGCGCCAGGCCTGGCTGCCCACCCACCTCAGGGTCTCCTCTCGAGAGGCCGTGGCCAGGGCAGCTGGGGGCTTCTCCTCTGAGTTAGGGGCAGGAAGCCGCCGAGGACCCGAGGGGAGGTGACAGGTGGGGTCATTCAGGCTTGGACCCCCGGCCCAGGGCGCTGGCAGGCCCCGCCCCACACCTAGGAACATGTCGGTGGCCATCTTGTTGTGGCTGCTGTCGCTGAGCTCGATGAGGGATTCCTGCAGCGGGGTCTGCGAGGGAGGAGGGGTGTCAGGATGGGGGAGCGACATGTCTGAGTGGAGAAGGGCCACGTGTGTGTCCTGTCTCATGACAGGAAGGTCCAGTCACTGGGGACAGACGCTGCTCTCAGGCCCTCGGGGAGCTGGGTGCGGGGGTCTCTCTGAGGGCAAGACTGTCTGCCCCAGGGGCCTGCGTCACCACATCACAGATGGAGAAACTGAGGTTTGGGGCTGGGCACCTTGGTGAAGCACAGCATGTCCTCCAAGGTTCTGGACTCCCGGCCCTCCTTGGACTTCAGCCTGAGGCCATCCCTATGACAGGAAGCAGATGGGCCGACCATTGTCCCTGGGCCTGTGGCTCCATCCTGTCCTATGTGGGGCGGCTCCAAGCCGAGGCTGCAGGCAGGCCTCACACCCCAGTGGTCTCCCTTCCCTCCCCAGAAGTGGGGCCTTCCCACCTGAACAGCTGCAGGAAGCCCAGAGGGGCATCCTCAGGGTGGGGTGAGGGGCGGGTCACCACTCACTGGGGTCTCCTCTGAGGGTCTCGGAAATACTTCTGAGCAAACGCCAGCATTGTGTGCGGTGGGGGAGCCAGGCTGTCCTCCCCACGGTCAGCTGAGCCGGTCCTGATGGGGGAGCCCTGCAGCGGGCAGGAGCTGGGGGGCTCGTCCGACCCCCACCCCATCCCCATCCCAGCAAAGCAGACCCAACACACCCCAGGTGAACGCGCCCAGCCAGCCTCAGGCTCCTCCCCGCCCATGGGTCCACCCAGCTCAGTCTGCCTCGCCCTCTGGGCCAGGTCACCGCCGCCACATGCCCAGCTGAGCCTGTCCCCTGATGCACTTGGCCATCCCACCCCCAGGCCCGTCCCTTCCCCACGGTCTCCTTAGTGGCCTGGCAAGCTGCTCTTGTCCTTACAACTTCGTTTGACTTCACTCCACCGCTTGCTGACACCACTCACCTAGCCCGCTCACCTGCCCCATCCTGCCACATGGGCCGGTCACACCCTCCTGCGAACGCCACCCTTCTCTACCCTACAGGTCACTGTCTGGCTAGCCTGTCAGATTCACCCCATCCCACGGCTGGCCGACACCCTAGGCTGCCCTTTTCCCATCCACCTCCAGTCAGGACAACCCCTTGCTGCCTGGCTCACCTCCCTCCTGCGGCCCACCTCCCACGCAGCGGCCGTGGAGGCCACGGCGGCTGCCACGGCAGCGGCGCGGCCCCGGCTGGGCTCAGCGGGCAACTGCAGGAAGTTGGGGGCAGCCACGGGCTGCACCAGCTCGGAAGGGAAGCGTCCCACGCGCCCATGGATGGTCCCGAACCTCCAGCCTGGGGGCAGGGAAGGAGTCTGAGGCAAACTGGGGGGGTCTCCTCTGGGGACTAAGGGACTCCCAGGGATACTGGAGCAGCCAGGGTGGGATGGAGGCATGCCCTGAGGAGACGGGGCTCAGGGAGGGAAGGCATCCCCTCCGTGGGAAGTGGAGGGCGTCGGAGGCACAGAGACCCAGCCACGGACATGGAAACACTGATGCTCACAGAGACCCTTCAGTCAGACACGCAGGCAGAGGGCAGGGCGGGACGGCCACCAGGAGTCACTCAGGAGACCTGGCCCGGCCAGGCCGCTGCACTGAGGACCCCCGTCCTGCATACGCAGTGGCGTCCACGAAGCCAAGGCAAGCTCTGTTGGGGGTTTCTACAGGAGGCTGGCAGGGCGTCTGGGCACCCACCGAAGTCAGGGCCTCTGCGCTGCAGCTCCTCCAGGTACACGACCTTCTTGCGGACGACACAGCCGGCACTGTAGCCTGCGGGCCCGGCTCTGTCAGCAGCTGGCAGGGAGGCCCTCTGCCCTGCCTCCCCTCCCGCCCACCCCATGCCAAGGCACTGACCCACTCGGGGGGGCTCCGGGGGCTGCAGGTGGATGGTGTCGCCCTTGTGGAAGGCCAGCAGAGCCGGGTCCTCGGGCAGGAAGTTCCTCACAGCCACCACGTAGTCTGAGTCCTGGGTTAGCCAGGGGCAGGCTGAGGGGCCCCAGTCCCTGCCCCTTGCAGCCACAGGCACCCCCCTCAGTCCTCAGGGGGCATTTCCCAGGGAAGGAGGCTGGGGCGTTCCGTAGCAGGGTGGAGGGTGGGAGGCCGGGTGGATGAAAGCAGAGGATGTCAGAACCCACGTGCACGTCTCACCCCTCCGCCCACCACAGCCTCCCCCGGCCCAGACGCTGGGCCGAGGCCAGTGACCTGTCTGGGCCTGGACTGCCAGCTGGGGGAGGGGGCGCCAGTGCAGGGAGCCGTTGGGGGCAGCACAGTCACCGCAGGAGGGTGAGGAGACACCTGCTGCGGAGCTCAGAGGAGCCTCGGCACCCTTGCTGAGGGCGTTAGTGAACGTTTTTGTTTTTGTTTTTGTTTTTTTGGTATATGCCCCTAGCGGGAACCGAACCTGGGACTCTCTGGTCCGCAGGCCGACGCTCCAACCACTGAGCCAAACCGGCCAGGGCAGCGCACATTTCTGAAAGACGGGCAAAGGCAAAAGGGCATTCCAGGCACAGCCTGTGCCAAGCCCTGAAGGCCTACACAAGTCTAGGGACGGGGCTACTGACTCACGCATGCCCACACTTCCCAGGCAGGTGAGGTCAGAGTGTATCTGGGGTGGGGGAACCTGTCCTTCAGCCCTTGGCTCCTGGGGTTGGGGGGGGTCTGTAGGAGGACCCTGACCTTCTTCAGCTCCAGGATGAAGTCGTCCACCAGAGTCTTGACCTGATGAGCTCGGGCCGAGAAGAGGATGACCTTCTCACTGGCCAAGTTGAACTCCAGCATGTTCTGGGAGGGGATGGTCACAAACTGGATGTCTGCAAAGCTGGAGGGTGGGCCGGCAGCATGAGGGCGGGAGCTAGTGGCCAGAGGGGCGCCCTCTACTCCACCCATCCCGCTCCTGTTCCCCTGCCCTTCCCGCTCCCAACACCCGTCCCGGGACACACCCCCTGGGACCCAATGGACTGCCCCACCTCCCTTATTTTTATTAAAAAATTTTTTCTCTTTATTGATTTTAGACAGAGAGAAAGGGAGAGGGAGAGACAGAAACATCAATGAGAGAGAACATCAATTGGCCGCCTCCTGCATGCCCCCTACTGGGGATCAGGTCCACAACCTGGGCACGTGCCCTGACGAGGAATCGAACCGGCGACCTCCTGGTGCACGCGTTGAAGCTCAACCACTGAGCCACACCGGCTGGGCCCTAATGATCCCTTGTGGCTCCAGCGCATTGCCTACCACAGTGCGCACCAGCAGTCAGTCCCTCCCCACTCTGCTATATTTGCCTCTTGATCCAGTCTCCTCATTGACCAAATTCTCTTCATCTTTCAAAGCGAGAAGCGTTTACTCAATGGTGAGCAGCCTCTCTTCCTGTCCTGTGCTACACAGGACAAGGGGATGGGGACAGGGAGTGGCCAGGGGACTCAGGAAGCCTCACACTGGATACCCTGTCCCTTCCAGGCTGCATCAGAGCTCAGCAGTCGGCCACACAGTCGCCCACCACAGTGAGCTCTGGGAGCAGGTGGGTTCCGAGCTGTGTGACCTGAGACAGCACCTCCCTCCCTGAGCCCGTTTCCCCGGCTCTAGAACGGGCTGGATGAAGGGCTTGGCGCAGAGCTGCCTGGCACACTGTAGCTGCTCAGTAATTGGCTGTGGAAAGTCAGTGAGGAAGTGCCGATGCCAGTCTGTGCCCCAGTATCCGGCTAGCCCCATGTTCACCCGCCCACCGGTCACCTGTAAGAGCGCAGGACACGCAGCTGCCCGCTGGCCTCCCGGCCGCCCCTGGCCATCTGCAGGAGTTTGATGCCCATGTGAGACACAGCCAAGATCTGCACGCCAGTGCCCACGCTGCCCTGGGTAGGGAAAGGGCACACCGTGGTTCCCTGGCCTTGTCCTTGAAGCCCTGGGCTGGGCGGGGTGGAGGGAGGCGGGCAGGCGCGCACCGTGGCCGGGAAAAGGCGAGAGAAGTACACCTCCCAGCTGTCGCGTGCGGTGCTGACCACGGCCCGCTTCACACTCTCCGTCACCAGGGGCCGCTTTGTGTCCAGCTGGTTCTGGGCTAAGGGGCACCAGGTCAGGTCAGGACCTATCCCCCTGCCCGCTGCTGGCCCCACTACAGGGAGGGCGACAGACACTCGGCAAGAAGGTGTGGGGTCATTGTGTTCTCAGTGCCAGACTGGGAACCAGTACCCAGAGACACGGATGGCCCAGGCCGCCCGGCCTGTGGCAGAGCCGGCGGAGGCCAGCGGGGGGGTGTTTGGGAGGTGGATGGGGCCAGGCTCATCACTCCCCCCCACCCTGTGGTACCAAACAAGGCCTTCATCTGCAGTCTCTCATCCTCAGAGATGCGCAGGCAGCCCTTGGAGAGGGTGTCGTGCAGAATCTGCGGGAATGAGCCGCAATGTGGGTGGCCGGAGGGACTCCCCGAGCTGGGAGCCCAGGCTGGACTGTTCCAGGACAAGTGGGGGTTCCCTGTAGGCAGCTGTGGGCCCTCTGGTCAATCAGGTCCCACTTACAAAGACACTCTTCTGCCTCATTACCTCGTCTCCTGGCCTACACAGCCGGACTTGGATTGGACCTCTGGGCCCTGTCTAGCTCGGACAAACTATGAGTCTGGTTAGATAGGATTGTGGCTCGTTGGCCCTAACTATGGGGGGAGGGGAGGCCGTAGAACAGCTTCCCACTGCACCATGGTCCCCACCTCCCGGAGTGCAGAAGCAGAGTGTGCAGACAGCTAGACCACTGCCCGGTACCCTGCTGAGCACAGCCAGGAAGGCAGGGAAGAGAGGACTCACCTGCCGGAACAGGAGGTCCAGCTGCACAGGGTGGTTGTAGTTGTCCTTCGGGTAAAACACCTGTGTGTGGGGGGCTTCAGCATGGGCCTTCCAGAGCCCCTCCCTGGGCTCCCCCAGCCCCACCCCCTGGGACAGCCCTCCGCACCAGCGGCAGATGCTCTGGCCCGGCTCCACTGGACCTGGCTGTCTAATAGGGCCCCTCTGCCCCCATCAACCCTCCCCTGGCTCAGGCACCTCTTTGCGGAGGAAGATCTGCCAGGGGGGGTCCTGGTAGGCGTAGAAATAGGGGTTGAGGAGGCGGTGTAGCTGTGTCTGCACTAGCTCCCCAGCAGGCTCCAGTGACCTGGACGGCGGCGCTGGGGAGGACAGCAGGTGGGGAAGACATGAGGGCCGGCTGGGGAGGGGCTCTGGGCAGCCTCATGCAGGGGAGGGGCCAAGGTAGAGAGGCGTCCCATACCTTTGGCACAGACGAACCTGACCACACGCACATAGGAACACTCACACAGCCCAGCCCTTCCCACGACACACAGAGAGAGTGCCCAGTGTGTGCAGGCCTGTGCTTGGGCTGAGGGTGTTGCCGTGAACAGGACAGGCAAGGCGCCTACCCTGAGTTCAGAGTCTCCTGGCAAGTGTGGGTGAGATGACAATTAGAAAGCGACAAGACTCAGTGCCAGGAGCTACGGGGCAGAAATGAGACTGGGTGATTTAGGAGAGGGTCTGGGGGCTGGTCTATGAGGATCCTTGCATCTGGGTGGCCTGGCAGACCTCTCTGAGGAGGTGACATTTGGGACCTAAATGATAAGAAGGAGCTGGGCATGCAAAGATCTTTTTGGGAAGAGCATTCTAGGCAGAGGGAACAGCAAGTACAAAGGCCCTGGGGCAGGAGCGGCGTGATGTCTGCCAGGAACACTGAGGAAAAGAGTGTGTGAGGGGAAAAGTAGGAGGAGACAAGGCCGGGGAGGTGGGCAGATCTCACAGGCCACAGTGAGGGTATGGAGTTTCTCCAAGGAGCCGCTGGAGTGTTCTCGCCAGGGGCTTGCTGTGAGCTGATTTATATCTCTTAAGAACACTGTGGCTACTGCGAGACAAAGGATGTAGAAGTTAGGGCTCCAACTGTGATGTCAGGAGGCCTGGATTGAGATCCCTGACCTGACACTTTTGAGCTGTGTGATCTTGGGCAAGTCATTAACCTCTCTGTGCCTCTGTTTCCCCATCTGTACCTACATGGTACAGATGGTACCGTGTCCAGGGTTTTGGTGAAGATTTAGTAAGGCCAAGGAGGGCCTGGCCTGAAATCAGTGTTATTTATGTGCGGACATAATCACACACATGTGCACACAGTCAGTCCACACAGGCTCAGGACACGAACATGTGTGCCGCTGACATGCTCACACAGACTCACTCATAGACTCGGACACCTGCCCTCTGGTCCCTCCCTCCTCTGCTGGCTCCTCACCTGGAGTGGGCCCCATGGACGGCCTCGGTGCACTGGTCACTGGCTTCACCAGGGCCACAGTCTCCCTGGGCACCTGTCCCCAACCCAGAGAGAGTGCTCAGGGGACAGCGGTGGGCCCCATGGAGGGAGAAGCCACAGGGCCACACCTAGGGGCAGGTGGTGTCTGAGGCTCCCTGAAAGGTTCCCACTTTGTCTTGCATTCTGGGCACAGCCAGACTCTGCCCCTCACCTGGGTGCCAGGTGCTGCCGCCACTGCTGCCGTGTGGCTCATCTGTCCCTTGAGAATCATCAAGGCTTCCTCGTGGGGGTCTGGCCGCTTCACGAACACCCTCCCGCAGTCCTTCCTGGTGGGTTGGACACTGAGCTCCTCTTTCCAGGCACAGTTCCTACAGTGAGGACACTCCTCCTCCACCCCCATCGTTATGAATGACAGCCCAGAGAGGTTCTCAGCAGAGCCTGGCCTGAGGTCACACAGCACAGCCTAGAAAGCAGCCTGGGCCCCGCTCTGCTGAGGATATCACATGGAGTGCCCGCGTACACAGACCCACTCCCTAAACACTGCTGAGCACTCGGGGAGGGGGCTGTCCATCTGCGGGGTGGGGCTGGGGCGCGGATCTGACCTGAGGGCCTTGGGCTGGCCTCCCCACGGCAGCTGGTACTGCCGCACAATGTCCTTGATCTGCTGTGTGGGCTGGGGGAAGTGCTCCGAGTTCAGTGTGGAGTACCTGACCAGTTCTGGGCAGGGTAGCACTGTAGGCAGGGCTGAGGGCGGGCACAGAGTGAGGCCACACCTCCCAGTCGGTGCTGGAATGCTCTGCCACCACCCCAGCTAGGACAGGACACTCACTGGTTTCTGGAGAAGCCCGGTCCTGAGCTAGAATGGGGGCAGCCACAGGCTTGGTGGGGGGCCTGGGGGCCTTGGCCGGAGGGGCTGGGGTCAAGGGCTTCGGACTGGAACGCAGTAGCACTGGCTTGGCCGGGGGTCCAGTGCCTAAGAACTTTGGCCGTGCCTCTGGTGCGAGGGGTTTCTGCAGAGAGCAAGGTGTGAGGTCAGCGTCCAGGGCCACGCCAGCTCGTTCTCAGGGACCCCATGCCTGCCCAGGACGGGCTGTGGGGTCCTGGCTCCGAGAGAGGCAGGGATGGCCTGGAGCTGCACAGCGCTCACCAGGCAGGCCAGGCTCACCTCTGGGGGTGTGGGCCTTGGGGCAGGACTCAGGGGCTGCTGCTGGAGTGCCATGGCCTGCAGGGTCATCTCCCTGGCCTGCAGAGAGGCGGTGGTGCTGACCAGGCAGGCTCAGGCTCCGCCTCCCCCAAGGGCCGCCCCCCACTTACCAGCAGCACGGCCTGCTTGTGGATGAAGGCTTGCTGCAGAGCCAGAGTGGAGGCATCCAGGCCAGGGACTTTGGGGAGTGGGTCAGAGGGCACAGATCCAAGGCGCAGGAGATGAGGAAAAGGGGGTTTCCTACCACCAGCCCACCCCCACCATGCCCATGCTGCATGGGAATGAGCCCGGAGAACCCGTGGGGTCCCCGGCCTTGCCCAACCCTGGAACCAACCCCGGGGCAGGACTGACTTGGCTTCGGCTCCGGGGATCTCCTGGGGGTGTCTTCAGTGCTGCTGCCACCTCCACCGGGCTGGCCTCCCCCTTTCATGCGGCAGGCAACGGTTGTCGGCTTCTCCAGGTCCTGGGGGCGGCAGGTGGCTCAAGTGACCGCCTCAGTGCTGTCCTCCCAAGGTGCCAAGGCAACAGGCACCTGACACCAGCCTCCTCCTCCACCCCAGGGCCTCCCACTGGCTAAGCGTCTGCGGTGCCCAACCTCCGCCCATGTGCATTCTTGTCTGTCCTCCCACAGACCTGCAAGCTCCCACTCGCCACCCCCTTTCACAGAGAAAAAACTGGGGTGCAAGGGTGACTGAGTGGCTGGCTTCCCTAGGGCAGGGCAGGTCTTGGGCCTCAGTCAGGAGCACCTCTAGCTGAGAGGACACCCTCCTCCTTTGCCGGGTCCCTGCAGGGACCCAGATGAGATGTGCCACCCCCTGGCCTGGCTGTCCACACTGCGGATGTGTGTGTCTTGGCGTGTACGTGCCGCGGATGTGTGTGTCTTGGCGTGGTGTGTACATGCCGCGGATATGTGTGTCTTGGCGTGGTGTGTACATGCCGCGGATGTGTGTGTCTTGGCGTGTACGTGCCGCGGATGTGTGTGTCTTGGCGTGGTGTGTACATGCCGCGGATATGTGTGTCTTGGCGTGGTGTGTACATGCCGCGGATGTGTGTGTCTTGGCGTGTACGTGCCGCGCATGTGTGTGTCTTGGCGTGGTGTGTACATGCCGCGGATATGTGTGTCTTGGCGTGGTGTGTATGTGCCACGGATATGTGTGTCTTGGCGTGTACGTGCCACGGGATGTGTGTGTCTTGGCATGTACGTGCCGTGCCTGCTGTCTGCAAACACCCCATCCCTACCGCATCCCCACAGGACAGCACAGGGTCGAAGAGGCTGTCCAGGTAGCAGTCCAGTCCCTTGTGGGACACAGCAGGCTGTCCGAGGCTGTCCAAGTCTGGCGAGGTGGGGGACACACACAAGTCAGGTTCTCTCCTGCTGATCACCTCCCACAGCCCCCAGGCTCCCTTCCCCAAGAAACAGTGGCCGCTGCTGGTTGACCTTGGTGGGTCGCTTTCCTTCTCTGGGCCTCAGTCTCCCCATTTGTACTGTCCTCATTGTGGCTGCAGTACCCATTGGAGTCAGCCACTTTGGGCACCTGCCCCTGGGGTTGGGGCCTGGTAGGTGCATCCTCGTCCGAGTCCCAGCTGTTCCCAAACACGCTGTGGGGAAGGGGGATGTGAGCATCTGACCCCCAGAGAGGCCCACGGCCCTCCCAGGCCCTCTGCCCCAATCTCCTCTGTGCAGTACTCTGGAACTGAATGACTCTGTTTAAAGGCAGGACCTTTGGCAAGCCCTCCTCCTTGAGAACCCTGAAGCTTAGCTTCTCTCAGCAGCCAGAGGGGCCCAGGCAGCCACCTACGCTCTCGGGCCCGCCCTGCCGGCTGTGGGTCCTTCTGCACCCACGATGAAGTAGGACTTCTGCCGCGGGAAGTCCCTGAGCAGCTCCAGGTCGGACACTAGATCCAGCACATAGTCGTGGCCTGCAAGCTCTGCCCACTGGGCCCCATTCTTCACAGCCACCGTCCAGCCCCGCCAGCCGTCCACCAGCCCCCTAGCGACAGCATACGGAGATACACAAATGAGGGACGAAGCCCAGAGGTACCACCTGGGGAGACTCTGGGCTATGCGCCAGAGTGGATGCCATGGGGCCCTTAGGGGAATCTGGCCCCTCCCCCATCCCTCCTTCCCAGGGGCACAAGAGGGGTGTGCTGGGTAGGGCATTCCAGGGCCCACCTGTGCCTCAGGATGTCTCCAGCCACCTCTTCACCTGTGCTCCAGGAGTGGACCGGGCAGGAGAACTGGTCACCTGGGGCAAGAGCCAGTGCTCAGCTCAGCCTGGGGACCGGAAGTCCTCCAGCTCTCTGCCTCCCCCTCCTTCCTGCCCTCAGGCCTCTCTCATTCTGGCCCAGGATCCTGAGTCTGCATCTGTCCTGCCACAGGCTCCTCCCCTGGCTCCTCCCCTGGCTCCTCCCCCGCATTCCAGGCCCACCCTGGCTCCTCCCCCTCATTCCAGGCCCACCTACAGCTCCTCCCCAGCTCCTCCCCTACATTCCAGGCCCACCCACAGCTCCTCCCCAGCTCCTCCCCTACATTCCAGGCCCACCCACAGCTCCTCCCCAGCTCCTCCCCTACATTCCAGGCCCACCCACAGCTCCTCCCAGCTCCTCCCCTATATTCCAGGCCCACCCACAGCTCCTCCCAGCTCCTCCCCTACATTCCAGGCCCACCCACAGCTCCTCCCCAGCTCCTCCCCTGCATTCCAGGCCCACCAACAGCTCCTCCCCAGCTCCTCCCCTACATTCCAGGCCCACCCACAGCTCCTCCCAGCTCCTCCCCTACATTCCAGGCCCACCCACAGCTCCTCCCCAGCTCCTCCCCTGCATTCCAGGCCCACCCACAGCTCCTCCCCAGCTCCTCCCCTGCATTCCAGGCCCACCCACAGCTCCTCCCCAGCTCCTCCCCTACATTCCAGGCCCACCCACAGCTCCTCCCAGCTCCTCCCCTACATTCCAGGCCCACCCACAGCTCCTCCCCAGCTCCTCCCCTACATTCCAGGCCCACCTACAGCTCCTCCCCAGCTCCTCCCCTACATTCCAGGCCCACCCACAGCTCCTCCCAGCTCCTCCCCTACATTCCAGGCCCACCCACAGCTCCTCCCCAGCTCCTCCCCTACATTCCAGGCCCACCCACAGCTCCTCCCAGCTCCTCCCCTACATTCCAGGCCCACCCACAGCTCCTCCCAGCTCCTCCCTACATTCCAGGCCCACCCACAGCTCCTCCCCAGCTCCTCCCCTACATTCCAGTGCCCCACCCACAGCTCCTCCCAAGGCTCCTCTCCTCCCTACATTCTCAGGCCCAACCCACAAGCTCCTCCTCAGCGCTCTCCCCATACATTCCAGGCCCACCCACAGCTCCTACCCCAGCTCCCTCCCCTACATTCCAGGCCCACCCACAGCTCCTCCCCAGCTTCCTCCCCTACATTCCAGGGCCCACCCCAGCTCCTCGCCAGCGCCCTCCCCCACATTCCAGGCCCACCCACAGAGCTTCCTCCCCAGCTCCTCCCCCACATTCCAGGCCCACCCACAGCTCCTCCCCAGCTCCTCCCCCACATTCCAGGCCCACCCACAGCTCCTCCCCAGCTCCTCCCCTGCATTCCAGGCCCACCCACAGCTTCTCCCCTGGCTCCTCCCCCACTTTCAAGGCCCACCCACAGCTCACCGTTGAAGCAGCCCACGTCCAGAGCCATGCTGGCCTTCTCCTGGGCTGCCACCCACTCGAGCTGGGTGGGAGGGAAGGTGCGGGCAGCCCCAGAGCCCTGCTGCTGGGCCCGGCTCATGGCCTGCATGAGGCGGTGCTGACACACGGCCTGGAAGCCGTTCTGCCCGTAATCAGACACAAACCTGAGAGGAGGGAGGGCCGGGATGAAGAAGGGGCTGAGACTCGCCCAGGACAGGGGAGATGCTGAGGCAGTTTAAGGGACGCCCAGGCTAGTCCAGAGCTTTAGGGTGAGGCTGGAAAGTCCCCAGGCTAGCTCTTTTTTCTTTTTCTTTATTGCTTTTAGACAGAGGAAGGGAGAAGGAGAGAGAGAGAGAACATCGATTGGCTGCCTCCTGCATGCCCCCCACTGGGGATTGGGCCCACAACCTGGGCATGTGTCCCAACCGGGAATCAAACCGGCGACCTCTTGGTGCAGGGTCAATGCTCAACCACTGAGCCACACCAGCTGGGCTGAAGTAGGTACTCTTATTATCCCCATTTAATACGGAGGAAACTGAGGCTCAGCAGAGTTACGTAACTTGCCCAAGGTCACACAGCTCTGATATGGTTGAGCTGGGACCTGAACACAGACCATCCATCTATACTTCTAGCCACCTCACTGTACCCCGATGATGGGAGGTCAGTGCCTCCATTTCTAATCCCTCACCCCAAGCTTTGCCACCCACTAAGTTCTGAAAGTCCTTTATCCAACCCCACAGAGGCCCAGCGGAGATGGGAGCACCCTGCCCAGGTCGCGGCCTGACCTGGGACGGCACAGCTCCCCCCAGCACCCCTCCCCCCGGGCCCACTCACTTGAGCAGGTACTTGCTGAGGCGCGAGGAAGGTGCGAAGCCGCCGAGGCAGGCAGCCAGCAGGAGCCAGCCCCGCTCGGCATTGTGGGCACTGGGGTTGCGCCACACCTGGTTGGCCAGCTGTGCCAGGATCTCATCTCGGAGCTCGGGTACTGCCAGTCCTTTCTGCACAATGTAGTTCCCGAAGACGTTCTCCTGGGCACCGTGCAGGTGGGGATCACCCATGAAACGCAGGATCTGGGCCACAGACAGACTCTCCTGGGCCTCTCGGGAAGCAGTTCCCACCCTCAGCACACATCCCTCTGATGTCCTTCCCATGGGTCTCCCTGCCCATATAAAAGTCCCCCACGTCACAATATAATAGTTATATCCTGCACCAAATGACCAGGCAGTTCGCTCCAGCCATGGGAAAAAGCCAAGATCCAATATACATGTTGACTTTCTCTCCTACTCAGGAACCTTCTATAGCTCCCATGTAGCCCCATCTCCACCCAGCACCACTAGCTGCCAACAGGCACCTCACCTCCTGCTCCACTGAGACCCCCGAGGGGCCACATATCCCACCACATCCCTCCCATGGAAGCACAGTCCTTGGCTCCATAGGCCCTTGGAATGAAACCCGAGCTCCGGGTGTGTCAATTATGGCCTCAACCCCTCCTGCTTTTGCTCTCCGGACTCTGTTCTAACCAGTCAGATCTGTCTTCTCTCCATGCGTTCTTCCCTGCCCTGGCTGGAGGTTGACTCCTCCTCCTACTCCAGCTCAAATGCCCCTCCCCTCGGGAAACTCTCTCTGCCCCTGCCCGGAGGCCCCCATCTGGACTTCCCAGCCTTGGCCTCCCTCAGGCCATGCTGGTGGTCACCAGCCAGATGTGCCCACCCCTCTTCCAGTCTAGGAAGTCCTAAGGAAAAAAGCTAAAGCTATTCTGTGTCCCTGGGAACACAGAGAGGCGCTGCTGGGAAGATGTCTGGGAGAAGAAAAGCCCTCAGTCCCCGAGATCTCAACCAGAGAGGAGACCAGAACCCCCAACAGAAACCTCTTCTCCAAAGAAGAGGCCTTGGCTAGTGGATGGCTCAGGAGGGGAGGAGCCCTGGCTCGTGGATGGCTCAGGAGGGCGGGAGGAGCCCTGGCTCGTGGATGGCTCAGGAGGGCGGGAGGAGCCCTGGCTCGTGGATGGCTCAGGAGGGCGGGAGGAGCCCTGGCTCGTGGATGGCTCAGGAGGGGAGGAGGAGCCCTGGCTCGTGGATGGCTCAGGAGGGTGGGAGGAGCCCTGGCTCGTGGATGGCTCAGGAGGGGAGGAGGAGCCCTGGCTCGTGGATGGCTCAGGAGGGCGGGAGGAGCCCTGGCTCGTGGATGGCTCAGGAGGGGGGGAGGAGCCCTGGCTAGTGGATGGCTCAGGAGGGTGGGAGGAGCCCTGGCTAGTGGATGGCTCAGGAGGGGAGGAGGAGCCCTGGCTAGTGGATGGCTCAGGAGGGTGGGAGGAGCCCTGGCTTGTGGATGGCTCAGGAGGGGAGGAGGAGCCCTGGCTAGTGGATGGCTCAGGAGGGCGGGAGGAGCCCTGGCTCGTGGATGGCTCGGGAGGGCGGGAGGAGCCCTGGCTCGTGGATGGCTCGGGAGGGCAGGAGGAGCCCTGGCTGGGAGGGGAGGAGGAGCCCTGGCTCGTGGATGGCTCAGGAGGGTGGGAGGAGCCCTGGCTCGTGGATGGCTCAGGAGGAGGGGAGGAGCCCTGGCCTCGTGGATGGCTCAGGAGGGTGGGAGAGGAGCCTCCTGGCCTGGCCTCGGGCGCAGGGCTCCAAAGCCACAGGCGATCCGAACAGACCCGTACCAGCTTGAACATGCTCACGGCTTCTGCATGGTGCTCTAAGGCCAGCCCAGTGAGGGGCGTCCTCAGGGGCACAGTCAGCATCCCGAAGGCAGGTTCCTGGGGGCACAGAGCAGACATGGGGACAGAGCCAGGACTGATGGGCACCTCTGGATGCACTGCTCTATGCCAGGTGGGGGCACAAGAGCCTGGGAGGCGAGAGCCTGTGTCCCCAGTGTATAGATGGGGAAACTGAGGCTTGGAGAGGGGCCAACACCAGCCCTCAGCAAGTCGGCAGAGAGACAGTCGGAGCCCCCGTCCAGGCCCGTCCTGGAGGACGGAAAATCAATGTCGGGATGATGAACTGGGGGCCCCGCTGATCGTGACCTGTCTGCCATTTCTCCAGACTGGGTGGCAAACAGCCACTTTCTGGGCCCCTGAGGCTCCCACTGCTCTCCAGGCCCCCATGGGGCCCCAGACTCCTCATGATCCAGCAGCTGAAGGGCTCACACCTGACTCCACAGGGCAGATAGGAACCTGCCCCAGGTTCAGGGCAGTGTACATTCTAACTGCTCCGTGCCCATTGGCCAGGGCTACTTACCTTGAAGTGGCACCGGACAAACTTGGCCATGGGGTAGTTATTGATGTCCAGGGGCAGTGTGACACGGGGCTCAGCCTGGAGTCGGGGAGTCCGTACGGGGGCCACCCGGGGCGCCTGGGCCGGCCTGAGGCCTGTGGAGAGAAGAGGGCACGAGGTGCCGGCTCCCCTGCCCACCTGTGCCCTCTCCCGCCACACCGTTCAGCACCGACGTACCTGCCGCTGCTCGCAAGAGCCCCGCCAGCTCTGCGGGCACCTCCAGGTGTCCCACAGCTACCACCTCCCGTTTGCTCAGCTCCTAGAGGACAGCCGTGGTGAGGGACCGGCCTGCCACACCCCCGCCTGCAGTCCTCCCTGCCTGTCCCCTGCTGCCACCCAGACCCCGCACCCACCTCCTGCTCCCGTAGCCGCACCTCCTCCACCCGGAGCCTCCGCTCTGCCCTCAGCTGCAGGAGAGCAGGTGGTCAAGGCAGGGAATGGTGGGCAGAGGCCAGGCGGGCCATGAGCCGGGGGGTGGGCCGTGAGCGGGTGAGGGGGGCCAGGCCACGCCAGCCCAGAGGACCCCGGTGTGGGAGACAAGGTGTCAGCCTGATCTCTGGAAGTGACCGCCCCACCTCCCAGACGGAGGGAGCAGAGGTGTGGCCAGAGAAACGGAGGAAACAGGAGCAGGACCGAGCAAGACAGGTGAAGGCAAAGGGAGGAGAGATGCAGGGGCAGATGCCCGTGGCCGCGCAGCCCTGGGCGCTTTGGGGACGGTGCTGGTCTTCCTGGTGTGCGTTTACAGGGCAATGGGCCAAGAGCAAACCTAAACTAAATTCCAACCTCTCCCAGCACTGCAGACCCCACTGAGGACCCAGCAGCAGGCCAAATCCTCCACCCACAGTACTCATGGACCCTTTCCACACCCAGAAGGGACGCGGGCGGTAAGGCTAGGGCGGCTGAGGGCACAGCCAGAGAGGGGCAGAGTGGGGACTCGAACCCAGTCTCCTCCTGGGAGCTAAGCGCCTCCTCCTCCCCACCGCTCCCTGGGCCCAGACAGCACAAGCCTGGCTCCTGGGAGACGGGCAAGGGGGGGCTGCACCTTGAGGAGGTGGGAGAAGGGCCAAGGGGGGCGCTGCACCTTGAGGAGAAGGGCAGAGGGGGCTGCACCTTGTGGAGAAGGGCGGGGGGTGGGGGGCTGCACCTTGAGGAGGCGCCGCTGGCTCACGTGGGTATTCACCAGGGCCCGGAACTTCACCAGCCGTTTCCTCATCTGCTTATACCGCTGTCTGAGGGGGAGGAGAGGAGCGTCTGGGCGGGAGCTTAGGGGTTCGGGGTGTGGTCAGCGAGCAGGTCTCTGTGCCAGCTTGGCCATGGTGCCACACTTTACTCTGGGACTCGGGTGCTAAGAAAATGAGCTCAGTGGGGGGCAAGAACTGGGCTCAGGTCAGCAGCAGAGCCTGATCAAGCCACGTGGACCACCCACTTCCCATTAGGTCGGAATGCCAGGGTCCCTGAGATGCGGGGTAGGATCCTTCTTGTTTGGATGGATTCCCACCCACTTGTCACCAGGGCCAGAGGGTGGCATGAAAGGACATCCAAAAGCAGAAACGCAGAATCTGCTCATCCTTCCGGCAAAGTCTCCTACTCTCCGCTTGCATACCTCCAGGAGCAGGGAGCTCACTACCTAAGTCCAGGCCCAGCCTCTCCCAAGACTAGCTGCAGGGCTCCAGAGCGTCCTGCCCGGTGTGAGCTGCACCTGGCCAGGTAGCCTCGGGCTCGGCTCTGCAGCATGATGATCTTGTGGCGCAGGGAGCAGAAACGCCGCTGGATGAAGAAGCCACGGAGGAAGCGCTGCAGGGTGAGGGCTGCCAGGTTCAGGACGTGCTCCCGCATGCTCTCCAGCAGCTGGTGCAGGTGCTCCTTGAGGAAGAGCTGAGGGCAGAGGGCAAGTGCTGAGGCAGGTGAGGGCCGGGGACTGGACTCGGGGCCCTCCTTCTCCAGAAGACTAGGAGACAGGCAGGGCAGCCTCCGGAGCTGGGTGGGGGAGGGGCTGGGTTTGGAGGGTGGGAAGAGAGGGTGAAGGCCATTAGGCGATGGGAATCGAAGGCCCAGAGGTCTGGAGGTGGGATCAGCATTCTGTTTACCGAGCTCGACTACACTGTTTCTGGGACAGTAACCTCTAGCTCGGGCATTTCTGACTCCACAGCTCATTTCAAAGCCCCTGAACGTGGGGCCTCCAGGGGCTGAGTGGGGGCGCCACTCACCTTGCTGATGCCAACGCGGTACATATTTGGCATGACTGTGCACAGGCGGCTCAGCACGGACACACACATGTCCCCGCTGGCCGGCAGGTCGCGGTCCAGGGCCACCAGGCAGCGGTACCTGCAGGGACCACATTCAGTCTGGGGCTGTGGGGCCTGCTACCCCACTGCCTGCTAGATCACAGTCACCACCCCAGGCCCCTGTCTCCAGGAGGCCCAGGTCACAGCAGTGTCTCCGCTCAGCATTGTCTAATTAGAAAAGGCACTCGATTCTCAAAACTCTACAACTTCTAGGTGACAGGAAATTGTAAAAATGGTCTTAGTAGAATAGAACACCTTGGTGCTGTCTGCTGGAAATTTGTCATAATAACTATTAAAATTGTTTCTCTTTGGAGTCAACACATAATAAAACTATGGAGTCCCGGCTGGTTTGGCTCAGCAATTACAGCGTCGGCCTGCAAACCAGAGACCTGGGTTCAGTTTCCGCTAAGGGCACATACCTCGGTTGCAGTTTGTCCCCAGCCCCGATTGGGGTCGTGTGGGTGGCAACCAGTCGATGTGTGTGTCTCACATTGATGTTTCTCCCCCCACCCCTTTTTCCTGCTCTATCTGAAGATAAATGCAAAAAATGTCCTCTGGTGAGGATTAAAAAAAAAAAAACTATGGAAAAAATGCAAAACAATAAATATCTATCATCCAGCCGGTGTAGTTCAGTGGTTGAAAGTCAACCCAGCACCAAGAGGTTGCCCGTTCGATTCCCGGTCAGGGCACATGCCCAGGTTGTGAGCCGATCCCCAGTGGGCAGCATGCAGGAGGCGGCCAGTCAGTGTTCTCTCTCATCCATGTGTCCATCGCTCTCGCCCTCTCCCTTCCTCTCTCTAAAATCAATAAAGAAAAAAATATATATATATACACATTATATATATACATATATGTATATAAATGGTTTCTCTTTGGAATCAACACTTAATAAAACTATGAAAAAATGCAAAACAATAAACATTAATGCCATGGAACAGCTGGCCTGGGCGCCGTGGGCAGAGCGCAGCCTGAGCAGCCGGCCCAGCAGCCTGTTCTGCCTGGGCTGTTCCTGGGACCGAGCTGGGCAGGTGGAGGTCTGTGGAGCGCAGGAGCCCCCCTGACTAAGGTACCTGTCGATGAACACCTGGAAAGGCAGCCGCACCGGAAAGCCCTCTTTGCGGATTCGCACCGTCTCCAGCACCCCTGAGTAGCGTAACTGGGTCATTACCACGTCTGCCTCAAAGAGGCCTGGCTCCTGCGGGGGTGGGGGCAGACAGAGCTGGGCACGTGGGCCCACCCACCAGCAAGGGCACCAGCAATGGCAAACAGTCCCCCTGGGCTGGGCCGATGAAGGTCCAGAGGGGCAAAACCACTTGGCCAAGGTCACACAGCCCGGGGAAGAAGACTTGGCTCTCCCGGGGACCTCCGCCATCATACCTTCTTGTGATTGGGCTTCAGGCAGCGCACGAACAAGGGGTTACACCTGGGCCAGGGTGGGAGGAAGGCAGTGTCAGGCCACAGGGAAAGAAAATGCTTGTCCCCAGGATCACAGGTGAGGCCAGGTCCCGCCCGCCTGCCTGCCGCCCCACCTCTCCATCTTTTCAATCAGATCCAGGAGCGACTGCTGGAACTTGGCTGCCACTGTGTGGGCCTTGTAGAGCCGGGTGATGGAGCTGCTCTTGCCCAGGCGCTGAGGAGCGGCCTGTGGCGCTTGGCTGGAGAACAGGTGTGCCACCACCTGGGCGGGAGTCACGGTACCAAGGGGGACAGGCAGGGGCCCAGACACAGAGGCAGGGAGAGAGACGGGAGGGAGAGAGAAACTAAGAGAACAAAGGAGCCCAGTCTCCAGACCAAGAAGGCCCAGGAGAGGAACCTGAGGGACGCCTGCCCTCTGCAAGGCCACTGTCCTCCTGGCTGGCACACGCCTCAAGCCAGGGTCCTCAGTACCTTCCAAGGGAACTGTCCCGTGGTCGGGCTGACTTCTTTCTCCTTCAGTCTGGGAACACTGACTGTGTGTATGATCATGAACTCTAGCAATGACCTCAGGAGGACAGTGCCCATTTGACAGAGGAGAAAACGGAGGCCCAGAGAGGGGCAGGGGGCAGAGAACCCGAATGGGAGAACCACTCATCGAGCGGATGGGATGGGGGTCAGGGGAGGCCCGGCAATCCAGTGGGGCCAGCCAGGGGCATGGCCCTTTATGGGGCGAGGCCGGGAATGGGAGAAAGTACAGAGCAAGGCAAGACTGGGTGGGTCTGGGGTTAGGCGTGGGATGGGGTCAGGGCCTGGCTAGGGTACCTCCCCATTTCTGGGGTGCTCTGGGGCAGGGCCAGAACAGGGGAGGTGAAGCTTGCCCACCCGTGTCCGGCTCCGAACGAAGAGGTCCAGCACATCCTGGCGCACCTGGTCATGGTTCTTGTCCAGGAACTTGTGCACCTGCAAAGGGGACGTGCTAGGCAGCTGGGCGGGAATACTCCCCATGCAGGGCCTGGGGACAGTGCGCAGCAGCCTGCCTCCTCGTCTTCGTCCCTTCCTCCCTACGCTTCCAGACTGCTGTCTTCCTGTCTGTCCCAGAAGGGACCGGACCCTTCCCCCTGCCCTGGCCCCCTCCTTCCTATCCCCTCTATCCACCCATTCCCAGGGGAGGGGCACTGGCCACCTGCACAGGACTAGTCCAGATACTGGCCCTATCCTGCAGATGGGGAAAATGAGACCCTGGCTTAGCAGCCTGGCTTGAGACAACCCCAGGGCAGGAATGTCCTGAGATAACCATGCTAAGAGTTACCCCAGAGACATCACTACTGATAATAGCTACTCTTTGTCAAACCTACCCTGGCCCTGGGCTTCTTACGCCCATGAGATGGACACTATTATTATCCCCATTTTCCAGGTGAGGAGACTGAGGCTCGGAGAGGTAAAGGGATCTGCCCGAGGTTACCCAGATGAGGATCGGCGGGGGTGTCTGGAGCCCATGTCGTGTTCTGCGCCTCCAGCGTCAGGGACGGTGGCACTGGGGACCGAGGGCTGTGTTGGGGCTCACCTGGTAGGTGACCTTGCCCGCATAGTGCTTGATGGTGAACTCGGGCAGTGGCATCTTGGGTTTGGAGTAGAGAGGGTTGGCGCCATGGTGGTAATGGCACTTTTGCAGAAATGTGTGGTCTGTGGCCTGGGGGCAGGCAGGGGTCAGTGGGTGGGCAGGAGACCTGGGCACCCTGTTCCTGGCCTAGTGGCAAATTCTCCATCCCTGACTGATCCCCAGTGATCGCTGGGGAGGAGGAACAGTCCCAGCCTTCCCTGGTTGCCCACTGCCCTGGGTGGGGAGGCCTGAGAGGACGCCCGCAGACAAGTGTGTCTGATCAGCTCCCCGCGCCTCCCCTCCAGCCCAGCTACCTCTGCTCTGTCCAGGCCCACTGCCCAGAACACCCAGCCCTCCCTTGTGTTCTCCCATCAGTACTGAGGCCCAACGCAAGGTCACCTCCTCCACATGGCCTTCTGTGACTCCCAGGCTGCTGCAGCCCCTGGTCTGGGCACCTGCGGCCCCTTCCAGGTGGTGGTGCAGGTGTGGTGTCTGAGCCCCCACCCCAGGCAGAGCAGGGAGAAACGGGTACAGGCTGATGACATGCAGCCCAGAGACGCTGAGTGACCTGACTGGCTCAGGGCTGCCCTGCGCACCTGGGGGAAGCAGCACTGGTCATCGAGGATGCGGAGGATGCCATAAGGCTTCAGCGAGATCAGGTTGATGCAGGGCTGGTTGTCTGCGAAGGTGATCTCCCGCCAGTTGATCTGTTCCCGGATGTACTCCTCCTGCAGGCAGCAGGGCTCAGCCCCTGGTCCTGCCCAGGCTCACCCACCCTGCCTACCGTCTGGGCCCTCTGAAGGGCTGGCCAGGGGCCCTCTGTTTGCACATCTTCTAGCACAGGGAGCTCACTTCCTAGCAGGGCAACATGAACACTCTCCAGGCCCTTTTACCTCCATCTAGGACAGCTCTGCAGAGGGTGAAGAGGATCCCCCAAGAGGGCTCTTCCCTGGGCTCATCACCCCAACATCTTTCCCACCAGAACACGGGCCTTCTCATGTGTCGACCCCCAGCTTGCAATGCTTTTCCCTCTATTCGGTCTACTGACAACCTCCAATTTGCCCTTCAAGAACCAGCACACCCTGTCTGTCACCCTCTCTGTCACCGAGGAGACCCATTGGCAGTGTGCACGGGGATGAGAGGGCCGTGGAGGCCCCACGCACCTGCTCCTCCTGGAAGATGATCTTGTTGAGGAGATACTGAAGGTTCTCGTTTGCATAGTTGATGCAGAGCTGCTCGAAGCTGTTGAAGCTCAGGTCCTGCAGGGTGGGGTGTGCGTGCTTAGTGTGTGTGTGTGGTGTGTGTGCGTGTGCGGTGTGTATGTGTGTAGTGTGTGTTGTGGGTGTGAGTGGTGTGGTATGTGTATGTGTAGTATGTGTGGTGTGTGAGTGTGTTTGGTGTGTGCGTGTGGTGTGTGTGAGTGTGTGTGGTGTGTGTGTGGTGTGTGCATGTGGTGTGTGTGGTGTGTATGTGGTGTGTGTGAGTGTGTGTGGTGTGTGCGTGTGGTGTGTGCATGTGGTGTGTGTGCGGTGTGTGTGGTGTGTGTAGTGTGGTGTGTGTGTGCAGTGTGTATGTGTGTAGTGTGTGTTGTGGGTGTGAGTGGTGTGGTATGTGTATGTGTAGTATGTGTGGTGTGTGAGTGTGTTTGGTGTGTGCGTGTGGTGTGTGTGAGTGTGTGTGGTGTGTGCGTGTGGTGTGTGCATGTGGTGTGTGTGCGGTGTGTGTGGTGTGTGTAGTGTGGTGTGTGTGTGCAGTGTGTATGTGTGTAGTGTGTGTTGTGGGTGTGAGTGGTGTGGTATGTGTATGTGTAGTGTGTGTGGTGTGTGAGTGTGTTTGGTGTGTGCATGTGGTGTGTGTGTTTGGTGTGTGTGTGTGCGGTGTGCGGTGTGTGTCTGTGTGGTGTGTGCATGTGTGTGTGTCATGTGTGGTATATGTGTGTGGTGGGTGTGGTGTATGTGTGTGTAGTGTGTGGTGTGTGTGTGGTGTGCATGTGTGTGGTGTGTGTGCGTGTGGCGTGTATGTGTGGTATTTGTGGTGTGTGTGGTGTGCGCATGTGTGGTGTGTGTGCATGTGTGGTGCGTGTGTGTGTGGTGCGTGTGGTATGTGTGGTGTGCGTGTGTGGTGTGTGTGGTGTGCGTGTGTGGTGCATGTGTGTGCTGTGCGTGTGTGCTGTGCGTGTGCGTGTGGTATATGTGTGTGGTATGTGTGGTGTGCATGTGTGTGGTGTGTGTGGTGTGTGGTGTGTGTGTGTGGTGCATGTGTGTGGTGTGCATGTGTGTGTGCGTGTGGTGTGTGTGTGGTGTGTGTAGTGTGCTGTGTGGTGTGTGTGGTGTGCGTGTGTGTGGTGTGTGTGGTGTACGTGTGTAGTGTGTGGTGTGTGTGCATGTGTGGTGTGTGTGCATGTGTGGTGTGTGTGCATTGTGGTGTTTGTGGTGTGCGTGTGTGGTATGTGTGTGGTGTGTGTGGTGTGGTATGTGTGGTGTGTGTGTGGTGTGCAAGTGTGTGTGTGGTGTGTGGTGTGTGTGGTGTAGTGTGTGTGTGTGGTGTGCGTGTGTGCGCGTGTGGTGTGTGCGTGTGTGTGCGTGGTGTGCGAGTGTGTGTGGCGTGTGTGTGTGGTGTGCATGTGTGCGGTGTGTGTGGTGTGTGTGGTGTTTGTGCGTGTGTGGTGTGTGTGTGTGTGTGGTGTGGTGTGTGTGTGGTGTGTGCGTGGTGTGCGAGTGCGTGTGGTGTGCGTGTGTGGTGTGTGTGGTGTGCATGTGTGCGGTGTGTGTGGTGTGTGTGTGTGGTGTTTGTGCGTGTGTGGGGTGTGTGTGTGATGTGCGTGTGTGTAGTGTGTGGTGTGTGTGTGGGGGGGTGTGTGGGTGTGGCTGGGCCTGGCCCTCCTTGGCAGCGGCCATTGGCCCCTTTCAGGGCCCCGCCCACCCCAGCTGGGGCTCAGTGCCCTCCCTGACTTCCTGGATTGCAGCCTCAGAAAGCTGGATCCCAGACACAGGCCCCTGCTCAGAACCCTCTGGGCTCCCACCATGCCCAGGTGAGGCCTGGCAGCCTAGGTCCCGGTGAGAGCAGCTCAGGTGGTGGTTACAGGTCCAGGCCCTGGACCCTTCCGCCAGGGTTCCAGTCTTTCTAACACTGTGACTTGGACAAGCCCTCTGTACCTTGGTTTCCCCAGCTGTGAAACAGGGACAGTGACAATACCACATCGTAGGTGGTTGTGAGGAGTAGGCGCATTAGTGCTTGGAACAGCAGTGGGCACACGACAGGCGCCATGGAAGTACCGGCTATCACTTTTATGTGTATGGTCTTGCCTCGTCTCCCACATTTCCCCTACTGGGCACTGGCCCAGCAGCCGCACCTCCCCCTGCAAAGGGCCTCCAGCTCCAGCCGCCACGCCCCCCACCCTGGGCATCTGCCCGTGCTGCTCCTCCACCCTGACTGCGTCCAAGGACCAAGCTCAGCGTGGCTCCTCTCTTTCTAGGAGGACTTCCCTGTCCCTGCCCAGCTAAGAGTTTTTCTCCACCAGCGCCAGGCTGACAGGGCTCTGACCACATGTCCTTGTCAATGTCTGTCCCCCATGCCCACCCAGGCCCTCCCGGAACCTTCCCAAGGGCAGAGCCCAGGTCCTCTCCAGAGTCCCGTGTGTTGCCTAGCGCCTGGCACCCAGAGGCCTCAGGGGGCCTGGGTGAGGGAAGGAAATGGTAGAAGACGAGGGAGGGGACGAAAGGGGGCCCTGAACAAGTGTGGTTGTGCTGTGGGCAGAGACGTGAGAGGGGCAGCCTGGGTCCCCCGCCGCCCCCAGCCAGGAAGCCCTACCTCGAAGCCATAGATGTCCAGGATGGCGATGGACAGCGCGTCCTGCGGTGGGGACACCAGCGCGTTGACCCTGGTGATGAGCCACCCGAACAGCAGCGCATACAGGACCTTGGCGATGGCGTCCCTGCAGCAGAGGGTCGGGGTGGGTGGGCACAGTGGGCGGCTGGGCACCCGGAGCGTCGGGCAGGGAGGGGTGAGGACTCACCTGGCATCCACGGCACTCTCCACAGTTAGGGGCGTGAAGATCTTCTCTCGTATTGTCTCCTAGGGATGGACATGGCCCCTGAGTGACATCAGGCTGGCCACCACCTCAAGAAGCCCCCAGAGGATTGGGGGAGGGTGGGGAACAGACATGGAGTGCCTGGTCATAGGTACACAGCAGGCCAGGGGTGGAACAAAACACCCTCGTCCCCCTTCTGCTGGCTATGCGCTCAGGGTGGGGCTACCAGTCTCGCGGAAACACAGGGGCAGAAGCAGACCCGACAGAGTAAGACCAGCCTTGGGAAGGGCCAGGCACTGTGGAAGGCCAGAGAACGTACTGACCCAGCCAGGGTCAGGAACAGCTCCCTGGAGGTGGAGGTCACTGAGTTGGGTCTGAATGAGGAGCAGAGGTGGAAAGGAGAGAGCATTCCAGGCAGAGAAGACCGGCTATGTAAGGCCTGGAGACTGGGCACCTGATGCATTTGGGGTCTGAGCTTAACTCCTCTGGGCCTGACCAGAGGACGGACGGGACAGGGAGGAGGGGGCGGGGAGAGAGTGCCCCACAGGATGGGGCACCAGCAGCCCTGTGCAGGTTCCGGCAGGGGCGTGGACAGGATCTCCAGTGCCCAGAGACTCACGGTCACTTTGAAGGTGATGGCCTTCTGCAAGCCCTCAGGGGAGATCTGTAGCAGCTCTGCCACAGCCTGGATCTCCCGGGCGCTCACCACCGAGGCCACTTCCTGTGCGTCTGTCTGTGGAGAATACCAACAGGAATGATTCCGAGCTAGATACACTGATTTTATTTCATTTTATTTATTTTATTTTAGTATTTTATTTTATTTTTTTAATCCTCACCTGAGGACATTTTTGCATTTATCTTCAGATAGAGTGGGAGGGAGAGAGGGGAGAAAAGAGAGAGAGAAACATCGACATGAGAGAGACACATTGAGGGGTTGCCACCCACACAACCTCAACCAGGGCCGGGGACAAAACTGCAACCAAGCTACGTGCCCTTAGCGGGAACCGAACCCAGGACTCTCTGGTCCGCGGACCAATGCTCTAACTGCTGAGCCAAACTGGCCAGGGCTAGATAAACTGATTTTAAAGTTCATGTAAAAAAAACATAAACAAGCTAGGAAAGCCAGGACAGCACTGAAGTAGGAATACAAGGGGACCTGGGAGATGGTAAACATATCACAAAGTTACAGTAATTAAAACAGCCAACAGACACATAGTATGTACGTAGATGAATGAGCACAATCGAATGTCTGGAATCATAAATGGACATAGGAACTAGTATATGACAAATATGTATTTCTCAAGTAGGGAAATTAGCATAATTGAGTAACTTCCTGGAAAAAAAGAAATTGATCCCTACCTCCCATCTTATTAGGATAAATACCTGATGAACCAAAGATTTAAATGTAAAAAAAATCAGCCCTGGCTGGTTTACTCAGTGGTTAGAGCGTCAGCCGCTGACCAAAAGGTCATGGGTTTGATTCCCAATCAAGGGCACATAAGTGGGTTGCAGGTTCAATCCCCAGCCCCTGTAGGGGTCATGCCAGAGGCAACCAATCAATGTGTCTCTCTCACATCAATGTTTCTCTCTCCCTCCCTGCCTCCCACTCTATCTAAAAATCAATGGAAAAATATCCTAGGGTGAGGATTAACAAAAAATAAATTCAAAACAAAACAAAACAGCCCAACTGGTGTGGCTCAGTGGTTGAGTGTCAACCCATGCACCAAGAGGTAGCTGGTTCGATTCCCAGTCAGGGCACAGGCCCAGGTTGTGGGGTGATCCCCATTGGGGGCGTGCAGGAGGCGGCCAATCAATGTTCTCTCTCATCGATGTTTCTATCTCTCTCTCCCTCTCCCTTCCTCTCTTTCTAAAGTCAATAAAGAAAAAAAAATTATGGAAGAAAGCTGTTATAATTTAAGACAGATAGGTCTCCCTAAAAATGATAAAAACTATAAAGTTTATACAAGATTGATTAATGAAATGCCTGAAAATAATTTTAAAAATCTGCATGGCTGCCCTGGCTGATTCAGTTCAGCAGTTAGAGCATCTGCGTGCAAACCAAAGTGTCGCAGGTTGGATTCCCTGTCAAGGGCATGTACCTGGGTTGCAGGTTTGATCCCCGGCCCCAGTTGGGGTCGTGCAGGAGGCAACTGATTGATGTGTCTCTCTCACATCAATGTTTTCTCTCTCTCGCTCTCTCTCTCTCTCTCCCTCTCCCTCCCTTCCACTCTATCTAAAAATTAACAGAAAAATATCCTCGGGTGAGGATTAAAAAGAAAAGAAATCTGCATGGCCAAAACAAGCAACGACAAAACTCCAAACACCAAAAAATCTGTAAATAAAGTCAAAATAGAAATGATAAACCAGAAGACATAGTTACAACTCATATTAAAAAGGACCAATGTCCTTAACATCTGCAAAGAACACTCAGACATCAATCAGAAAAAGATGATCAAGCCCAAAGTGGGGAAAGAGCTAAGACATGTGCATGGTGTAACCTGACAGGTAAATGCAGGTGGTTCCTGGGCCTCTGAGAAGACGCCATGTCCCGTGCGGCCCCGTGGCGGGCGGTGACCTCACCTCGTACTTCTCGAAGTAGACGTTGCCCAGGTGCAGAATGGAGGCCAGGATGCGGAAGATGCTGTCCTGGTCCTCCCCGCTGAAGCCTAGCACCTCCATGGCAGCCAGGAGCCGGTGGAAGTCGTCCGCATCACTTTTCCCTGAGATCTCACAGTTCCCACCCTAGGCGAGGGCAGGGCCGGGGTCAGGGGCTCGGTGGGGTGGGCAGTCCCTACGGTCCCTGCTCTGTCGGCCCTCAGCGTCCGTTCTGTCCCCACAGGCCTGAGCAGGTATTGTGCTCAGTCTGTCATCTCCTTCCTTTAGTCCTCTCCACATCGCTGGAAAGGGGTTCCTTGCTGTCCCCATTTCACAGCTGGGGAAACTGAGGCACTAGTAGTTTCAGCTGCTTAGTTCTGTTCTAGTCTCCAGAAAAATGAAGAGTCCTGTAGGCCTCCTCTCCCCCGGATTGGAACTCCTGTCCACCTGCCATGATGAAACACCCCACATCCCAACTTGCTCTCCCAATCCTCCAGCATCTTTGCTGGCTCTCAGGACACCACGACTTGGCTGTCTCAGCCCGGTGGGACCAGGCCTGTCTCACCTGGTTCAGGTAGTAGTAGGTCTCAGCCTCCTGCAGGCGGAAGGCCTGACGGAGCTGGGCAGGCAGCCCAGCCAGCAGCTCGTAGAAGATGTGGTAGTTCCTCTCGTTTTTGGCCTGCAGAGTGGGTGTGTGGTGCAGAGAGGGAGTCGCCCCCTAGACAACCACCCCTACACACGCAGCCCTGCAGGTGGGAGCTGCCACTTCCGTGCGGGGTGAGCTCCCGGCCTGACAGGGGCAGGGACAGAGGTGGAGACGCCCTGGTGGTGTGGTGGGGAGGGAGCACCAGGCAGTATTCCATTTTTTTGGAGAAATAGGAGAAAGGTGGCCGTTCTCACATGTGTACTGGTCATGCATCTGTGTCCTTAGAGACCTCTTGAAGGCTTACTTAGCTAGGTGGCTGAGCACCCACTATGGGCCCGGCCTTTGAGACACAGTGGGGAGCAAGGCAGACAGAAGCCCCTGGTCTCATGGATCCCACCTGCTAGCTGGGGAGACAGATACTCAGCAAATCACTGGTTAAAATATAAACTATGTCAGGGAGTGAGAAGTGCTTTGGGGATAAAGAAAGCCATGAATGGGTGGGGAGTTCATTTTTAAGTGGGATGGCTTCCCCAAGCAGGTGACATTTCAGAAAGAACTGGAGGAGGCCATACAGGAGTCTGGGGAAGAGTGCTCTAGGGAGAAGGAACAGTAAGTACAAAGGTCCTGAGGCAGGATCATGCCTGGGTGGCTGTGGGGCAAGGGGGAAGGGAGGATATTTGGCCACATGCTCACACATGCACATATATTTGTTCATTAATTCAACATTTCCTGGCCTGGCCAGGTGCCAGGCTCTGATACCTATGCACACACCCCATCCCAACACACAAGGGCCTTGGAGGGCCTGGCCCACCTGAAATACAATCCTGGATTTCTCGAGCAGGTACTGGGAGGTTATGGCACCAGAGATCACGCCCCTGGGGTAGGGGAGCATAGTCAGTGGAAGCCTGGCAGTCCGTGGGCAGGGCATTGGTGGCTGGCGTTGGCTCTGAGGGGCTGTGCCAGGACACGAAGTGCATTGCAAGGTCTCACTCACCCTTCCAGAAAGATCTCCACAAACTTCCCGAAGCGGCTGGAATTGTCGTTCCTAACAGTTTTGGCGTTACCGAAGGACTCCAAGAGGGGTGTTGCCTCCAGGATCTGGGCCCCAGAAGAAGATGCGGACATTATTCTGGTGGTCTTGAGTGAGAAGCATGACAGGGCCTTCCAGGTCTTCCCAGACACAGGGACCCCCTTGTGAGGGATGACCAGAGGTGGGCTCCCTAGAGAACCCCAGGGTCTTCCTAGCCCCCTCAATGCCCCCACCACGGGCAACCAGTTCCTGCACACAGTCTCCAGCTCCCCCTCCCAGCCCCAGCTCCAGCCCCTCACAAGGCAGCCTCCGATCAGGACAGCCGTTAAACACTGCTTCCTGCCAGTCCTGACAGCACACATGTGTGCACACACATGCATGTCACAGGGGCATGAGCATGTGCTCACACACACACATGCGCACACCCACACATGCATGTCACAGGGGCATGAGCAGGTGCACACACAAACATTCATATACATGCACGCCCACAATGCATGTCACAGGGGCATGAGTAGGCTCATGCACACCCACACATGCACACCCACACATGCATGTCACAGGGGCATGAGCATGCGCGCGCACACACACATTCACATACTCCAAATACCTTGATCTTCAGGAGCAGTCAGGAGGGAGGAGGAGAGAGGAACGAGAACAGAAGAAGGTCACCTGTAGGATGGACTACCTCCCCCGACAACAGCAGGGGCCTCCAACCACGGAGGGCCTGGCAGACCCCTCTGGGCCTCTGTGGTGGGCAGGAGAGCCACCAGGTAGGAGTCAAGCCATGGACCTCAGAGACCCACGAGTGTTTGGGATTGGGGATGGCAGCGGCCCCAGAGGCGGGTGTCTGCTGGGTCTACCTGCCAGAAGGTTCTGGGGAGGGCCTCTCCTCCCTCCCCTCACAGGCCTGGATGATGGGCCTTCTGGCAGAGCCTCGCTCCCGATCCTCCCTGTGCTCCTTCCCGGGACCCTCTGAAACCTGCTCGGTCACGTTCTCCCACTTCACTCAGGCTCAGAGCCCAGTCCGCTCAGCGACCCCCAAGGCCCTCCACAGCCCAAGCCCTGCTGGCCTCTCCTCCCCTCCCTGGCTCTGCCCAGCACATGGCCCTCCTGACTGTGCCCTCGACACCCGGGCACACTCCTGCCTCGGCACGGAGCCCTCTCCCTCTAGCCCTAGCGCCACCGGCAAGTCCTCTCATTTCTCTGCATCTTGTCTCGCCGCCCAACCAAAGACATCACAGGAATCTGCCTCTCTGCACACCTCGGGGGCCCAGGCATCTGCACAGGGCCCCCTCAACAAATGCCTGCTGAGCAGATGCCATGAGGACAGTGTTTACGAGAGCACAGCCAGTCACAGCTCTCATTCATTAAGGATCTGCTCCGCGCTGGGCCCTTTGGCCCAATTAACAATCCGGTAAAATCGGCCCTCACATCCCTGTTTTACAGATTAGGAACCAGAGACCTGGGGCGGCGAGCTAATGTGTCTATGAGAGAGACACGGTGAGTCCACCCACAGCTGTGTGTACAGGGTTCTCCTGCTGACTCATCTTCTCAGGATAAATCCTTAAGGGAGAAGCAGGGGAGGCCAGTCTCTGCAGAAATAACACTGTCACCGTGGGGAAAGTGCCAGCTCCCTCCATCTGGTCACCCCCACAGTCCTGTTCGGTGCAGAAGACAGTGTGCCCATTGTCCAGAGGAGTAGACTGAGACAGAGGAGCAGGGGCCAGCCTGGGGTTGCTCAGCAAGACAGGGGCTGCCTCCTATAGCCTTAGTCTGGGAGGTCCCCTGAGGGTGGATCGAGTGACCTCTGCTCCTAGTGTCCACTGCCAGTCTGGGGCACATGGCCAGGGGCAAAAACAGGGCAGTCAGGTGGGCAAACCCCTGGCCCTGCCCCAGGTGGGGTGGTACCTGTGGTTTGGGGTGCAGAGGATCCAGCCAGTCCCCACCTTGGAGGACCCTTGTCACATTCTCAGCCTGGTGGCCCAGGCCTCAGGCAAAGCATGACAGGGTCCAGTGAGGAGACATGGCCCAAACCAGCCCAGTGGCAGAGGCCTGAGCCTTTCTCTGGTTGGTGGGAGGTGTGGACTGGGATCCGTGGTGCCACCTAGCTGCCCAGTGGGAGATGGTTGAGGACGGTGCCCATCCTTGGGGGAGGGTAGAGCCAGGACAAGGGACATTGGTTAAGAGCTTGGATTGCACCCTGCCGAACTGGACCCTAGATCCGGCCAGTGGTGCTCTGAAAGAAGCCCTCAGGTGCCCCCGGCAGCACACGCACAAGCTGGGCACGGCTCACAGCCCCAGCCATCCTCTCTGACCCTGCCACGGTGGCACTCTGCCCTGACTCCCGGGCCCAGTCCCTCTACCCCCTTGCTTCGGAACCTGCGTCAGTCATTGTCCTCCCAGGCCTCAGTCTCCCCATCCATGAGTGGACACCGATGCACCTGCCCCCGGCTGCTGCCCCCGGCTCTGGAGGGGCAGGACTGAAGGCACCGCACCACACCACACGCAGGAGGGCTCCGTGCACACGTCTGCTCGTACCTAGCCAGTCCCTCTGGGAGTCTAACCTCAGAGGCTTTGAAAACCCTGCTTGGAGACGGTCTGGTTAGCTGCCAGGAGACTCGGGCTGGTGGGAGGGGCTGCCAAGGCCAAGGGAGGCATCAGAGGGGCCCACTAGGAAGTAACCCTCCAGACCCAAAAGCCTGGGCCAACCACTCCCCCCTGAGGGCTGAGCCGCCCCTGCCTGATGCCCCCAAGACCACCTGCTGAGATTGCCATTGGCTGGGGCACGGTGACCACTCAGAGACCTTCATGGGCCCAGGTGGGGAGTCTGAGAGTCAGTTCTGAGCTGCTGGGCTTTTGCCTCCTGCCCACCTGCCCTGAGCTCCAGGCCCATGGCGCACCCATCGCCCCCCATCTGTGTGCGGTGCCCGGCAGACACCTCGGGCATCGCTGTCTCCTCTCTGCAGCCCTGCCAACCCATCTGATTGCAGCCCTGAGCTGCCCCTGGCTCAGGCCAAACACCTGGGGTTGCCCTGAGACTGCTCGCCTCTCGCAGTCTGGTCTGTCCCTGTGGAAGTCACCGGCTGGCCTCTGAGCGGCATGGGATCTACTTCCTCCCTCACCTGGACTCCCTGCTGCCATTCTGCTGTCCCCTGAGCACACCAGACCTGTTTATGCCCCAGGGCCTTTGCACTCATGCTCTCCCCCCAGACTCCCTCAGGGCCCACTCCCTCGCCTCTCAGGGGGGCCTACCCTGACTACCACATTTCAGGCTACAACTCCAACACTCTCCCCCTCCCTCCTTTTTCTCCACAACTCACCACCCTTCCACATACATATAATTCACGTGTATTATTTTTGTTTCTGCCTCCTACTCGAGAATGAAATGTCCACAAAGGTGGGAACATCAGTCAGTGTTGCTGTGGCCTCCCTAGAGCCCAGCTCGAGCCAGCACACAGTAGGTCCTCGAGAAACATCCAACATTCTCAGGTTCAGAGGACTTGCACTCTGAGCAGACCTCCCATCCTGCAGACTCGGGCCTGGCCTCCTGGGTGTCCCAGAATCTACTGGCCCCACCCCCACGGACCTGCCCCACACGTGGGCCTGTCTGGCCTCTTTCGCTACGAGGAGCCGCGCCAAGAAGGTGAGGCCGGGCTGGAGAAGCAGGGTGACTTTCCTTGCTCATGTGGCCTCTACTCTAGCCAGGCCCAGGAGGATGGACTCCAGTGCTGCATGGATGCAGGCAGGAGGGACCCCCACACACAGGAGAGGAGAAGGAGCCCCGCGTCCTAAGAGCCCCCTCCGTGCGACCCTGGGCTCAGCCTCCCCAACCTCCAAGTGGAGCCAGGAAGTCTCACTTGGGGAGCACAAGGGGCACTCAGCTGAGGACCCTGGGAAGACAGACAAACCGACAGACATACCTGCTGCACGATGCCGCGTTTTTGGTTGATTGTGGCCAAGTAGCGCAGAATCAGCTTTGTGGCCTCGGTTTTCCCAGAGCCGCTCTCGCCGCTGACCAGGCAAAGGGGCAGAGTGAGGTCAGCCAGTTCGCTGCCTCTCCCGGGCTCCTTGACTCCTCCGTGGTGCAAGAAGTCACGGGCAGGCAGGAGGCCCGAGACGCCAAGCAGACCTGTTGCCTGAGGCCCCCGGCACGCCCCCTCCACACACGCACAGAGGCCCAGTCGGCCTGCACTCACCTGATCATTATGCACTGGTTCTGTTTGGCATCGAGCATTTTGGCGAAGGCGAGGTTTGCAATTGCGAAGAGATGCCTGGAGAGACACGCCCCGGGGGGCGCTGGGTGGGCGTCTTCCTGCTTCCCGACCTCGACCTCCCAGAGTGCAGGTGGCGGGCACCTCTGTCCAGCGGAGCAGTCAGTCGTGCTCCACCTGAGACCCTTGGGCAATGTTCCCTGCAATGGTCTCCACCACAGGGGTGTCCAACCCCGAAGGGGCTATGGCCAGGCTGGGGCACAGCGCTGGGCTGACGGGTGGGCCGCCGCTGGCCAGCAGCTCTGACCTACGGCTGAGGGGCCACCAAGGCTCGCCAAGCTCAGGTGGAGCCCAGCAGAGCCCGGGACAGCTCCCTTCCCCAGTCCAGGAGATACTCACGGGGGATTCTCTCCCAGGGCCCGCCCGCTGTACTGCTGCACCTGCTCCAGCCCGTAGATTCCGAACATCCGGTACGGGTTCACCGACACGAGGATGCTGCCGATGTACGTCTGCTGGGCCGACAGAGGCCTCAGTGCCCGCGAATCCTCCCAGCTCCATGTGTCCCGCCCCTGCCCCTGCGAGCCTGCACCCCTGTTCCGTGGGGACGGATGTCTGGCTGCTTGGCCTCAGTGTTGAACCCTGGGCCCTCTAACAGCCCAGTGGGTCCTGCGCTCCAGTGGGATTTCGGGTACTGTGTGGGCTGAGGCCGGGAGGCGTCTCGAGTGAGAGCCCATGGTCACGACTGCAAAGGTGGCTGTTTCAGCTGCTGTCCACCTCGTTTACTCCCAGTCAGGACCAGGCTCCAGGAGTTCCTGCCTCCTCGGAATGTCAAACGCTGACTGCCTGAGGAGGGGAGGGCTGAGGGCAGGGGGGGTTCTGAGGTGACGAAGGCCCTCTGGGGGACACTGATGCCTGTGCTGCGGTTCTGGGCCTCTGTCCTGTCATTCTGTGACCAGTGGCTCCCTTCCTGCCCTTGGCCGCCCCATTCCCGGGACCCAGGTCTGTGGATTCTAGGACTCTGAAGCTTCATCTTGGGCTCCCGGTGTCGGGTCTCTGCCCCTGCTAAGACTCTGTGTCCAGGGCCTTGGACGTTGGAGCTCCAGGCCCTAGTAGGCTATGCCCAAATAGTAGAGCCCTTCGAGTTGGAACCAGAGGCCACTCGTCTGGGGCCCAGCGGGAGAAATCGATGCTTCCCATCGGGGCCCCAGGAGCCAGGGGCCTGCCAGACCGGAGCCCAGGACAGGGCAGCCCGGGACTCACGTAGATGAGGTTCCGTTCAAATCTGGTCTTGAGGTTGGACAGCACTGTGGTCTCCTGGAGGTCTCTGGGGGACAGGACAGGCGGTCAGGGCCCACTCCCCTTCAGGGCCTTGGCCAGAGTCCCGTCTCTGATACAACTGATCGCGGGGCCTGGGGGGCTCCCTAACTTCCCTGTGCCTCAATTTCTTCATCTGTGCGATGTGTGGTCATCACCGTCCTTGCCTTACCCACTGGGTTGGGGACACTCTTAGGTAGCAGTTGTGAGAGCGTCACCGTAACTGGGTGATCATTTCTTTTTCTTTTTTTAATCCTCACCTGAGGACATTTTGCATTTATCTTCAGACAGAGCAGGAGGAAGAGAGGGAGAAAGAGATAGAGAAACATCAACGTGAAAGGACACAACGACTTGTTGCCACACACATGACCCCAACCGGGGCCGGGGACAAACTGCAACCGAAGTACGCGCCCTTAGCGGGAACCGAACCCGGGGCTCTCCGGTCTGCGGGTTGACGCTCTAACCGCTGAGCCAAACCGGCCAGGGTCTTTTTGTTTTTTGTTAATCCTCACCAGAGGATATTTTTTCCATTGATTCTACAGAGAGTGGAGGGGAGGGAGAGAAAGAGAGAGAGAAACATCAATGTGAGAGAGACACATCGACTGGTTGCCTCCCTCACGACCTTGGTGGGGGCCGAGGATCGAACCTGCAACCCAGGTACGTGCCCTTGACCGGGAATCAAACCCCCGACTGTTTGGTCCGCTGAGCCAAACCAGCCAGGGGCCACCCCCATCTTATAAATGAGAAGCTGATGCGCATAGAAGTGATCTTCCCAAGACCCTCCAGCTGGTAAGAGGTGGGGCTGGGAGTTGAACCCAGAGCTGGGCTGTAAGCACATTTGGATTTTGTGACACTCACTGCATGACCCTCACTTTGCAGATGAGGAAACCGAGGTTCTGAAATGCCCCCGGAGGGAGAGAAACCCTGATGGGAGAAGGCACCCTGGCTGGGAGGAGGCCGCTCCCCAGGGACCCTCCCTGACCCACTCACTCCAGCTGTGTCATGTCCTCCACGCCGTCCTCCCGGTGCTGCTCCAGGAACCGCATGGATGGCAGGTTGCGGATGGAGTGCATCTGTGAGACAGTCCTCTGGTCACCCGCTGGGCTGGCGGAAGCCCGCCCAGCCGCCCAGGGCTGACACGTGTTCCAGAGTGGCCCTACGTCTTTGCTCATGCCCAGCTGAGCACTGTGTCATGGTACATGGGGCCTGCAGGAAGACCAGGACTGTCCCTGTCCGGGCCGCACCCCAGTGCCTCGCCGGGCAAGCACATGGAGCAGCACAGGCCTCCACTCAGTGGCGTTCGCAGGGCAGACCACTCCTGGCACACCCTGGTCCCGCGAGGTGCCCGTTGACACGCGAAGGCCTGGAGGCACACGCGCACATGGACACCTGGGCTGTCCCCACACCCGGGGGCCTCGACACAAGTCCTGATGCCACCTTTGGACTGTGAGGTCTCTCTGTGCGTGGCCATGTGCACACATGGGACCCCAGGAATGCCACGGCTGCTGAGACCTTGGTGCACACACGTGCGTTCCGTGTCTGCCGTGGCACAGCCACGCACACATCCCACGCCGCGTGTGAGCCACATGACTGGGAGCACACGTGTACACCTGGCTTCCCAGCCCTCAGACCCAGCCCACAGCCCTCCTGAGCAGGTGAGGAAAGGGGACACCAGGGGAGCCCTGCCTGCTAAGTAGGCCACAGAGAGTATCACCTTGAGGCCCTGGCCTCCCGCCCACCAGTCTGCCCATGTGTGCCAGTGGCCGCAAACCCTGAATAATTCAGCCACTCACGTATTCGAGGGTGAGGAGGGCCCAGGCATCCTTGCCCCTCACCCCAGGGCGCCCCGAGGCCCGCTCCCGCAACGCTGTGGCCCACACGGCTCTGGGCACCCGCCGCCGGGGCCATGGCCCCCCCAGCAGCCAGGCCGCCCCAGTCGCCATTGCCGGGCTAGCTGGCTGCCCGCTCCCCGGGACACGGTCTGCGGAGGCTGAGCACTGACTGCACCCTGGGTGTCCCGCCCACCCGGCATCCCTGGGGAGGCTCCGGTGACCACTCCCCCTGCGCTGACAGCCACTGTGGCTCACGTTCCACTAGGAGCACAGCAGCCAGGCCTGAGCTTGGCACCCCTCAGAAAGCCACCTGCCCCTCACCCACAGGTGGCCAGGCTGGGGAGGAATCCCGGCTCACCCCTGAGCTGCCCGGTGACCTGGGCAATGAAGAGGCTGGAAGTTTGGTTCCTGAGCACCTCACTCAGATAGTCCAGAATCCGGCAGCCCAGGGGACTGCCCTTAAGTAGGAGCCCAGAGAGAGGAGTCTAACTGGAGGGAGGGGCGGGAGGAAGCGCGAGGACCAGTATGAATGCGAATGGGAGAGGGACGGTGGGGCAGGTGGACAGGCAAGTCCTGCCGTGTTGTACGTTGCCTGAATCTCTGCGGGGAAGCCGGGGTGGACGCGCTATACCGACGGGACCAGGCCAGCGTGGCTCAGAGCCCGGGTTGGGACAAGCTCCCTGCCCCGCAGTGATGTGGGAGGAGTTGCGGGTGCCTGTTCTGTGCCTGTCTGTGTTGGGCATCCCCTTGTTCAATGCTCCAGAAGCTCGGGGAGCCTGGGCTGTTCTCCCCAACTTACAGATGGGAAGATGGAGGCCCAGTAAGGCAGCATCTCACCAGGGTCCTGAGGCCCAGGACAGAACCCCCAAGCCCTCCCTTGACCTGTGCCCCCATACCTTGTTGCACCAGCTTTTGGGGCCAACTTCCCAGGGGCCCCTGCGGGGCAGATAAGCAGCTTCAGGGCCCAGGCGGCAGGATGGGGGGCGGGCATGCACTTGAGGCCAGGGTCGGTGGGTCCCTGCTGGCAGCCAGAGGCAGGACCAGAGCAGGCTCCAGGCTCTTGGCTTGAGGCGGGGTTCTGGGTCCTCGGTCAGCTGGGTGGGGGGCTGCAGGGTGTCAGGATCACCTCGCTGGAGAGAGCCCTGCTTTTGCACCCGAGGCATGACTACAGCAAAGCGCCCAGGAGCTGCCTGGCGCCGCTGACCTGCCATGGGCAGGGGCCCTGGGGCCCCAGTGGGCTTCAATGGCGCAGGGACACTGGGCAGTGTTCCCCAGCGGCGCCCTGGTGGCCACGTGGCCCTCCTCTGCTCACAAGCGGCCAGAGGGTAGGAGAGGCTGAGCCCTAGTGGCTTCTGCTTTGGGGGAGAGTCCTTGGGGGGCTTCGTTCGGGGCTCAGGCTCTGCTGGTGGCTGGGGGCTCCTGGGCCGGGCCTCTTCCTCAGGCTTCGTGGGGCCGGGGCTGGCCGACTTGGCTGGCTCTCCAGGCCCTAGGTCATGGTGTCTACTCAGGAAGACACCAGTCGAGTCAGAGTCTGGGTCCTCCAGCTGGGCGTCAGGGGACAGCACGGGGCCGATGTGCTGGAGGAAGGGGTTTTCGGGGATAGGGGGTGGCCTGGAAAAGCCCCGGCGGCTGCCCGCACCTCCTGGCCAAGGCGAGGACGGGCGCTGGGTGGCAGGCATGTCCACGTCCCAGCTGGGGACCAGGGGGGGCACCGTCCAGGGTATCCCTGAGTCCTCAGCTTCCTGCTGGCTCTCCTGGGGCTCGGGGTCAGCCCCCGCTGAGGGCCAAGACCCGGGACCCAGGGACCTGCGAAAGGGCTGGCGCACCCGGGGCTTCACAGCCCTGGTGGGCGGCTCGCTGAGGCGACGCCACGCAGGCGGGAGGCGCGAGGACAGGTTGAGCGAGTAGTGCCGCCAGCTGGGGTGCGGTGGAGGCGAAGGCAAGGGAGGCTGCGGGGGGCCCAGCCGCCTGGAGACACGGTGTGGGGACAGGGGCTCCCGCAGTGACCGGTGCGGGTACAGGGGCTCCCGCAGTGACCGGTGTGGGGACAGGGGCTCCCGCAGCGACCGGGGACGGCGGGGCAGAGGCGAGAAGGTCGGTGGGAAGGGGCCGGCCCGCAGGGAGGGCTGCGGCGACGCAGGCCCCAAGGGTGAGCGGTAGCCCAGGCCAGGCAGGCTCCTCAGCGACGGCTGGGGTGAGGGCAGTGGTGGCCAGGCCTGCCTTCGAGATGGCAGCGGCGAGGTCCCAGGGTAGCTGAGAGCCGCCCCTCGCCGGCGGGAGCCCTGAAAGGAGGGACGGGGTTGCGGGAAGGCCAACAGGTCGAGTGGCACCTCGGGGCTCACGGGAGGAGGCTCCACTAAGGCCCACCAGCTGGCCTGCGGCATGGACGGCACGTGGGCCGGGGCGGCCCAGGGCGGCGGGTGGTGGCGGAGCGAGCCGTAGGGCGAGGCGGGCCGGGGCCGGCCAGAGGGCACGGGCGGGAAGGGCGGCCCGGGGCTGGGGGGCCGGCGGGGCGCAGGCGGGGACAGCAGCGCGCTCCAGTGGGCCGGGGCGGCGGGCAGGTGCGAGTTGTTGTTGTTCTGCGCCCGCGCCTGGGCCCTCCTCAGCACGATGGGTGTGCCGGGCCGGTCGGGGTCCATGCCCGCCAGCTTGTAGCCGAAGCGCTTGTAGGCCGCCTCCCGGACCACCGGGTCTCCCCGCCGCGCCTTCGGGCCGCCCCGCGACCGCGGGGCCGGCTTCTTCTCCTTCTCCGACAGCGTCTTTTTGAGGAAGCGGGCCAGCGAGGTGGTCGGGCGTGGTGAGAGGTGGCTGAACTCGGGACTGAAGCCCAGGCCGTGGTGGGTGCGGTGGGCTCCGAAGGCCGACAGGGCCCGCTGCAGGTTGCGCTGGCGAGGTGTGAGGAAGCCCCAGAAGGGGTGGGCGTAGGGCCCCCTGCGCACCGGGGGCATCTCTTCCTCCTCCTCCTCGTCCTCCTCGTCCCCCAGGGGCAGAGGGATGTCCAGGGAGGGGGGCAGGGGCACGTCCAGCTTCTCCTTCCCGAACAGCTTCACCTGGGGCCGTGGGAAGAGGCGGAACCTGCGGATGAGGGACAGCTTGGACCGGGCCGGCTTGTCCATGCCCTGCTGCTCGAAGAAGGTGGCACTGGGAAGGCGGAAGGAGGTGCCCTGTCTCTGCCCGGCCGCCTCCTCTGGTTCCTCCATCTCCTCCAGCTCTGCGATGTCATCCATGGGGTGGGCGTACGGGTTGTGGGGCGACAGGATGGGTGGCGGCACCCACGGGTATGCAAAGGCAGACTCCTCCGGGTACAGATAAGGCACTTCGGGAGGGTAGATGGCCTGGTCCCCACCACCGTAGATGCCTTCTGCGTAGGGGGCGCTGTAGGGGACGCCATAGGGCATCTCGTAGGGATCAAGGGCGGGCGCATTGTATGGGAGGTCGTAGGGCAGGTACGGCCCCTCGAAAGGTGCGAAGGGGTCCAGGTAGTAGCTGTGGGGGTACGGCTCACCCTGGTAAGCATCGTAGTAGCTGTAGGGAGACACGTAGCCCCCAGGGGGGGCGTAGGGGGGCTCATAATCATCATAGCCGTAACTGTAGCCGTAGGTGGACAGGGGGTGGTAGGGGCCACCATAATAGTCCGGGCGGTAGTAGTCGTAGGGGTCCTCGGGTGGGTATCCATGCGGGTGGTCTACATAGGGCGGCCAGGCTGGGTTGTAGGGGCCGTAGGGGCCATAGGCGCCGTAGGGGGCGTAGGAGGCGTAGGCGGCCAGGCTGGGCTCCTCCTCCTCGTAGTGGTAGAGTGACTGCTGGTCATAGTAGTCGTCCCCCTCGCGGTGGTAGTCGTAGTACTCCCCCAGGTCTTGGAAGCCCTCCAGCCCGTACAGCGACTTCCGGGAGCCCGCGTGCCGGAACGGGGCCTCGTCCTCGAAGGGCAGGAAGCCCACGGGGTCCCCGGAGGCGTAGATGCTGCGGCTGCGGGGGAACCTCCGCAGGCGGCCACCGGGCCGCAGGATTTCGGCGCCCGATGGGAAGGGCAGCTTGCGGGAGCCCACGTGGGAGCCGGAGCGGCTGAGCCAGGCGTCCACAGTGGCTTGCTCGTTGCCCGACTCCTCGGCCTTCTTGAGGAGGAACTTCTTGGTGAGCCAGTTGATGGCCGTGGACGCCTTGCTGAGCGACTGGGCCCGTGGCCGCAGGCGGCCGTAGCCGCGCCGGCCGGGGAAGCGGATGACCATGAAGGACGGCTTCTTGCCCTTCATTGCCCGCTTCTTCTTGCCCATGCGCATCTGCGTCATGAGCTTCGACGTGGACTTGAGCACCGTGCGGGCCTTCTTCTTGCGTTTGGTCTTCTGCGGGCCAGTGTGCAGGCCCCAGAAGAAGGCCGAGGCGCTCCGGAACTGGCCCTTCTTGGAGATCTTGGGCGTGCGGTCGCGGAAGCCCATGAACAGCCGCGAGGTCCCCTTCAGGCTCCGCTTGGGCTTCTCCGGCTCCGGCGCCTTCTTGCCCTTCTTGCCCTTCTTCGCTTTCTTCTCATCTTCTTCCTCCTTCGCCATGGTGGCTGCCTGATCCCCACCAGGCTGGGCCTGGTGTCACGAGCTTGGGGAGCACACAAGGGTCCTCCTGGGTCTCCTGCTGGTGGCGGCAGAGGTGGCCTCCGGTCGGAGCAGCTGGGACTGGCCGGGGTGGCCTGGGAGGGACAGCCAAGCTGCTTCTGGTTGGGACCGGGTTTTCAAGAGGGCGGATCCGTAATTCATCTCCTTAACACACCGCCTTGGGTTTCACCCTCGGGCTGCGGTGGAAAGTCCGTGGGTGTCGTTTACCGGGAGCGGGGGGCCTGGTGGAGGCCTGGGCGGGGGGGACCATCTGGGCCTTACAGCTGTGACGGGGACTGCCTTGCTGACACGGGCAAGCCCCCGGCGCCACGGCGACTTCGGGTCACTGCCTTCACAAAGGAGACGCTGAGCCCAGAGAGGGACAGCCACCTGCCCTGGGCCACCCAGCACCTCTGGAGTGGGCAGAGGGCAGCTGCGTCTCCTGAGCCAGAGAGGGACGTTCAAAACCCAACAAGGTGCCTTGGTGGGGAGCCCTGGACCCTAGTGTCCTGGGGAGGGGAGCAGGTAGGGCAGGTGCCCAGGGCTCTGGTCAGTGTAACCGGAGCTGCTAGCCGTGGGGAACGTGAATAATGCATTGGGAGAAGCAGGCTGCCGCTCGCTCAGAAGGCAGGGCGAGGCGGGGACAACACGGGAGCTCCAGCCCAGCCTGGCGAGGCCACCTGCCAGGGGCCTAGGGAGCAGAAACAGAGGGTGGGTCCGGCCTGGCTCGCCTCCCCGGCTCGGCCACTGACAAGCTGTGTGTTCTCTAGAAGCCCTGTGCCCTCTCTGGGCCTCGTTTTTCATCGGAAAGGGAGTCATGGGCGGTGTTCTGTGTCCTTCACAAGGAGGAAGCAAGACCTGAGGAAGCTACTGGTCGGCACAGGGGCTGGACCTGCCCCCTTGCGGTTCATATCTGAAGTCCTGGCCTGTCCTCCGTCTGTGCCCGGTGAACCTGCCTGCACTGGGTGCAGCTGACTGATTCAGGGTGGACACTTCACCCAAGGCCATGTGCCCACGGTCTGGCCCACGACCAGTCCACGTGACAACATCTGCTCTGTATGAGGCAGAGGCTATGGCTTGTTAGATGAAGGGGTGGAGGAAGAAGTTGGGGTGGCCGCTGTGGGACCTGAGGCCTCAGAGCCCGTCCCCTCCTCCCCTTCCTCCTTCCCTCTGGCCATGGATCAAAGGACAGGACAGACCTCAAGCCAGCATCCGGCCCTCCGCTCTCGGAACTTCTGTGCAGTCTTCAGGTCCCAGAGCGAGTGCTTCGGTCCATCGCAGTTGGGCGCAGAGGCCCTGGAACAGAACGGTTCCGGCCCGGTCCTGCCGCAGATGGACGCCAGGCCTTTAGGTGGCTTGGGGGCCTCAACTTGCTCTCAAGACCAGGGACAGTGAGAGGCCTTCAGACGAGGATGGGCCTGAAGCCGGTGAGCTGGGCCTCTCCCCTTCTCCTCACTTCCTCTCCTATTTGCTTTTCTCTGGCTTCGTCTTTCTCCCCCGAGGTTCGCCAAGAGCCAGTGGGTGCCCAGCAGTGGGCAGGGGTGGGGAGGGTCGTGCCAGGGCTGCTGATCCCTGCTACAGGCCACCCCCAGGGAGTAGAGGGGAGCTTGGTAGAGACCACAGCCACCAGGTGGCCCCAGGGCGGGTTGTGCAGAACCAGCCTCCTGCCTTACGAGGTTTGAGGGGTGTACACTCTCCCTATTACCTCCTGGGCTGTGGCTGCCACCCTCTGTGACCGGAACAGAGTAGGGGTCATTCTAACTGAGCCCAGAGATGCCAACCCCCCCATGCCCCTCCTGGAGCCGGTTTTCAAATTGAGCCTTGGCCACTGTTACCTCGTGAGACCCTCACAGCAGCCCCCTGGGATGGGGGCTGGCATGGCCATTCCTCAGGGAAGGACGCCATCTCCCAGAGGTGACGTGTGCAAGGTCAGCCAGCTCGGGAGGGAGAACTGGGCTTGGGTGGTGGTTCCAAAGCCACCTTGCTTTCTTTTTTTAAAATTTATTTATTTTTCTTTATTAATTTTAGAGTGAGAGGAATGGAGAGGGAGAGATAGAAACATTGATGAGAGAGAACATAGATTGGCATGCCCCTCATTGGGGATTGGACCCACAACCTGGGCATGTGCCCTGACCAGGAATCGAACCTGTGACCTCTTGGTGCAGGGGTCGACGCTCAACCACTGAGCCACACCAGCCGGACCAAAGCCACCTTCCTTGTTAGGTCCCTGCCTGCTGGCCTCTTTGATGCTGGGCCATTGTGGGGGAGGGGGCTGGGTTCCTCAGTGAGCCTGGCCCCCCACCCTCAGGGTCCTGCAGCCAGCGTCCATTTGCCTGGTCGTTCATTCATTAATTCACTCGGAAGTATGTGTTGGAAGCCTGCTATACACTAGGCTCTGTCTTACGGGGATACAGCTAAGAGCAGGACAGATAAAAACCCAACCCATGTGAGTGTGGGGGTCATCAACAAACAAGGAAAAGAAGCAAAAGAAGTAATTGGCCAGGTGGTGATGAGAGCTGGGATTGAAGTAAAGGGGTGGGGTCTGAAGTGTGTGTGACACTGACGAGGTGTTGGGGACACGGCTGCTGGGGAGAGCTGCGGCAGGGAGGGGTTCTGGAGCAGGACAGCCAGGCCGGGGGACAGGAGTGCAGTGGGGGCGCAGGCGGGGATGGAGTCGGAGGCTGAACAGATGCACAGGGCATTGTGGGCCACGGTAAGGATGTGGCTTTGACCGCGAGTGAGGCTGGTGCTGTGGAAGCGTTTTGGCCGAGAAGGGATGCAACTGGACCAGAGTTCCCAGGGTCCTCCCGGCCGCTGTGCGGGCTGGACCAGGCTGGGCATGTCAGAGTCAGTGGCACCTCGGTGGAGGTGAAGCCACAGTTCTGGAGATGACACCAGTGAACAGGTGCAAATGGACCGGCCCAAAGAATGAGCCCTGGGGCTGCTCAAGGAGATGGAGTGGATGGAGGGCAGGGCAGCTGCAGCCAGTGGGCACAGTGAGCTGACCTTTGGAAGTAGCTACATAGAGACGAGGGTGGTCCTAGTGGACGGTGGGAGTGAGGGGTTACAGCCTGACAGGAGAGGGTTCAGAGAAGAAAGAACTGTAGTAGTCACAGGGCATGTGTGTGCCTGTGAACATAGCAAACACACTGCATCACGCACACTTTCGTGGCTGAATCGTACGGAATGTGGATTATAACTCAATAAAGCTGTTACCAAGAGCAGGGAGGGAGGAAGGAGCCCATTGCTGGAAATGTAGCCTATAGAGCCTTGGGCACAAAGGGCATGGCTACATACTGATACCATGTTGCATTCCACAGTAGAGTACTGTGCAACTATAACAAAGAACATGTACTTGATTCATAAAAATCCATCTCTGTACTGAGAGGGAAGAGCCCCAGTATTTGTTAACAGCATTGTCTATAACATATACCTAGGCCTGTCTTTTTGTGAAGTGTGCATGCGTGTGTGTAAGAATATAAATTCACATTTGCTCTTATTTACATGTACAGGTACTGGAAAAGGTACACAAGAAATGGATGAAAGGGGTTAACTTGCTGTAAACCTTTCTGTGGTTCGGTTTTTGAAACATGTGAATGCATTTCTGATTCTAATGGACAAACACACAGGTAACATTTTAAAAGTGGAAATGAGAAAAAGGAACCAGAGACGCTGAGTTTTGGAAACACCCCTTTAGAGGAGCCCCCAGAATGTCCAGGCTGCAGGGTCCACCCTGCCTCCAGATCTAGGCGACATCTGAGGACACGAGGAGAGGAAAGAGGCCAAGCTGTTCTGGGCTCAAGGACTCCTTCCACCTGCCCCCGTGTGAGCCCTTGGCCTCCTGGAGTCTGTCCAGAACGACCGAGGCCGGCCTCTGCAAGCAGCTTGCCTGGGGGGCCACAGCACAGCTCGGACAGGCGTCTAGCCTCCATCCAGCGTGTTTTCAGATGGAGAGACCAGTTGAGAGAGGCCAGCCAAGCTGTAGGAGGGCCCACGGGTCTCAGCGGAGCCCAGGGGATGTGGAGCCAGGCAGCTTAGAACTGTGGGTCAGGTCTGGCTCCTGTCCTGGATCTGACCACAGCAAGCCATGCAGCTTCTTGGTTCTCCCCGCCGGTAGGTGTGGGTATGACAGCGCCTCCTACTCCCGTGCTGATGGAAGCATTAAGAAAGGAATGGGGAGCTGGGCTCAGCGCCTGGCCTGGAATCAAGTGCCATTATTGTTGCTGATACTGGCTGTTGCTCCCACCAGCTCTGGGGTGGTCTGGGTGCCTGCTGGCAGCAGGGCCTGCCCACATGACCCCTTGTGGTCTCTGGGACCCAGGCTAGCCCCAGGCTGTGGGAACAGGGCCCCCAGTCCACTGGGGGCTGCTCCTTCTCAGGTGGCTTCGGGGTCCTTCCTCCCTGTCAGGCCCCAGCCTTGCAAGGAGCACAGAGGGGTGTCAGGGAACAAGTCTCATTCATTCCTCAAATAGTGGTTGTGCCCTTACCACGTGCCAGGCACTGTGCTGGGTGCTGGGGGTCACAGAGGCAAGTGGAACCCGGCATGGTCTCTGCCCCCTGGTGCTCCCCATGTCACGGGGGACACGGGCTTCACCAAAGAGCCTACACGGGGACCGTGGCCGTGAGAGCAGCGGCCAGGCCCCAGCACGGGCGGGCGGACCCCCACTGAAAGGCCAAGGTTTTGGCGTTGACGGTCCTGAGCCCAGATCCCAAGACCTGAGGGGAGAGGGAGGTAACGGAGCGGCAGGGAAGCTCCAGGCGCATGGGACTGAGCAGGGCCGAGGGGTGAGAGGCACGGAGTGAGCAGCAGCTGGGCTGGCAGGAAGGCCCGACTAGGGCAGAGGCTGGGGCAGAACTCTGGTCTCCAGCCCTAAAGTAAGGGGAGCCATGGAAGGTTGTGACAACCTTTGCCTTTTGAAAAGAATAAGAATCAACCAACACCGCCAAGTTTTACTGTGCCAGGCTTCACGCTGAATGCTCTGGCCACTCACTGGATTCGCACGACGTACGTACGAGGAGCTGCTAGTCCCATTTCTCACATGGAGGGCTCATCCTAGCGAGGTGGGCTCGCTGAGCCCAGTGAGCCCTGAGGCCTGTGCTGAGAACCGCCAGTGCGCAACCCCCCTACAGCCTCAGGAAGTATTGCCCTTCCCTGGGGCACTGAAGCAGGCCCAGAGGTCTAGAAAGTGGCCCAAGGACGCACAGCTTGACACTGAACTTGGACCCTCCCGCTGCTTTGGGAAGGTGTTCTGGGAGAGGGCCTGAGCTAGAGCTACAGTGGAGGATGGGCGGGGACGCATGGCGGAGCAGGGGAGGCAGAGGCCTGGCCTGGCCACGGGGCAGCGCGGTGGGTGCTCAGTGAGGCTGTGGGGAGGTGGCACCTGGGGGCCCTCGGAGCTGGCTTGGCGCAGCAGGACGGACGGGACACTCTGAGGCAAGGTGGGTGCTGTGGCAATGTGCCAGGGGGGTCTGGACGTCCTGCTGGGAAGTCAAGGAGGCAGTTTGGACCGGCCTGGGTAAGAAGGAGGCTGGGCATGTGGGGTGAGGCCGCCGGAGCGGGACAGAGCCAGAGGGGCTGCAGCTTCCGGACTACAGGGCTGTATAGGGGGGAGGAGCTGCCACCAGAAAAGCCACCCCGCCAGCACCTTGGTCTCAGACGTCCAGCCTCCAGCACAGGAAAAGTAGCTTGTTGGGCTGCCGGGTGTGGCGCTGCCCAGCCCAGGCACACAGGCACGGCCAGCAGCTCCCTGGGGGCAGAGCGGGGGGGGGGGGGGGGTGCAGTAGGAAATCCACGTGAAGTGTGACTCCCCAAAATGTAGCTAACAGCCTACCATTAACTGGAAGCTTGACTGATGACATGAACTGTCAGTTCACACATGTTTTGTGTGTTATGTATATACTACATGCTGTATTTTTACCATGAAGTAGGCTAGAAAAAGAAAAAGGTTATTAAGAAAATTATAAGGTTTGTCTGTTTTTTCAAATTGTCACAATCTCCAAAGTTTTCCAATATACTTACTGGAAAAACACTCACGTACATGTGGACCTAGGCAGCCCAAGCCTGTGCTGTTTAAGGGTCAACTGCAGCTGGCAGGTCAAGGAGGCAGGCCCAGGAGGGAGGAGGCTGAGCCACCCTGCGTTCTGCGTGCCTTCCCTCACACAGGAAGAGAGGGTGCACACAGCGCAGGGAGTCTGGAGAGGAGTTTCCAGGCTGGGGTGAGGGGAGCAGAGCCGGAGGGGTGAGGGGAGCGAGGCTAGAGGGGTGAGGGGTGAGGGGAGTGGAGCCGGAGAGGTGCTAGGTGAGGGGAGTGGAGCCTGAGGGGTGAGGGGAGGGGAGTGGAGCCGGAGGGGTGAGGGGTGAGGGGAGGGGAGTGGAGCCAGAGGGGTGAGGGGTGAGGGGAGTGGAGCCAGAGGGGTGAGGGGTGAGGGGAGGGAAGTGGAGCCTGAGGGGTGAGGGGAGGGGAGTGGAGCCATAGGGGTGAGGGGTGAAGGGAGCGGAGCCGGAGGGGTGAGGGGAGCGGAGCCGGAGGGGTGAGGGGTGAGGGGAGCGGAGCCGGAGGGGCGAGGGGTGAAGGGAGCAGAGCCGGAGGGGTGAGGGGAGCGGAGCCGGAGGGGTGAGGGGTGAGGGGAGCGGAGCCGGAGGGGGGCTGAGTGAGGGGAGCGGAGCTGGAGGGGAGCCTGGTGAGGGGAGCAGAGCTGGAGGTGTGCCCGGCCATGGTGGGACAGTCCCCCAGCAGCACTCTGGGCTGGGTGGGATGGATCTCGAGGGGGACAGATGAGCTTGGAGTTCTGAAATGAGGGCCTGTGAAATCGCAGCTGGAGAGGAAGGCACATGGAGATGAACACAGGGACAGATGGATGTCACCCCCGTCCTGGGCTCCTGTCACCAGAGGGCCCCTGTGGGTGCAGCCCTGCGTGGGCGGAACACCGCTGACTTCCAGACAACCAGGCTGTCTGAGTGGAAGGGGCTTCGGGTCGCCTGGCCAGAGCCTCCCACACAGAAGGCCCAGGGCAGGGGAGGGAGGGACAGTGGCCGCCAGGGGCACGGTGCAACCTTGGAGCTCACCCTGATGGGGTAAGACAGACCCCCAGGAGGTGTGGGGCTCCCTCAGCCCTAAGGACACCTCTCCCACATGAGGGCACAGTGAGCCTGGCACCCAGTGCCCCGGCTCCCCTGGGGCCAGGACAGCGTGACCAAGCCGGCCAGACCCAAGGCCAAGGACCTGGTACAGATACATGAACACAGACCATGCCCAGAAAACGACTGTCCAGAGAGGCGCACAGCGGTGCAGTGGCTGCAGCCTCGGACACAACCCCTCTGAGCTCACACTGCGGATGACACCCCAACCTCCGTCCTCAGACAGCTTGGGGGACGGAACAGGCCGGGAACGGAGGTCTTCTGAACCCAGGGCCTCATCAAAGCCCAATTTTGGGAGAGGGGCTTGAGCTAAGCCACGGAGCGTGTTCCTGTCTTGGCAATGCCAACAGGGAGCCACATGGACAGCTTCACGCCCCCCTTATCGAAGAAAGTGAGGCCCAGAGAAGGACCTCATAAACCCCCTTCCCACCTGCAAACCTGGGGGTGGGGGTGAGGGGCAAACCCCAAGGGTCCAGGACTAGGGTTCCTTACCTGGGTCCCGCGGCCTGCTCCCTGCCCGCATGCCCCCTACTAGGGGTCCCGTGGCTGCCCCAGAAGCATGGCCACCCGGAGGAGCTGCTCAGGGTTGCAGGGGAGGGGGAAGAGGCCCAGCCCACCACGCCTACCGCCTGGGCGCCATGTATATTTAATGATGTCTATTATTCCTGTTTTGTCTCTGGAAAGAGGGCTGAGCAGCTGACAGAGGAACCAAGAGCAGCCTGGGGAGCTGGGCTGCCGGCCTCCTCGCTCCAGCCTGGCCCAAAGACCCCAGCTCTCTACATCCCTACAGGCCCAGTGCCTGGCAGCCTCTCCAAACCTGTTACAATTCACCCCCAACAGGCACACTTCCTCCAGGAAGCCCTCCCTCTTGCTCAGGCATCTCAGGCTGTGGTTCACATCCTGGCGCTGCACTTACACCTGTGGGGCTGGGGTGGCCCCTGGCACACCACAGTGGCTCAGCGAGCACCTGCTGCTGCTACCTGGCACCACGCCAAGGCCCCTCACCCACTTTCTGAGGGCATAAGCAATGCACTGGCCACCAGCTCTCACAGGGACCTCCCTGTCACATAAATCACAAGGGCCTTCTGGGGATGCTGCCCGCCTTGCAGCCAGGCCTGGTCTCAGGAGGTACTGCGTCCGGGGTCTTCAGCCCCTGGCCGACACTCCAGGGCAAAAGCCATGCTGGAAGTCCCCACATTCTCCCTTGCACCCTGGGCTTGAGCCTGGTCCCCTCCAGCCCAGGCTCTACCCACTGTGATCATTAGGCCACTGACCAAACCTGGCAAGAGTTCAGAAACCTTACAAAATCGACCTCATTCTGAACAGGAACAGTTCTCATCCTTTATTTCAGAGAGAGCCGAGATCAGAGGGCCTAGAGAGAAAATAAAAAACCCGAACTCCAAAGTCCACACTCAGGTGCCTGCACAGGGCCTGGGCCCAGGGCTTGGTGCTGGGCATGGCTGCCCTGGGAGGGTGGCACTTCAGGACCCATCAGGCTGTGGCGGGCATGAACTGGGCTGTTAAACCACTGGCCAACCTGGGGTGGGGGTGGGGGAGCCAAGGGGGGCAAGGGTGTTTGTCCTTGGGTGCCCTTCCCGAGGACCAGGGTGCCGCAGGAGCAGAGGCCAAGGCACCCCCACAGCGACACCCCAGGGCCGCTCCCACAGCACGGAGCAGCCACCCATCAGGCCCTCGCTGCAGGGCAGGGGGCACCCTGCCCCCTCAGCTCAACCTAAGTCCCCCACCTTGTCCCCCACACTTTTCATTGGTCTACTGAAGAAACTTCTGGAAAAAGAGACCTGAGAGGCCCTTCCTGGAATCCGTGTATTTGTATTCTTCCTGTTTGGGCTTCAGCGCCCCAGGGAGACGGGGTGGCAGGCGGGGGCGTGGCCGGGCTACTACTTCTTGACAATCTGGATGACGTCCTCATGCTCCATGGTGTGGGTCAGGCCCACGCGCTGCGGGCTGTACTTGGTGCTGGTGCCCTGGGCAGGGAGAAGGCAGGGGGCGGCGTCAGTGCCAGCACCACCCAAGCAATGGCACTGTTACTGGAGGGCGGCAGGGGTGCACACTCAGAGTCTAAAGAGGGGTCCCAGCACTAGCGAACACTGAAGGCCTCAGACAGCAGGGCTCCCCGTGTCTGAGCCCCTCTGGGTCCTAACAGTGGAGAGGACAGCAGGGCTCCCCGTGTCTCTGAGCCCCTCTGGGCCCTAACAGTGGAGAGGCCGTGCCTGCTGGGGAGCATGCACTCTGCGGGGTGGGCAGACAGACACTGGGGCCCACAGGGAAGGGCGGGACACCGCGCAGGGGTGGCCCCCCGGCGGCGTGTGCACTCACCCACACCAGCGCGTACTTGAACTGGCTGGCGAGCGACCGGTGGATGCGGTGGCACTGGTGGGAGGACAGGAGGGCAGTGAGTGAGGTCCGCCCACTCCGCCTGGCAACGGCCCCTGCCAAGCAGTGAGGCCCCAGCTGGGTGCCCAGACTGCGCTGGCCTCGTCTGGGAGCAGCTCTGACGCCCACCTCCCAGGTCTGCCCACAGACTGCGGTGCCCAGGTAGGGATGTTCCGGCAGCGCAGCAGGTCTGGGACCTGGTGGCCGCAGAGGCCTCTGCCCACCTCGCTGAGCAGCTGCCCTGGCAGCTGCTCTTCAGGACACCCACCTGGCCCGGAGCCCACTGGCCACCCTCTCAGGCCCTCTGTCCACAGCCGTGACCTGGAGCCTCCCACACATCACATCACCCCCACCACCCCCCCCCACCGTGTGCGTCAGTATTCCCAAGGAAAATGAAGGTCACAGGGCAGCCAGCTCTTCCCCAGAGGATGTGGGCCCCTGGCACTGGGTGGGAATGATGCAGGTGGGGTGGGCGGACCTCACTCCCGTGCCTGCAGCCTTCCAGGCCAACCAAACGCCTGCGAGGACATTTCCCAGAGCCCACCGACCCGGGCCTGCTCTGGGTGGCCACGCTGCCGCAGCCACCCCTCCATCAGTTCCAGCACCTACTGTTTTCTAGACCAGAGAATGAAATCTGATGGCGCAGAGGTCAGCTCTGGCCTGCAAATGGGTTTTAAGTTTTATTCGGCTTGCCCCAGAACAAAATTAAACTCATCAGCGAAGTTTGCAAAGCAGAGCCAGAGTCACGGATGCTCCTGGGACCCCGGGACGGCGCTCACACTTGAGGCAGATGGGCCATGCGCTCCCCAGTGCGCCCCAGGCCTCACCATACCCAGTGCAGCTGGCACGGGCTCAGGGTTCCCAGTGACAGCTGCATCTGTGTCTTGCAATAGGGAAGAATTAGAGGCCATCCACAGCCGTCTTCTCCACACAGGAGAGCGTCTTGTTGGGGACAGGGATTCCCCCCACCCCCCAAACACGGTGCCTCTCCCCTGAGGGCCCGGCATCCAGCCCACGGCTCCTGTGTAGGCCGGGCCTTGGGCAGCTCAGTGAAGTCATACCAGGCCCTGGGGATGGGGTCAGTCACCCCAGTTGAGAGCAGCAGGCACAGGGAGGCTGATGGGAACCTGGGTACAAGCCCAGCTCTGCCTGGCTCCGTCTACTGGTTCCTCTGCTTTGGGTCTCTGTGCTCAGCACACAGGCAGATGTCCTGGGGCAGAAGGCGAGCGAGGAGGGGCCAAGCACTGAAGAGCAGGCCTCTCTGGGACAAAGACCCTCCCCACCCCACGAGCCTCTCCTTACCCGCTGCTTTTGACTCCATGACGGCTGACAGCAGCCAATTTGCTCCTGCCTCTGGGCCTTTGCACCTGTCATTCCTACTGCCTTCTGCTCCTGGCTATTTCCTGCTCTTCTTCCCAGGCCTGGCTAAACTCACACCCTCTTGGACAAGCAGCGGAGGGTCTGAGGGGGCTGAGGAAGTGCCCGCAAAAGGAGCAGGGTAACCCCAGAAAGTGCAGCTCAGGGGGTGCCTGTCAGTGGCTGCTAGGCCCCGGCAGGAGACTGCAGTCACGGCTCCAAGGCGGGCCCGGGGACAGAGACTCCCCCAGAGCTGCCTGGAGGGGTCTATGGGATCTGGGCAGCGGATGTGCCATTTCCTTGGCTCCTGCTGCCCAGGCTGAGCCCTGCCCTGTTCGCATCAGCTCTCCAGGCTGCAGGCCCACCCACTGCCCATGCTTCGATCCTGGGAAAAATGAGCTAGACCGGCGATGTCCAGCCGGTGGGCCACAGGCTGTCCAAACACGCAGCACCCGGCTCTCAGTCCGGGCACTAACTCTCCCGTAACCAAATGACCACGGCCACCACCACAGCCAACGCCACAGCCGTCCAGTATGAATGAATCAAAGGTATACCTATTTTTTTTGTCAGATGGCCAAAAAACATAGTACTTTATGCTGTGTGCAGTTTTAATCAGTGTGCGTGCCACGAGAGAGGCTGAAACTGCTGAGCGAGGAAAACAATGCCCGAGGCAACGGCCATGTGACCTGCAGCACCGCCCGGGGCTCTCAGGCTAACACCGGCCCTGCAGGGCTCCAGGCTCCTTCCCCAAGAGAAGGCGCAGGGACATGCTTAGGGGAGAGGCCTGTGCGTCAGAGCTCTGGACACTGGGACGCACCCTTCCTCTCCTGGACCGCAGGCTCAGCCCAGAGCCCTGCCTCGGGTCTCCGCACACCCTGCCCCCACCCGGACGGCTTCTCTTACTCCCAGCCCTGTCAGATCTCGCTTGGCCACAAGCCCTCATGTCACCTTCTGGCCTCCGAGCAGATGTGCGTGCCCTCCTGCTCGGCTCTGAGCCGGGGGATCTGGCACCGACGGGCCCCCAAGGACCCCTGTTCTGCAGGACATGGGTCTACCCAGCTGGTGCTTGATAAACCGTGCTGAGTGCACAAGGCAGGCAGAGCTGCCCTGGGCTGAGGCATGGGAGGCAACAGCTCCGAGTCCCCCTGCATGGGTAGGCACGCTCTGCCATGAACACAGGAATGCCCGGGCAGCAGCTCTCCTGGACAGAACTGCCCCCTGGCCGAGGAGACGGCAGCAGGGGGCAGCGAGGACCGTGGCCTCCACGCACCAGGCAGCATGCTGAGTCCTGCACACGCCTGACCTCATTCACCACCACCCCAACTGCCAGCGCGCGGGCAGTGCCCGTCTCACAAGAGAAGGGAGGCTGGACATGCGGCGTGGGAGGTCAGGATGCACCGGGTGGAACGCCAGGCCTGCCCCCCAGAGCACAGAGCAGTCCCAGGGCCCTTGGGCAGGCCCAGCACTCACCACATGCTCCACGGAGGCCCCTTTCCGGAGGATGATGGCGTCGGTGAAGTCTGGCCGCTCTGCACAGGAGAGATGGCGGGTGTGAACCGTCATGGCCCCGAGCTGTGCGGCTCCTTCCCACGGGCACAGAGGCCGCCTAGTCTGTAGCCTCGAGCCAGCCTCCACCCAGGCACACCTCGTTTCAGATCCCCATGCAATCTACAACCTTCCCCGAACACAGAAAACCCAAGTCAATCCATGTCCAGATTCAATGGCCTGTGACCCGGTCAGCCGCGGGGGCCTATGGAGACAACCAGGCGGAACATCGGGAAGTGCTGGCAAGATGGGTCAGCAGCTGGCTTTAGTCAGGGACAGCCACACACTCCCCTGCTGACAAGGTCAAGGCCAGCGGCAAGCTGCCAGGCTGGGCAGCCAGGCCCCCAAGTGTGGGAGGCGTGTGGACAGTGGGCGGGGACACGGACAGGCTCTGTGCCTTCAGCCACCTGCAGTCCTGGCGGCGAGCTCCGGGGGGGTCCCTGCTGTAGCTGGTGGGGATCCACACACCAGCCTCTCCCACTGCCCGCCCGCTGCCTCCGCAGGTGGGAGAACAGCGGCACAGACAGTCTGGCCAGGGGCCCTGGACCCGCTGGCATACAGCCCGCAAGGGTGAGGGCGGCTGTTCCCGGGCTGTGCACTGTGACTCACGTCCTCTCTTCTTGGTGTAGATGCAGGTCAGGGCCAGGTACTCCCAGAGCAGTTCCAGTAAGTAGTCCAGGTTTAGCTTCATGCCACAACTGTGCAGGGGAGGGGCCGGTCAGTGGAGCCTCGCTGGCTGAGAGGCAGGGGTCTCTGCTCACAGTGGCAGAGGACCCCTCCATGGGCCAGAACAGGCACCAAGGCCAGCGTGGCCCCACTGCAGCCCATGGGGACCAAGCCTGTTCTGGTGGCCGGCTGACATTGCAGCTGCCACGCTTCCAGCCAGCAGCCGGCCACCAGGGCTCCCAGGGGCCCTGGCTGCTCGTGAAGGGCACCGGGAGTCTGTAACTGACGCAGGAGCCAAGAGGGCGGCGGCTGTGTGGAGACTGGCGAGGGCTGGGATGGGACTGAGGGCACAGGATGACACTCCAGAGCTCACCCCCTCCTGAGCGGTGGGAGGGGCTTCCAAGGGGCCAGGGCAGCCCAGCAAGGGTTTCTCGGTAGGGTGGGAGGGGCTGGCTGCAGACCACCTGCAGGTCCTGCCCTCTCAACCCGAAGATGGGCATGTCTTCAGGCGGCCGAGGGCCGGGCTGCAGCAGGAGGTGGAGGGAGCTGAGGCTGTCCCTGGGAGGGCTGCTGGCTCTGCTGCTCTTTGCGGCAGCTGGCAGTGCCCAGGCAATGGTCCTCGTGCTTGCCTCCGGGACCTCGGCCAACGTTGGCACCAGTTACCCCCACCCGGTCCTCGAGCCTCTTCCTCCCCATAAGCCTCATGTGAGCCAGAGTGCTCTGTTCGAGCTGGGAAGCCAGCAAAGGGGAACACACTTGTCAATCCCCCTCCAAAGAGGCCCAGTGATGACAGGACGTGAGGAACGCCGTCAGCCAGGGTGTAGGCGGCCCGAGCCCACCGCTGGACGGGGGCTGGCAGTCGGGCGGTCTGCCCACCCAGTAACTTCAGTTTCCTCTGCTCTGTGGTGACAGCCACACCGTCCAGTCTCGAGGGCACTGGCTTATACCCTGCGGTTCTATGAGGAACTGAGCTTAAATACTAAGTTACAAAGCCTCTTGGCCATTCTTAGCCCTTGACCTTGATGGACGAAATCCAAGCTAACCAGAGCCCACCTGTCACCCACTGTTCTACCAGAGCAGTGGGGGCCTCACCGATGGCTCACAGACAGGCGCAGGGCCTCACCTGATGACCACGCTGTTGGGTTTCCGGGCCAGGCGGTCCACTTCTTCCATTGAGATCTGGTCAATCTTGTTGTAAACCTGGGATTGAAAGGTGGAGTGGGTGATGGGGCAGGAAAGAAACAAAGGAGTCCGGACAACGGCCTAGGTGCACAGTTCTCCGTGGCTCCTCCCTCTGCACTGTGGCACCAAGTGTCCCCCTCTCCTCTCAGTGATGGGGGAAGGCGAAGGGCCTGGGCCACCAGCGCCCCCAAAAGGAAAGGCTAGGCTAGAATCCCAGTGCCCATGGAGCCATGTGCAGGACTCAAGGAGCCTCTGGGCAGAGGGGAGAGGAGGTGGAGATGGCTCTGGGCTCTTCCTGCTCCCCGCAGAAGCCTGTCCTCCGTCCGAGTCAGGGCCCAGGAAAGTGGCCGGGCCCAGGGCAAGGACACACACCAGTCACATACAAGCAGGGCATGTACACCGTGGGCGGGGACGCACACCACTCACATACAAGCAGGGCATGTACACCGTGGGCAGGGACGCATACCACTCACATACAAGCAGGGCATGTACACCCGGGGCAGGGACGCGCACCACTCACATACAAGCAGGGCATGTACACCCGGGGCAGGGATGCACACCACTCACATACAAGCAGGGCATGTACACCGGGGGCGGGGACGCACACCACTCACATACAAGCAGGGCATGTACACCGGGGGCGGGGACGCGCACCACTCACGTACAAGCAGGGCATGTACACCCGGGGCGGGGACGCACACCACTCACATACAAGCAGGGCATGTACACCGGGGGTGGGGATGCACACCACTCACATACAAGCAGGGCATGTACACCGGGGGCGGGGCTGCACACCACTCAAATACAAGCAGGGCATGTACACCGGGGGCGGGGACGCACACCACTCACATACAAGCAGGGCATGTACACCCGGTTGCCCACGATCACATCGATGAACTCGTCGGGGGAGCAGTCCTCTCGGAAGAGCACTTCTGCATTGAAGATCTCTGCAGGTCAGGTCAAGGGCAAACCATGCCCAGCAGGCCCTTGCGCCTAACCCAGCGAGGGCCTGAAACACCCACCAGGAACATGTGCGGGAAGGGACCTCGGAGGGCATCTGCTTGCGAGGTTTCACAAGACTTGGAGCCAGCCCCTCATTTTTCTTTCCAAAAGAAGCCACAATATGTCCAAGTTCCGCTCCCCCATTCAAACCTCTGCTGTGAGGCAAGGAACCCTCTCGCCAGAATCCCGAGTGCCTGTGGAACCTGGCGCAGGGCTAGGAGCAGCCGGACGCTCCGGTCTGTCCCCTCCCCCAGGCCACGCTTCTGGGCGCCACCCTGCCCACTGGCACATGTCCACCGGGAGCTCTCCCTGTGCTGAGCCTGACTCTGCCCTGGGCCCCGTGCCTGCTGGAGTCCCAGAGCCCACCCAGCCCAACCCTTGGGCTGCATGTGCCCTGACCCCTGGGGCTCCCCAAGGCTTCTCCAGAACAGGAGGCCTTGGTCCCCAGGGCTGTCTTCCTTGGACCCCATTGTCCTTCCAGCTGAAACTGGCCACCACAGCACCTAGCAGTCGGTGGGCAGCCAAGAAGGCCCTGTGGGGTGCATGGCTGGAGTCTGGGTCTTGGGAGCACTCATCAGTGGCTGCAGCCTCCTCAGGGCCGCTCGGGTCCCGGGAGGCCTGGGCAGCATGCTGTTACCCAGCTACGGCCCGCCCCCACGCACCCCCTGCCTGTGGGTGGGGTGCCCCACCTCAGGAAGGATACTGTACTCATGCAGGATCAGCTGCACCAGCTTTTCCGAGCACTGGGTCAGCGTGACTGTTGAATTAAAGGAGATGCCACCACCTTTCTTGGGCTGGGGGAGGAGAGGGAAGGGAAAGCTGCTGACAAGGGTCAGGGCCACTGCCGCACACGCGCCGCAGCTGTTGGCCGATGCCCCACCCCGGCACCTGCAGGTGTGGGCTTACCTTGAAGTAGATGTTAGGCTTGTGTTTGTTGAGGCGGATGCCCACTGACTCCAGCTCCTTCTCCAGCAGAGACCTGGCAGAACATCCGTGAGCCTTCACAGGTGCCCAGGGGCAGACTGTGTAGCTTCCATGGTACCGGGAGCCCCGCCCACCCAGACCAACACTCTCCTCTGCCTGCCCCAGCAACCTGGACCATTCCCTCCCAACACCCCTGAGCTGCGGAGGAGCCTCCAGACCCTCTGCCTGGTCCAGGGCAGACTGGCCAGGTCTCCAGTCAGTGGGCAGAGGCAGGCCTGGTGTGCCCCTCAGCCAGCAGGTGGGGTCATGAGCAAGGCCTCCGTTACTTGGGGCAGGGTTTGGCAGTGGGCCTCTGCCAGCAGGCGCCAGAGCCCGGCCACTCCTCTGGCCCTGGACAGTCAGTGTTGCTAGAAGCCCCTGCTACAAGCTTCAGCCTCTAGGCTGGCTGTACGCTCCTTGGGGAGGACGCACCAGACTGGGTGCATGGGTTCAGCCTCTGGACAGTCCTGGCACTACTACAGGGCCAAGCACCACTCAGACTGTCCACGTGTGCTCCAGGACTTCCCAGACCTGCCACCTGCCCTCCTACCCAAGCCCGCGGACCTCTGCACCTCTCCCTTGGTGGCGTCCAGCATCATGATGACGACGTCAGCTGTGCGAGCCACAGCGATCACCTGCCGGCCTCGGCCTTTCCCTGCATGGCAGAAGGGGCGAGGTCACAGTGACACAGACAGGACCACATGACCCCCACCCAGCCCACGGCACCCAACTCCTGCCCTTGGCAGACCTGCCACAGGTCTGCCACCTGCCACCTCCTGGGCTACGATTTCTTTGGCACTTTTCTTTCTTTCTTTTTTATCCTCACCTGAGGACAATTCTCCATTTTTTGTTCAGATAGAGTGGGAGGGAGGGGGAGAGAGAGAGAGAGAGAGAGAGAGAAACATCGACGTGAAAGGGACACATCGAGTGGTTGCCACCTGCACGACCCAACCAGGGCCGGGGACAAACTGCAACCGAGGTACGTGCCCTTAGAGGAAACCAAACCCAGGACTCTCTGGACCGCAGGCCGATGCTCTAACTGCTGAGCCAAACCGGCCAAGGCTGGCACTTTTCTTTAATTGAGGTGCTACCTCACTCGTGGAGACTTATTTAAGAAGGAAATTCAACATCATCACCATAGGAGGGGTGATGCCCTCCCCCAGGTCCCATGCTAAGTGCTTCAAGAACATTTCCTCACTGGATCCTCAAAACTATCCCATACAACTGGTGTTATTGCACCCATTTTACGATGAGAAAAGTGAGGCTTCTTGGCTTAGAGATAACCCCTTGTCGAAGAGCACAGAGCCAGTGTGGTGCCAGGATCTGAACTGCCTGCCCTGTTCAGAACACAGGGAGGCAGAGGCCCGCCCAGGCAGCAGGGTCACAGGACATGACACAGGAGGAGGCATGCCACAGGACTGCCACAGAGGACAGGCACCTCCCATGTCACAGCTGGGCACCAAGATGGCAGCACTAGGATCTATGAAGTGTGGGCTTCGACTATGACCTTACGACCTGCCTCCCCTTCTGAGAACGAGGGGTTGGACAAGGTCACACCCACTGCCTGGCTGCCTCCTGCCTCCAGACTATGCACTTCCCTCACTTGTGGCCAGAACACCCCCAGGCCCCTAGTACGCTGGCTGGGATGGCACAGGGAGCCATCACCACCTCCACTGCTCAGCTCAAACAGGCAGGACCTCAATGCAGTGGCGCAGTAGGGTGTGGGAAGGTGCCCAGCAGAGGGGCACTGGACACCTGGAGGCGGCCTCTGCCTGGCCAGAGCAGGACTGCAGAGCCAAAGCGGCAGCTCCACCCAGCTCTGGCCCTCGGCAGCTGAATGGTCGTTCAGGGCAGACCCTTGGCTGTTCTGCCCCAGGGTCCCCGGCTATGGAAAGAAAGTGATGGCACTCCCTAAGTCCCAGGACTATCTGAGGACGAAGTGAGACAGTGGTCAGCACAGAGCCCAGAACTCAGCAAGTGCTGGTGCCCACTCTGCAAACGCTGGATGCAGCCACCTGCCACCAGAAGCCACAGGCACGTTCCTATCTCAAAGACACCCCAAACAATCAAGGACAGGCCTGGGAGCACAGCCCGAGATCACCAGCTAACACGTGCCCACCCCTCGCAGGGCGCAGCGGAGCCCGCAGAGTGCAGAGGGGTCCGAGCCTGTCTGAGAGGCGCAGCCTGGGTAGGCACTTCACTGCCTCAGTTTTCCTGGCTTTCAGAAGGGCTCCTCAGGACTGTCCTGGGCTCCGGCCCTCAGGTACAGAGCACAGAGCAATGTGAGGCCCGCCCACCAGCCCTCCACAGCCACACCCAATGTGAGCCCCACATCCCCAGGAAGTAGACTGCCCCTGGGGCCCAGCTTGCACCTTGTGCAGCGCCTTCGATGATCCCAGGGAGGTCCAAGAGCTGGATGTTGGCTCCTTTGTACTAGGACGCAGAAGAGAAGACGGTAAAATGAGGACGGGCCACCGCGGGGCAGGGCCTGCCTGAACCCCGATGCCTGCTACAGCCTGCAGCTAGGGGCAGCTGGAAAGCTGGGCCAGCCTCCATGGCATGCTGGGCCTCGACACCCCCTGTGCACTGAGTCACCTGGGGGAGGGCTCTGGAACTTTGCAGACCACAGCACTCCTCACCAACAGTGCCAGCTCTTCACACACAAGTGCTTCACCGCGACGGGCTCACAGCCACAGGGCCCCGGCGGCACACAGCCCCGAAGCTTTACGGGAAATGGAATCCGGCCAAACAGCAATGAGCGACCTGAGCTGGGGTGGCGTGGGGGAACGGAGCACAGGAGCACCGAGATCTGCCCTACAATGCCCGGTTCCCCGAACCCGTCAGCACTACAGGGTGGCCAGGCACCTCTGGGGTCTCGGAAGCCAGAACCCCCGGAGGCACCCATGCGTCAGGGCACATGCTCGTGACACACACACACACTCATGACACATACACACATGTTGTGACACACATATACACGTTTGTGAAACACATACACATGCTTGTGACACATACACATGCTCGTGACACGTTCGCAACACACATGCTCGTGACACACATAACACATGCTTAAGACATACACACTCATGACACACATACACAATCGAAGCACAAGCACACTCATGACACACACACACAATTGAAGCACAAGCACACACTCATGACACACATACACAATCGAAGCACAAGCACACGCCCTTGACCCTCCTGCGATCCAGCAAACTCCCACTTACTTCAATGACCCCGGGGATACACGTCAGGGTTGTGAATTCATAGGATGCAGCTTCACTGGCCGTGGAGGTCATTAGACTCAAGAACGTGGACTAGGAGAAAAAGAAAGTCATCGCATTGAGTCTTGTCCCAGTCTCCTTGGAAACCCCCCCGGGCTGCAGGTAGCCCCCTCTTCCTCCTCTGGTGATTGGAGGGTGAAGAGAACACCAGCTGGAGTTGTCTCAGGCCCTCAGGAAGGGCTGGGCACAGAGGACCCCTCTGTTCCTCGGAGGCTCCAAGTCTATCTCAGGTGGACACAGGGACCTGGTTTCAAAGTGGTTCTCCCACTTAAATCAGGGGCCCTCCTCTAGCTCCACAGAACCCTCCAGACCTCCCTGGACCCCAGAACACTTCAAGCAGGTGACAGGCCATGCCACTCAAAGCTGCTGCTCACCCAGGGAGAGGTGAGAGAGACCCTGACCTTCTGACCTGAGACAAAGCTACGTGGGCGGGGGAAGGTGCTGGGAGGAAGGGAGGGGTGAGGTGGGAAGCACCTGATGGGAACACTTGTGCCATGGTTCATGGTGGGAATGAGGCCAGGGCTTGGCCAGGGGAAAGAGACCTGGCCTTGGATCCCGCCTCTGCTGGGGGACCCTGGGCGAGAACCTGCACCCTCCAAACTTTAGAGTCCTCATGTAGAGTGGGCACCCACCCTGCCCCTTTCTCGAGGTGCTGCATGGGCACTGATGGAGACAGCAAGGCACGTGGTGCACTGAGTCTGGGCACGGCAAGACCAAGTGCTGGACATTGCGGCCCAGAGGGCCAGCACAGCAGTGGGCAGTCCTGGCCCCAGTGCCCATCTAGTCAGCAGGGCACCTGAAACAAGAAGCCTGAGATGCTTGGGATGGTGCTGCCCAGATCTGAGGCTGGTGCCACCCGGACTCTGCCCCTCACTGGCAGGCAAGAAGGCTGGGGGCACACCTCACACTCTCTCAGACTAGAACCCAGACTGGGGCATGTGAAGGAAACACAAGCCTTGTGTCCAGAAACTGCCCAGGGGACCTCCTGAGGGTGGGGGTGGGGGTAGAGCAATGGCCGCTGAGACACTGAGCCATGGCTGCTGGGGGACACTCCATTTCCTGTGTGGCCTCTGAGGAGAGGCCTGGGCCTCCCATGGCTGGAGAGCCTCGATTCCCAACAGGGCAGGTTGGTCCGGCCACAGACCTTATAGACCAGACTGGCTTCTCTCAGCCTGAGCCTCTCACCCGGGAAAGAGGTCCTTGGCCGGTTGGAAAGTACAATGGAAAGAAAAGATGAACCCAAGAGCACCTGAGGAGTTGAAGCCTCCTCGCTGCCTGTGGACAGCTGTGAGCTCAACACCTGCTTGGCACTCAGGGCCGCACCGAGGCCCCCCTGTCTGGGCCTGTGTCGGAGCGGCTAGACTGCCCACATGGATGGGAGAAGGTGCTACCCCCTGCTACAAGGCACGCCAGCTGATAACTGAGGATGAGGTGAGAGAGCCAGAAAACTGCCATTTGACAGCCACCGATGACAACCCCAGGGTAGGACGAGTCACGGGTGCAAAGCCACAAAGAGGACGTGGACAGGGCCTGGTTTCTGAGCCACCACAGCAGCACCGCAGGGGGCTTCCTGGTGCGGGGCAATGTCGCCACCCACAGGGGGACACAGGTTGCCCTCGCCTTAACCCACAGGTCCTGGCAATGCAGCCAGCCCCCAGCAGTGTCAAATGAGATGTCCACCGTCACTCTGGAACCTGGCCCATGCAGCCCCAGGACACAGCACATGGACGGATACACTAAAGCATGCCAGAGGAAGCGGGCAGACGCTGGGGCACCAGCTCACCATCTGACAGCTGGTCCTGTCTCTAAGTCAGGGTCATGACGACAGGGACTGTTCTAGACGAAAGCAGCTGTGGTGACCACACCTACCTCAGCTGCAGAGGTCATCGGGGGCAGTTACTGAAATCAGAATATAGTCTGGGCGTTGGACGGTCACTGCATTGCTATCTATTCTGTTTGGTGTGCTGCACCGGTCTGTGGCTAAGTAGAAAACCTTTCTTACTCGTTGGAGATACAAGCTTAAATAGTTAGGGAGATAGGAGCACAAAGCATGACAGCTGTAATTTACTCCCAAATAGTTCAGTCAATACAAATACAATCCCTGCCTACCCACAAACACACACACAAAGCCAGAGCATCCTGGCAACATGCCCGTCAGTGACGCATCCCGATAGAGAGCACAGTGTACTTGTTCCCACCTCTTATGCATGTTTCCAAATTGTATTTATAAAACTGGGAGGAATGAGAAAAAATAGAAAAGAGGATCTGGAAGCCATGCTGGGATAGAAGACTGTGAGGGTACTGAGCTGGCAGGGCACACCTAGGGCAAGTCCCCCCTTTCGGCAGGAGGGGCTCCTGCAGCCAGCGCCTGCTCCGTCTCAGAGGCTGAAGCAGGAGAGTCACGAGCACCCCACTACTAAAGGAATCTGAACACAGGCCAGAAAGCTAGAGGTAAAAGGGCTGCTTGGACTTGATGGGAGGTGGAAAGGGGCATGCCAGATGAACTGCCAAGGCCTGCAGGAGGAGTTGGGGGGCTCGGCAGCTGCTTTCTAGAACGTTTTATAACTTTCATTTACAGTAATGCAGAAAATTTCCCAGGCTCATTCTGCTTCGTTCAGATGGTTGTGAAACGGCACTGTACTTCCTGAGCCCACACTTTTGGGGGTCAAGGAGAAAACAGTAATAAAAACCAACTGGGTATGTTCCTGAAGAATAAAAAGCACTTAAATGAGTCAATGTGTCCCTCTCACGCCGATGTTTCTCTCTCTCTCCCCCTCTCTCTCACTCCTACTCTGAGAAAAATTGAACAATATCCTCTGGTGAGGATTTATTTATTTTCTTCATTGATTTTAGAGAGAGAGGAAGAGAAAGGGAGAGATCGATAGCATTGATGAGAGAGAACATCGACTGGCCGCCTCCTGCATGCCCCCCACTGGGGATGGGGCCCACAACCTGGGCATGTGCCCTGACCAGGAATCAAACCAGTGACCTCCTGGTGCATGGGTCGACGCTCAACCACTGAGCCACATCGGCTGGGCTCAGGTGAGGATTAAAAAAAAAAGCACTTAAATGCCATCAGGAAGAAATCCTTCTGCAGTTGCTGAAGCAGAGCCTAGCCATTTTTTTCCTTTAAATCCTCACCTGAGGATATTTTTCCATTGATTTTTAGACAGAGTGGGAGGAAGGGAGAAAGAGAGAGAAACATCAATGTGAGAGAGATACATGAACTGGTTGCCTCCCATACGACCTTAACTGGGGCCAGGGATCAAACCTGCAACCCAGGTACATGCTCTTGACTGGGAATCAAACCCACGACCCTTTGGTCCATGGGTCAACGCTCTAACCATTGATCCACACCAGCCGGAGCTGGGTTGCAGGTTTGAACCCTGGCCCCGGTGGAGGCACATGTAAGAGGCAACCAATCAATGTGACTCTCTCACATCGACGTGTCTCTGTCTCTCCCTTCCTCCCTCTCTTCCACTGTCTCTAAAAATCAATAGAAAAAAGATCCTCAGGCCCTGGCCAGTTTGGTTCAGCGGTTAGAGCGTTGGCCTGCAGTCCAGAGAGACCCGGGTTCGGTTCCCGCTAAGGGCATGTACCTCGGTTGCAGTTTGTCCCCGGCCCTGGTTGGTCGTGCGGGTGGCAGCCACTCGATGTGTCCCTTTCACATCGATGTTTCTCTCTCTCTCTCTCTCCCTCTCTCTCCCTCCCACTCTATCTGTACAAAAAATGGAAAAATGTCCTCGGGTGAGGATAAAAAAAAAAAAAAAAATCCTCAGGTGAGGATTAACAAAAACAGTGGTGAGTGAGTGAACGAGAGATGGGCTACGGTGAGCCGAAGCACCCTCCAGCAGCAGGGAGCAGAGCCGTGCCGGAAACCACGTCTGCAGAGAGCCAGCTGGAACAGCTCCACGGCTGGAATGCTCTGGGTACCCAGTGACAGGGAGGTCAGAAGCCAGTACCCAAAAGGTTCCCAGGGTCCACACCGATAGAGGAATGGCTAACTGCAACGGGAGGGAGACAAAGCTCACATCCGGAATTCTGAACTGTTCGCGCAGCTCTGCCCCCTCAAGGGGGGTTAGCTCCTGTGTGGGCTGCTCACAGGGACTCCCCTTCCAAGAGGACAATGTGAGCAGAGAGAAAGACTGTGAGCGCACAGAGGAGACAGCTGACACTTGCCCTCACCAGGAGGAGAGGTCAACGTCGACGGACTTGGCATGTCAATACCATGAGCCCTTGATATGATGGGACAGACGGCACTTCCCCTGTGGCATTCCCCCAAGCCCACAGCCCCAGCTGAGGGACTTCCGACTCACTCTACTAGCACTCCTCAAAACTGTCCAAGTCCCCTAAGCAAGGCCCACCATCCGCCTTGTGATTAGTCTCCCACTGCTGCCCCAGACCTGCAACACCCCAGGCCAGCCCCCACCTGCAGGCCTCTGCGCTCTCTGCCCTCGTGCTCCTTCCCCTGGGTTGGGCGAGCTTCTAGCCTCTTCAGGCTCCTCCTCAAATACCTGCCCCCAGAGCAGCCTCCCAGACCCCTGGTAGACTGGCGGGACCTCAGGCCCACCCCCCCAGCTGACTGTCCCTTCGAAGAGAATAGGAGCTCTGTGTGGGCGGGGACAGAAGTCCCCCTTCACTACTGTGTCTCCTGCAACTGGCACCTGGTGCCGCTCAGTGCACGTGTGCAGGGGTGAGTCAGACAGACTGGACGACCGCTGGAGTGGAAGGGCTGCCCTCCATGTTAGGGTGACCTGGGTGGGCTCTGGTCCCGGGGGCACACTCAGTGCACACACACAGGGGTGAGTCAGACGGACAGGCCGACCGCTGGAGTGGAAGGGCTGCCCTCCGTGTTAGGGTGGCCTGGGTGGGCTCTGGTCCTGGGGGCACACTCAGTGCACACACACAGGGGTGAGTCAGACAGACAGGCCGACCGCTGGAGTGGAAGGGCTGCCCTCTGTGTTAGGGTGACCTGGGTGGGCTCTGGTCCCGGGGGCACACTCAGTGCACACACACAGGGGTGAGTCAGACAGACAGGCCGACCGCTGGAGTGGAAGGGCTGCCCTCCGTGTTAGGGTGACCTGGGTGGGCTCTGGTCCCGGGGGCACACTCAGTGCACACACACAGGGGTGAGTCAGACAGACAGGCCGACCGCTGGAGTGGAAGGGCTGCCCTCTGTGTTAGGGTGACCTGGGTGGGCTCTGGTCCCAGGGGGCTGGGTCTTCTTTGTCCCTGGAGCTAGTCCAGAGGGGCAGTAAGGAGAATCACAGTCCCGTTTGAAAGGAGACGACCTGCCTTCCTCCCCAAGGCCCACAATGATCATCACTGACCTTACCCACAGAGGGAAATCCGATCAGCGCCACACGGGCATCCCCTGACTTCATGACATCGAAGCCCTCTCCTTTGGACGAGGCTGATTTGGATGGTTCCAGGAGCTGGGCTCGATACTTGGCGAGCTTTGCTTTCAGCAAACCCAGGTGATACTCGGTGGCTAAAGGACAAAAAGCAAGACGAAGGTAAGTGTCCAAAACATCCGAGCCCTGAGTCAGGTGGGGCCTCACACTCCAAGTGCTGGCTGGAATATCAGAACCAAATGGCAGTCACTGCCAAGATCAGGAAAGAAAACACTACTCCTCTGCTTAAAATGCCCCCTTGGATTCTCACTTCATTGAGAATAAAAGGGAGTCTCCTTGAGACCTTATGTCAGTGGTTCTCAGCGGGTCCAGCACCACCCCCTGGGGGCATTCTAGAAATCCCTAGGGATGTTTCCCACGGTCACTCTATGGTGAAGTCCTCATCGGCATTTACTGAGCAGGGGCCAGGGAAGCCAGCTGCCCTACCAGGTGTGAGTCAGTCTAGCAGTCAAGAATCGTCCTGAGTCCCACACGACTTTGTATGTGCCAGAGACATCCAGACAGAGAGCTTGGTTTAGGAGCACAGGGGCCTGAACTCTAACTCTGTTTCACATATAAACACAGGGCATTTTGCAGTGTGAATAAATACTGAAATTTCCAGGAAAGCAACTCCTGTGTATGTGCAGGGAAGACCAGAGCATGTTTCCGTAGAAACTTTATCTAGAGCAGCTCACCGCCTGGGGATCCCAGGCTGCCAACAGTGATGCATCTCGTAATGTACCTGAGGCACAGAGCACTGTGCTGCCCGCACTGTGGTGCTCCCCCCTCCCCCGATTCCACCCAGAGGTGCATGCGTCCCACTGCTCATCATCGCTTCATTATACTTGGGCTGTGGGCCAACATCTGCTACTGAAATGTACATTATTTTATTACAAATGTCTTTTCTTTCTCCTCATTTATATTACCATTAGAGCATTATATTGATATTTTTCAAGTTATTTGTGTACAAGTCATACTATTGGTGGAGAATCACATTTTAGAACAGTAAAGAGGTTATTACACAGTCTTTGCTATAGAAGGAGGCTGTGGCTCAGACTGAGAATCAGGCCCTAGTGCCTTGGCCCCGGCTACTTCTCCAACATCTCTCACCACTGTCACTTTCATTTACTCCACTCCAGCTGCAGTGGCTTTCTTTGTTACTTCAAATACGCTGAGCCCAGTCCTGCCCTTGCGTTTGCTGTTCCTTGCATTTCAACTTTACCTTCCCAGGGCTTGCTCCTGCTTGATAGTCAAAGCTCAACTCCAATGTCACCTCTTCAAGGAGGTCTCCACTACCCGGCTTTGGGGACAGTGTCACACACGGTTAAGAGCCCATGCTGGAATCCCACCCTGCCGTCTCTGGCCACTTTACTTTAAATAACTTACTTAGTCTTTTTGTGCATTAGTTTCTTACCTGCAAAATAGAGATGTTAACAATAACGATTTCACTGGATTTCTGTAAGGCTTAAAGAAAGCACTAAGAACAGTGACTAGTACACAGCAGGCACTCAGTAAAAGTTGGTTATTACCATCTACAGTAATCCACTTCCCTAGACCCCTCTCTGCCTCGTGGTCCTGATGACTGTATGCATGGCTCTTACCACTATTTGAAACTATCTTGTTTCTTTAGTTTCCTCCCTCTAATGGGCAGGAGCTGGGGCTGTTGTATCCCCAGCTTTGGGACAGGGTACAGTTCAGGGCAAGTACTCAGGAAATGTTTTAACAAGTGAATGAGTGAACTGGTGACAGTGAGAAATGGTCGAGAATGGGTTCAGCAACAGTCAGGTTCACATGGTCCTTCCTGTCATTGAAGCTCACAAGACTCTGAGCATCTCTGAAGGGAAGGATGAGGCCTTAGTCACCTTTACATCCCCCTCCTCTACTGCAGCATCTCTAGCCTCCCCTAAGCCTCCCTGCTACTCTCCTTGTGTCCCATATGTGATACTCCAGGGGAGCCAAAGAGGGAACTTTTACAACAGAAATCAGACTGTCTCTCTCCTGCTGAACATACTCCACTAGCTCCCACTGGCTTCAGAACACAACTCAGACTTTTCCCTTGAAGGTCCTACATGAGTGGTCCTCTCCTTTCCATCTCTGCACTCCAGGTCCAGATCTTCTGATCCTTCAACACATGTCTGTTCCTGCCTGGAAGCCTCTGCACCAAGTGTTCCCTCTGCCAGGAACAGTCTTCCCCCAGACTTTTGCATGGCTGGTTCCATGCAGAAATTCTGGTCTCAGCTCAAATGTTCCCTCCTCATGGTGGTATTCTCTGATCTTTACCACCTGCAACACTCTGGTCTGTCTTCACAGAATTTGTTGCCATCTGAAATGACCTTGTTTCCTTAGCTACTAATTTACAGTTGGTCCACTGGAAGGTCAGCTCCATGAGCGCTGGGAAGTCCCTGCTGTGTGCACTGCTCTAACCACACACGGCAAGGTCTCAGTAAAGATTTACAGAATGAATGAATGAATGAATGATGGAAGCCCCTCAACTCCTCAGCATTCAGAATTAAATGGAGCCCAGTGAGGACAGAGATCAGCCACCTACCATTCCTTGTTTCTTTTTTCTTTTGTTTTTTGTCAATCCTCACCTGAGGATATTTTCCCATTGATTTTTAGTGGAAGAGAGGGAGTGGGAGAGAAATGGAAACATCCGTGTGAGAGACACATCGATTGGCTGCCTCCCGCATGACCCCAACTGGGGCTGGGGATCAACCTGCAACCCAGGTACTGCCCTTGACCAGGAATTGAACCCGCGACCCTTCAGTCCACAGGCTGACGCTCTAACTGCTGAGCCAGGGCCTTGCTTCCTGCTCCTGCAGTCCCAAAGCAGGTCTGGCCAGGCCCTGGGCCTTACCCATCTTGGCCGATCACATCCCCCATTACTCCAGACCCCCTCCTGATCTACCTTGTTCTTACTGTCCCATGAACACAGCATGCTCTTACCTAGCTTCCCGTGTTTTTGCCCCCCACCTGGAATACCCTTCCCTCCACCAGCTCAAGTCCCACTTCCTCCTGGAAGCCTTCCTGGGTGTCACCATCTTGTCTCCTCAGCTTTCTGAGCTCCTTCAGCCCTGACAACCTGAGGCCAGACTTGAAGCTTCCTCGTGTGCCTTCATCACGTGGGAGGTTTACGTTAAACACTGAGTGCTCTGCCCACGCCGTGTGGTTAATGTAGCCATGAGCTAAGGTGGGGAGGAGGAGTATGGTCCCCATTTACGGATGAGGACACTGAGGCTCAAAGAGGTGGAGTGACTTTCCGAGATTTCACGGCAGGTAGGTAAGTGGTGGAGTCTGGGTGCAGAGCCAGGTCCGCCAGACTCTGAGGTCCTGACTGCCCGCACTGCTCCCTGGGGTCTCTCCCCACCCCGACTTCCCCACACAAAGGGGGGGGGCAGAAACCCCGCGAGCCCGGCCGCGAGGAGGCCCGGGGTGCAAGCCTGGCCCCGCCTCTCTAAGTCGATGCTCGCTGGAGCCGGGACTTCCTACTCGGTCAGCCCCTGGTCTGGCATGAGCGGCTCTCAGGTAGTCCGCGGCCAGACCGGGTGGTGGGGCCGACCCCGCCGCCCCGCCTGCCTCGCGCTGTGCGGCTCCCGCGGTCTCCGAGCCGCTCCGGCTCCACCGCTGGCGTCGCCACACTTAACAGACAGGAAAACTGCGGCGGCAGGAAGGAAGGCCCGCTGGGCGGCGCTCACCCTTGTTCTTCTGCGTCCGAGCGATCTCCTTCTCGATCTCGGATATCTTCTCCAGGATGCCCATGGCAGCGGCCGACCCGAGCGCCCAGACAGAGCGCGGCGGCGGCAGTTCCGGCCTGGCGGCGGCCAACTGCGCATACCCGGAAGCCCAGGACTACAGCGTCCTCCGGCGCCGGCGCTTTGGGATTAGAGTCCGGGCGGGCGACGCCGAGCGCAGTGCCAGGCACCACTGGTTCCGCCCTCTGGGCAGCGGAGCTGGGGGCCCGGTGGGACGGACCCCGACCGGGCTGGGCCGGGCGGGGCGGGTAGTGCTGTGCTGGACCAGGGCTAAAATGGGCGGGAGCCGGGCATGGGAGACATCTTCGGTGATGAGCCCTGAGCTGCCAGTCCCAAGTGTGGCTGACTTTGCCGGTGTAAAGAAAGGGAGCCAAGCCCAGCTGGTGTGGTTCAGTGGTTGAGCATGGACCCATGCACCAAGAGGTCACCGGTTCAATTCCCAGTCAGGACACATGCCCAGGTTGTGGGCCCGATACCCAGTGGAGGGCATGCAGGAGGCAGCCAACCCATGTTTTCTCTCATCCATATTTCTATTTCTCTCTCTCTCGGCCTTCCTCTCTCTTTCAAATCAATAGAGAAAAGAAAATTTAAAAAAAAGAAAAAAAGGAGCTAAGCTGAAGGCCTGGGGCTCTTATTTTATGGAGAGGTTAAAATTGGGTTCCCACTACCAGGTTAACCTGGTGTCAACTCAGCCTTACTGTCTGCCGGCAGGTACCTCCTGGTATGATGCAGTAAGAAGTAGACAACAATCTGGCTGGTGTGGCTCGGTGGTTGAGCATTGACCCATGCACCAAGAGGTCACCAGTTCAATTCCTGATCAGGACACATGCTCAGGTTGTGGGCCTGATCCCCAGAGCGGGGCATGCAGGAGGCGGCCAGTCGATGTTCTCTCTCATCCATGTTTCTCTCTCCCTCTCACTTTTTCTCTCTCTAAAATCAATTTAATGGGAAAAAAAAAAAGAAGTAGACAACATTTCCTATGTAGAATTCTTGCAAAAAAACAAAAACAAAACACAACTATCTGAATTTATTTATTTTTTAAAATTATTTTTCTTTATTGATGTTAGAGAGAGAAGAAGGGAGAGGGAGAGAGAGATGGAAACATCGATGAGAGAGAACACTGATTGGCCGCCTCCTGCATGCCCCGAACTGGGGATTGGGCCCACAACCTGGACATGTGCCCTGACCTGGAATCGAACTGGCGACCTCTTGGTGCAGGGGTCGACACTCAACCACTGAGCCACACTGGCCGGGCTGTATCTGAATTTAGACACAAGGAATCGTTAGGCAAATCTAGAAAGTGGTACATTCATAAGACAAGTGGCCTGAGCTCTTCAAAAGCATAAATGACAAAGAGAGGGCAGGGGGACTGTTCTAGATTTAAAGGTGTGAAACGTGCACAGCCAGTGTGGCTCAGTGGATTGAGCGGCGTCCCATGGACTGAGAGGTCCAGGTTGGATTCCTGATCAGGGCATGTGCCTGGGTTGTGGGCTCGATCCCTAGTAGGGGGCGTGCAGGAGGCAGGGGGCATGCAATGTTTCTCTCTCACATCAATGTTTCTCTCTCTTCCTTCCTCTCTCTCTAAAAAATCAATTTAAAAACATACTTAAAAAATGAGAAAGCTTTGTATTTCTCAGAAAATAAAATTAAATAAAAGATGTTAAATATAGTGGGTGGACCTTGTCTAGATTCTGGTTGAAAAATTTTTTTTTTTTTTTTTTTTTATCCTCACCTGAGGACATTTTTCTATTTTTTGTTCAGGTAGAGTGGGAGGGGGAGAGAGGAAGAGAGAGAGAAACATCGATGTGAAAGGGACACATCGAGTGGCTGCCAGCTGCACGACCAACCAGGGCCGGGGACAAACTGCAACCGAGGTACATGCCCTTAGCGGGAACCGAACCCAGGTCTCTCGGGACCGCAGGCCAACGCTCTAACCGCTGAGCCAAACCGGCCAGGGCTGGTTGAAAAATTTTGAAGCAGCTATAAAGACATTCTTGGGACAATTGGGGAAATTGGACTTTGGGTAAGATATTGAAGATTATGGAGTAATTGCTGACTTTCCTGGTGTGATGATGCGGGAAAATGTCTTTGTTAGTAGATACATGCCGTAGTGTTTAGTCTGCTCAGGCTGACGTAACAGCACACCACACACTGGGTGGCTTAGACAACAGAGATGTTCTCACAGTTTTGGAGGCTGGAAGTCCAACATGGGAGGGCTTAGTGTGGTTGGGTTCTGGTAGGAGCCCTCTTCCTGACTTGCAGACTGCCACCTTCTTGGTGAGTGTGTGAAGGGAGGGAGGGGAACTCACTGGTGTCTTTTCTTGAATGGGTACTGATCCCATTAAGAGAACACCACCCCATGACCTCATCTGACCCTACTAACTTCCCAAAGACCCATCTCCATCTCCAAATATCATCACATTTGGGTTAGAACTTCAACATAGAGATTGGGGAGGAGGGGGACACAAACATTTGATCCATAACGGGTGAAAGTTCATGGTATCTATATATTACTTTCAAGTAGTTCAAAGTAGCATGCATACATTTAAAGAAAGCAAGCTAAGTAAATGTAGCGATATGTTAACAGCTTTTTAACCTGGGGTAAGGGTATATGGGTGTGTATCGAAATACTCTTTCAACTTTTCTGTATGTTTTTTAATAAAAAGTTGGAGTGGGAGTGGGTCCTTGGAAATTAGACTGTGTTTAACTCTGAGGTTCATAACTGTATGAGCTTGGTTAAATGTCTTTACCTCTCTGAGCCTGCTTCTACATACTAAAAATGGGATAATGTGCTGCTGTGAAAATGAAATAAGATAACAGGTGTAGAGAACCGGGCACATAGTTTGCTTGTTCATAGCTCCCCTCAAATGTCAGAGCCATTGTAAGTCATTTGTCCTTTTTGGTTCTCACATCTGTCCTCGGATTCAACCCACATTTGTTGAACACCTAGTATGTACCAGGCTCTGGGCTAAGTAGGGGCTTTGGTAATCTTTGAGCCTGCCATTCTCGTCCACATTGTACAAACTGAGGTTATAAGCCTTGCTAACGTGCCTGGCCTGGTGGCTAAGCTGTTCAATCAGAGGGCTGATATTTGAAAGCAGAGTTTTCAATTCCAAGTCCCATGGACCCTAAGGTTACTTGGTAAACTGTGGATAGGAATGTCTACATATCAGGTTTCTGTGAAGTTTAAAGAGAATATGAGCCCTGGCCGGTTTGGCTCAGCGGTTAGAGCGTCGGCCTGCGGTCCAGAGAGACCCGGGTTCGGTTCCCGCTAAGGGCACGTACCTCGGTTGCAGTTTGTCCCCGGCACTGGTTGGTCGTGCGGGTGGCAGCCACTCGATGTGTTCCTTTCACATCGATGTTTCTCTCTCTCTCTCTGTTCCTCTCTCTCCCTCCCACTCTACCTGAACAAAAAATGGAAAAATGTCCTCGGGTGAGGATAAAAAAAAAGAGAATATGAAAGTCTTGTGGGAACTACAGAGTTCCCCGCAAATGTGGAGGCCTGCAAGAGCCCTGGCCCCGAATTGGGTCCCTGACCCTTCTCTGCCACCAAGTTCTACATGATTTGGCTCCCAAGCTTTATTTCTTGCCAAACTTGCAACCGTGGAAGTGTGTTCACTTCCAGTTTATGTCTGAGGCATATGACTCACCTTCCCAGAATTCTGGCCTCTTTGCTGTTGTATCTGATTCAGTAGCAACCCCCAGGGGCTTCACAGGAACATGGCAATCATGCCTGCTTCAAGAGTTAAGGGAGAGAACCACCAGAGTATCAAGCTTTCTCAACTGGTCTTTCCTGCTTGGAGGTCCTGGGTCCTCCAATTCCAAACTTGGGAAGCCAACTATGAACCCTGCTTGTTCAAGCTGCCTGAGGAATCCGAGGTAGTTTTCAGACTTCTGGAGAAACTGGTTGGCCCTATTCAGCGAAAGATGCAGTAGTACCACCCTACCCATGGTTTCACTCTGCGGTTCCAGTGACCTCCGACAATCTCAGTCCGAACAGACATATTAAATGAACAGTACCAAAAATAAACAATTCATGAGTTTGAAAGTGTGTTCCATTCTTAGCAGCGTGATGAAATCTCACACCATCCCACTCCATCCGCCCTGGGCATGACTCAGCCCTTTGTCTGGTGTCTCCACACTGCACACCTGCCCTTAGTCACTGAGTGGCTCTCTCGGTACCAGATGGACCGCGGTGGTGTCACAGTGCTGTGTTCCAGTCACCCTTATTTTACTTAGTAATGGACCCAAAGAGCAGGGTAGCAATGCTGGCCACTGGGATCTGCCTCAGAGAAGCTGTAAGGGCTCCCCCTAGGCGAAAAGGTGTATAGGTACAAGACCAATACGGTTTGGTGCAGTTGGAGGTTTCAGACACTACTGGGGGTCTTGGAATGTATCCTCATGGATAAGAGGGTGGGGACTACTCTATTATCAACACAGTGAAAAGGCAACCTGTGGAATGGGAGGAAATATTTGTAAATCATATATCTGATAAGGAGTGAATATCCCAAATGTCTAAAGAAGACCTAAAAGTCAACAACAAAACAACACAGTTTTTTAAATATAGGAAAGACTTGAATAGACATTTTTCCAAGGAAGGCATACAAATGGACAATAAGTGCACAAAAAAGTACTCAACATCACTCGTAATTAGGGAAATGCAAATCAAAACCATGAGACTTCACCTTACCTCCATTCGGATGGCTATTATTTATTTATTTATTTTTTAAACAATGACTTTATTGCTTGAGTACATAGACATTTTATGCAACTAGGGCAGAGGCTGTGGATGACTCGTATTTCCAATTAGGGGGAGGACTCGTTTGGTCTCGTAATATCGAGCCAATCGGTGAATACGGCTCTCAGTCAGAATCAGAGGGAATTTATCATCCTTATCCTTTCTGTTCCTCTCAAGATGCTTTCGAACAGCAACAGCTTTCTTAATTAAATGGTAGAGATCCTCAGGAAGATCAGGAGCAAGTCCTTTGGACTTAAGAATCCTCAAGATGTTATTGCCTGTCACAAAGCGTACTTGTGCCACACCATGTGAATCTCTGAAGATCA